TCCGTATTTAGTACCGCTCCTAAGACCGAAGTTAAAACAGAAACTACTTTGTCACAAATTCAGAGAAAAATATTAAACGACATTAGAATTGACACTGAATTCGACACTGAAATTGGCTCTGACTCTGTTACTAACTCCTTCAACTACCTCTCCAAATCCACACAACCATTTAAACTCCTGTTCTTGTTACTACTGCTGTCCTCTGTCTATATTAGTACACCTTCCAAATCTGTCTCTCTACTGTTCTGTTTATCTTTCTATCTCTCTCTTTATTCATGTTTTGCATTCATTTTTTTGCAAATAATTTATAAATCTTAATAACTATTGAATATATTATCTCATTAAAAACAAATATCAAGGTTTACTGATGTCACTACTTTCTGTAACATCTTCCTCCATCTCCTATACTGATCAAAACTTACTCATCTCTGCTATCTGTTGTTTTATTTTGTCTCTTAAAGAAAAGCGGAAAGATATATTTCCTAATTTGTCTTGAGAGCGGAGAAAAGCTATTTCTTACTTCGTCGTCATATATTTTTTTTCTTTATGGACCAACAAATGAGAACCTTCAATGAAAACATAACAGATACCAAACCACACTCAAGTACACTGCCCTCATAAAGCAAAAACCTAGTAAGCAGTTTATACTAACATTATCTTCTTAAGTAAACTCAACTTCACCCAACTCCTCTTTACTTCCAAAACTTGAACCGGAAATGTAAAATTTGTGTTGGTGCGATACCTATGTCAAATTAAGCATGTGAGGTTCGAATTGACCTTATCCATCAGGTGATCAGGTCATGCTAATTGATTGGTTATAATTGAGTAAACGATTTTCACCACTCAACAAGAATCGAAATTGTTCAAAGTTCTCGGAAATTATACTGGCAACTTCAAAAATCGACCACCGCATCAATGTCAAACAAGCTGTTTGGGGCCCTTCCGTTGGAAGTCGTAAATAAAATTATCCATTATGCTGGAGTTGAAAACTTGGTGTCGTTCTTGGTGCCAGAAAACAAAACCATAATTGACAACTTGCCACTCTTAAAACAAGCAATTGATAATGCCATCTGCGAGAATAAAGCATTGGGCTACAACAATAGAGTAACCCGTCCATCCTACCTCCATAATTATCTTCACTTACCTCGCAATTCATTAAGAGAGGTGGATTTGTCCACAAATGATAAAAATGAACCTCTTCGAATAGAAGTGTTGGATTTAACCAATAAAAATAAGTTGAGGGAAGAAAATACTAAGCTTCCTCCAAACTTGAAGATTTTCGAAGGCCCTTGGGAACAGGATACTGGAAGGAATATTGACTAGTGATCTATCAAATGCTGAGGAAATACTTTAAGCTGTATTTTGCCATTCGGATATTTACTTCCGCGGTGAAACACGCACAAAGTATTCATGAACGCTACATTTGCCGTTCGGAAGTTTTTTGATGGAATAGCATTTATCCTCTTGGTTATATACTTCATTAATAACCGTGGGATATTGATTCCGTATACGTTCTAGATTGTAGAATGTTCTAGAACAATATAACGACAAATTGCAAGTTCAGTATTGGCCCACTACTTCCAACGCGACTAATATATATTTCTTAGCCCTATAGAAATATACCTACAGTCATGGTCCATTGACACCACTCTTTCAATCTCAAATAAGTTACAACTTGGAAATCTAAGGTTTATAAATTGATTTATCAAAGTCTCATTGAGTATGAAACTACCATGAAATAGGACGATTGGTGTAGTGGTAACATAATTGCCTTCCAAGCAATTGCCGTGGGTTCGATTCCCGCATCGTTCATTTTTTGAACCGCACGCTTTTATTTTTTCCCCAAATCAAATCGGGCTTCCTTTAAACCTCTTTTCTATTATTTTTTTTTTTTTTTCTTTTACAACACTTCATCACTTTATGATCAATCGGGTCTTCAAATCATCCAGATTTTTTCACAATTCAATGAAGCGTGGGATTCCCAATGTCATTTCCCTTTCTGAAACAGAACTGAAGATTCGAAATTTACTAGTTGATTATTGTAACCACTACAATGCATCTCACCAGGAAAAGCCATTGACTTTGAGAATCACAGGAGGATGGGTTAGAGACAAGTTACTTGGATATGACAGTCATGACATTGACATTGCCGTCAATCATCTTTCAGGCGAGGAGTTTGTTTATAGCTTCCAGGAGTATTTAAAGAGAAAAGACCCGCAATTTTCGGTTAACCACGTCCATACGATAAAGATGAACCCAGAAAAGTCAAAACACTTGGAGACGTGTACGACGAAGTTGTATGGAATTGATTTAGACTTTATAAACTTGAGGTCAGAAGAGTATGCACATGATAGTAGAGTTCCAACCATCGAGTTTGGTACCCCACTTCAAGATGCATTGAGGCGCGATGCCACTTTGAATGCACTATTTTACAACCTCAATGAAGAAAAGATCGAGGATTTCACTGAAAGAGGGATGGATGATTTACAACATGGCATACTAAGGACACCACTCCCCCCGATAAAGACCTTTTTGGACGATCCATTACGCATACTCAGATTGATACGGTTTGCCAGCAAGTTCAACTTTGCAATTGAGTCAGAAACCTTGGACGCGATGAGAGAGAAACACAATCAACAAGCTCTACTGACAAAAATAAGCAAGGAGAGGATTGAGATAGAATTGAGGAAAATTTTAATCAGTCAAAATCCTAGCTATGGATTGCAATTGATCAATTATTGTGACCTCAGTAAATGCATCTTTTTTGTCGAGGGGTTGAAAAAGGAGTTTGATGCTTATCAGTTGGAATTAGCCTTGAGCAAGATTCCTCACCAGGTTAGTGTCGCGAGTGCAATCTACCTCACCTTTGAGCAACTCATTCTCGACTCTAAGATCGAATCAGTGTTTCAAAAGTTTCTAGCAGACAGTGATGCGAGATTCAACTTTTGGCTTTCAGTTATACTTCACCCTTACTCCATTGTCACAGGAAAATCAAAGGACATATACAACCAATATTTGAGATTGGGACTAATGGCGAAAAAGAGCGACATCACCAAGGTATCTGCAATAGATTTGACAAGCAATGAAGTAGTACAAAGATACTTTACTAATCCAGGCAATGTAAAGAGATCGGACTTGGGAATCTACTTGCGGCGTTTTCCCGGATACATGGACCTCAATTTAATTGTCCAATGTTATCTCGAGTGTGTCGATGCTATACGCGTTGAGACACCAGTGGAAATTCCCGTACCCAATCATAGTATCAAATGCACCACTGATCAAGTAAAGACAATTCAAAGCATCATCAACAAGTATGAGTCATTGTACTCCACCATTAAATCGCTAGACCTTTCAGAGGTTCACCTTATGAGGCCGCTTCTAGATGGAAAACAGCTAGGAAAGTATCTAGATAGGAAGCCGGGGCCATGGATGAAACCAGCTATGGATAAGGTTCTTGTTTGGCAGTTGGATAATCCTGACGGCACAGAAGATGAATGTATAGAGTACATAAAATCAACATTGTAAATAAATTTTCACTTTTTTTTTTTTTTTTTTTTTTTTTTTTTTCCTTCTTCACCTGAGTCATACTTATCCACCACCATGTCAGTGAATAAGGCACCTATCTTGGGTAAAGAATCCATACACGTGGGGTATGAAATACAGCCCCACATTGTCAGTGAAACAATTGCCAACTTGGCATCTTCCACATATGTGATTGTCAGCGATACCAACATGGCGAAAACCCACACATTCAAAAAATTGGTGTCAGACTTTGAAATAGAACTTGGGGAAAAAAGGCCAGAGTCAAGGCTATTAACCTATTTTGTCCCACCAGGGGAGAATAACAAGAGCCGTGAAACAAAAGCTGCAGTTGAAGATTTCCTTTTGAACAAGGGATGCACTCGTGACACTGTGATACTTGCAGTTGGTGGAGGTGTAATCGGCGACATGATTGGATTCGTCGCAGCAACATTCATGCGTGGAGTGAGAGTTGTTCAAGTGCCCACTACTTTGCTAGCAATGGTTGACTCCTCCGTTGGAGGTAAAACCGCCATTGACACACCTTTGGGGAAAAACTTTATTGGTGCTTTCCACCAACCAGAGTATGTCTTTTGTGACGTTTCTTTCTTGCAAACATTACCAGCAAGGCAATTCATCAATGGTATGGCTGAAGTTGTCAAGACAGCAGCAATTTGGAACGAAGAGGAGTTTACAAGGTTGGAGGAGTTTGCTGCGCAATTTATCGCCGAGGTTACCTCTGAGAAACCTAATTTGGAAAATATTAGACAGGACTTGGTGAAGACCGTATTGGAATCAGTGAGAGTCAAAGCTTCTGTTGTGTCAGCCGACGAAAAAGAAGGCGGGTTGAGGAACTTGCTTAATTTTGGCCACACCATTGGTCACGCTATTGAGGCTATTCTCACTCCTGAAGCTCTCCACGGTGAGTGTGTTTCCATTGGAATGATTAAAGAAGCCGAATTATCAAGATACTTGGGAATACTACCACCAGTTGCTGTTGCCAGACTTTCAAAATGTCTTGCTGCATACAAATTGCCCATTTCAGTTGACGAAAAGGGCTTTTCTAAAATTGTTGGAGGTAAAAAGTACAACTTGTTGATTGACCTGTTGATCCAAAAGATGTTGATTGACAAGAAAAACGATGGTAGCAAGATAAGATGTGTTTTATTGGAGAGGATTGGTAGATGTTACCAGCTTAAAGCTCACCAAATATCGAAAGACGATTTGAGATTTGTCTTGACTGATGAAGTTTTGGTACACCCTTTTAAGAATGTCCCAGAGTCGGTTACAATATCGCCACCAGGTTCAAAGTCGATTTCCAATAGAGCCTTGATACTAGCAGCGTTAGGAAGTGGCACAGTCCAGATTAAGAACTTGTTACACTCAGACGATACCAAGCACATGTTGGATGCATTGTCTGTATTAAGAGGTGCTTCCATTTCGTTTGCAGATAACGGTGAAACTGTTGTTGTTGAGGGTAACGGAGGAAATTTATTTGCCAGTGAGAAGGGGTTATACTTGGGTAATGCTGGAACCGCCTCGAGGTTCCTTACTGCCGTTGCATGCTTAGCTAAAAGCTCAGATAATCTGGATGTTGTCCTAACTGGTAATTCCAGAATGCAAGAGAGACCAATTGGTCCTTTAGTTGAAGCTTTAACGTCGAATGGGTCGGAAATTGAGTACTTGAAAAACAGTGGCTCGTTGCCATTAAAAATCACTGCTGGAAAGGGCCTTAAGGGTGGCAAGATTGAATTGGCCGCTACTATTTCATCTCAATACGTGTCAGCAATTCTCATGTGTGCACCATATGCCGAGGAGCCTGTAACATTGTCGCTCGTTGGGGGAAAGCCTATTTCGCAATTGTACATTGATATGACTTGTGAGATGATGAAGCAGTTTGGTGTTGAGGTGACGAAAACCGAGCCATACACCTACCATATTCCAAAAGCAACCTACAAGAATCCTTCTGAATATGTTGTTGAATCGGATGCATCATCTGCCACCTATCCTTTGGCATTTGCTGCGTTGACAGGCTCCTCCTGTACAATTCCAAACATTGGTTCGTCGTCGTTGCAAGGTGATGCAAAATTTGCCGTTGATGTTTTAAAACCAATGGGGTGTGATGTGAAGCAAACATCAACAACTACAACTGTCACTGGTCCGCCACTTGGCGGGTTAAAGGCGTTGTCGAGTGTGGATATGGAGCCCATGACCGACGCTTTCTTGACCGCTTCCGTTGTGGCAGCTGTCGCTAAGGGCACAACCACGATTACAGGCATTGCAAACCAAAGAGTTAAAGAGTGCAACAGAATTAAAGCCATGGTTGATGAATTGGCCAAATTTGGAGTCAATGCTCATGAAATTGATGATGGTATAGTGATTGAAGGTGTGCCATTGAGTGATTTGAAAACCCCTCGAGTGGAAAACAGAGGTGTGCATACCTATGACGACCACCGAGTTGCCATGTCGTTTTCGCTATTAGCCGGTTTGTGTAAACTGCCAGTTTTGCTTTTGGAACGTTCCACCACAGGAAAGACGTGGCCGGGATGGTGGGATATCTTACATTCCAAGTTTGGTGCTACTCTTGAAGGTTATGAGCCAGAAAAGACGACAAATTCCATCACTAACGGGGACAAAAGTGTTGTTGTAATTGGTATGAGAGCCGCAGGGAAAACCACGTTGTCCAAATGGTTGGCAAAATTCCTCGGTTTCAACTTTATCGACCTAGATGAATATCTTGAGCAGAAACTTGGCATTGATATCAAGACAATGATCAAGACAAAAGGCTGGGACTATTTCAGAGAGCAAGAGTCATTGTTAGCTGCAGAATGCTTTCAAAAGTACTCTACGGGATATGTGCTTTCCAGCGGCGGTGGTCTTGTCGAAAGTGAGGATGCTAGGAAACAACTCAAAAACTACATGGCCAACAATGGTATTGTTTTGCACTTGCACCGTGATTTGGAGGAGACGGTTACATTCCTAAACTCAGATGCTACACGCCCTGCTTTTTCCTCTGAAGTGAAAGATGTGTGGTTGAGAAGAGAAAAGTGGTACCATGAGTGTTCCAATTATCATTTCTACGCTCCACACTGTTCTGATGATGCTGATTTTGCCACATTGAAGAAGGTATTTTTGAAATTCATTGCCAAAATCACCGGTATTGAAGAAATGGCTATTCCTAAAACGCGTTCTGCCTTTGTCACATTGACATATCCGGATGTGAGAAATGCGTTACAAATCTTGCAAGGCATCACTGTTGGAGCAAATGCTGTTGAATTGAGAGTCGATTTGCTTGCAAAGTCTGACCAAGCCTACATTGCTGATCAAGTTGGGTTATTGAGGAAAACTGTGGACCTACCAATTATTTACACGATTAGAACAAAATCTCAAGGTGGTTTGTTTCCTGACAAAGATCTTGAATCAATCAGATCATTACTTTTGTTTGGTATCAAGATTGGCGTCGATGTGATTGACTTGCAATTGATTTCACCAAACGATATCATCGACGAGGTCATGTCAAAGAGAAATCACACTAGAGTCATTGCATCACACCACGACTTCACTGGCCAATTGAAGTGGGATAATGTTGAGTGGAAGACCAAGTACGATCAAGGGGTGGCTATCAATGCTGATATTGTCAAATTAGTTGGCAAGGCTGATGATTTTAATGACAACTTGTTGTTGGAGAAATTCAGAAGTGAAAACACGACCAAGCCTTTAATTGGGTTGAACATGGGACCAAAGGGGAAGTTGTCAAGAGTTTTAAACACAGTATTTACGCCAGTGACGCATGATCTCATCACAGATAAACCACAGGGAGTTGGCCAATTATCGCTCAAGGAAATCAACGAAGCCTACTTCCAAATTGGTGGATTTGTTGAAAAGAAATTCTGGGTTGTTGGATCACCAATAGAGCATTCAAGGTCACCTGCATTACACAATGCCGGGTATGAAGCATTGAGTTTGCCATACAAATTTGATAGGTATGAATCGAGTGACGCAGAGACTGTTTATAACAAGTTAATGTTGAGACCTGATTTTGGTGGATTGGCCATTACGATGCCATTGAAATTGGATATGATGAAGTATGCCACCAAACTTTCAGACTCGGGTAAATTGATTGGTGCTATAAACACAATTGTACCTATCGACGGTGGCTTCCTTGGTGACAATACTGACTGGGTTGGAATTACAAACTCCTTCAAGCAGAATGGGTTCATAGGAGGCAATAAAGTTACTGGCTTAGTTGTAGGTGGAGGCGGTACTTCAAGAGCTGCAATCTATGCTTTGCACAAGTTGGGTTGTGAAAAGATTTATTTGCTCAATCGTACTGTATCAAAGTTACACGATATTGCCAGCAGTTTCCCCAAAGAATACAATCTTGAAGTAGTTGAGCTGGATGAGCAAGTAAGAGATAAACCAGTATCATTGGCTGTTTCCTGTGTTCCATCTTCAGCACCATTGGACGAGGTCTTGTTAACGAGATTGGAGATTATGCTAAACTCCAACAAGGCTGATAGTGATGATGTTCCATTGCTTTTAGAGGCAGCATACAAGCCTAGAATTACACCTGTTATGCAATTAGCAGAAGAAAAGTACAACTGGAAGGTTATTCAAGGGGTTGAGATGTTGGTGAATCAAGGTGAAGAGCAGTTTAAAATCCATACAGGGTTTGTTCCACCATATGATGTTATCCATGATGCAGTAGTTGCTGAAGACTAAGGCTATGTAAATAAGGCAATATATATATATATATATATATATACATATATATGTGATTAGTAAAGTCTATACTCTTTTCTCTTTTTGTTTTTTCTCTTTGAATTGCGGCATCGGAATAATACGTTGTCTTGTGTGGTGCACAAAAACGATATGCTTATTAAAAGGCCATCGGAAAAACTCGCGTGACAACCACCACAAAAGAACAAGTAAAGCTTTTTATCGAAACACCGATCGGGGTTTGAGATGCTTGTGCAGCGATGACTTGATATGCAAGAGTAGTGATGATAGAGTGGCGTTCCAATCTTTGATGCGTTTGGTGTCGTAGATGCAGAGGAAGTGATTGTAATGTCTAGTTCAGCCAGTCAGAAGATATTAAGTATTTGTTTCTGTTTCTGTTTCTGTTTCTTCTCTCTCTTTTCCTTTTAGAACTCCGAAGTCAAAAATAAAAAAAAAAAACAAAAAAAAAGAAATTTTTTTGTGGTGGTTAGTGGTGATTTGAATGTTGTTACCCCTCAATTGTAAAATATAATGTCACCCACCATAACAAAAAAAAATAAGAGCCCCCCCCTCTGAAACACACACACACATACCAGTTAATTAACCAACTTAAGTATAGCCACGGGTGACTACTCAGCCATTACTATCCAACCCACTCACCACGCTCTTCCAGTAGTATTACCACCACCTTCCAAAAGCAAATCACACTCCACCAATTTGTGGTGTTTAGAAATTTTGACACACAAAATTATAAAACTCAGCCAAACTGCAGGAAAGGAAAAAATCTTTTAAATCATCATAACCAACTTTGGTATAACCATAAAAAAAACAAAAAAAAGTCCGCCTCATCGAGTACTTTTACTTCATCAGCTATATATTGAAAAGTGTACCCCCTGGCTTTTCCCTTTTTTTTTTCTTGACTTCATTTCCCCCATTTCAGTGTTTTCTTATCACAGGTTGAGAAGTTTTTATCATAACGTGTGGCGCTCTTTTCAGAATTAGACGCCCTTAATTCATACTGCAATAGGACACACACATCTTTTGATATGTCACGATCTTATCATTTGTACAGAACGGCATTATTTCCACTGAGGATGTCACCACTACCTCACTGCCAGCAACACCATTCACTTTACCAACTACACAAACCTAGTCGAATAAATCTAACCGCAACGAGATTCATTTCTTCCTACTTCAAAGGAGTTCGAAACTACTTTGGATTCAACTTATCAGAGGAGAGCGAGGAGAGAGATCTGGTTGATGAAGTGATACCGTATGTCCAGTACCCACTCATCACCAAGGAACAAATGAAGAAGTTAGCACAAGACAAGTTTAAGTTTGAATTTGGCTACGCGTCTTTTGGTTTCCATTCGGACTCAATTGTGCCATCTATAAATTCGCTTAGTGATTTGACCGATCCTACACAGTTGAACTCGCTTCTTCCGAGAAGAAGACCAGCAGGGTCACCCAGTGACACATTGAGCATTAAGGCAGGGGACGATACCATGCTCGTTTCCCCATCAGTTCTAGCTATTGCCGATGGGGTCAGTGGTTGGGAGAGTTCGGGAGAGTTGGCAAACTCAGGCGTATGGTCACGTTCAATAGTAGAAACTTTTAGTCGATTAATGACCGAGTACAAGATTAGCCACACGCCGCATCATTTGAAACGACGCGACATTCAAGAGATTTTAGACGACTCGTTTTTGCACACATCGCATTTGATGGATTTGCAAAAGTTGAGCGGCTCATCAACTTTGGTGTTGGGAATGTTGAGTGGTGATATTTTGTTAATGATTAGTATCGGAGATTCAAAGCTATTCATCATTAGAGATGGACAGATTCTTCTTACAAATAAAGAGGAGTCGGGTGATGGTTTTTGCCCTACACAAATAGGAACCAACACCATGTCCACATTGCCTTCTGACTTTGCCTGGATTGATCTGATCAAGTTGAAAGAAGGAGACTACATTGTCATGTGTTCAGATGGAATCACTGATAACTTATACGAAAGTGAAATCATAAACTACTTGGACGAGTTTGTAAATATGAAAAAAAACAATGTGAAAACAATTGCCAACAAGTTGTTAATCAAGGCGAAAGAGGTGGCATTTGACGACTATGCCTACACTCCATACAATGAAAAGGTTAATCAAACATTAAACAAAAACTCGACTAGAAAGTCGAATAGTGTTGGAGGAAAAGTTGACGACATGTCGATAGTTGTTGCAAAAGTCACAAAGAATAGTAAACAAAAGTAAATTGGGGAAGCGGCACCATCTTCCTGAGGTGATTTTAATATTGGGTTAATGGGATAAATTTAGGTAATAGAAAAGAAAAGAAAAGTTTAGGGATTTGCTAGATAGAACACAATTTAATAAAACATTAATATATATATATATATATATACAATCTATACTGTAGATATCTCGGTAAAATACTGACGAAGAATGGTTGAAAGCATTTCTGGTAACTCATTAATATCCTTAACAATGACGTAAAACTCAAAGGGGAAACTGTCAAGATACTTATCCACCTTCAAAACCAACTCACCTGTGTTTGCATCAGCTTCATATCTCACCTGTTGCATGTCCATAATCGACTCCTTCAGATTGATTCCATCAATGACGACAAACACCATCATAATCTTCTCATCTCTGGCCCTTCTCACCATCCGCATAATATTCTCATGACTTTCACAAACACCATCACTAATGATAATCTGCAACTGCCACAAGTCGGCCTTGTTTTCAAATTTCTCATCCTCAAATATCTTTAAGGACTCATTACACAATGCCTTGATGTCAGTTCTTGATTGGTGGAAATCAAACCATTGGAAAATTTTAGCTCCAGTTTCATTATTGGCATTGAATGGTTTATCAAATGGATGTACGATTTTCACATCCTCACCGAATCGAACAATTGACAATCCACCACTCTCCAATTGACTCAAGGCCTTGGATACCAAAGCGATACTATTGAGTGCCAATTTGGACGAATTGCTTTCAGTCATAGACTTGGAGTCATCAACGGCAATCATAATCTGGTATTCACGCTTAGACGGCTTTGTTCTTCTCAACCAGATCTTGTCCTTTTTGAAATCAGATGCAATGTAGGGAATAATACGCTTCATATTTAATCTCTTTCCTGTCTTGTAATCTCCACGCAATTTGGTGCTTAATGTAGGTTCCAAGATTAATCTCAACTGCTCACAAAGTCCTGATGCTAGCTCCTGTGTAGCCAATTCACTCTCCTTCCACAATTTACGTGCCTCTTCCAAAGACAATGGTGGTTCATCATCGTTGATGGCATATCTTTCAATCATTTCTTCAACCTCTTCCTCTTCATCTTCATCAAGATCCATGGCCGGTTTGGATAGTGACTGGTCTTGTTGTTCATCCACAGCGGCAGCATCCTCAACAGCTTTCTGTGCTGCAGCACCATTGTCATCGTCTCCATTCTCCTCTTGCGCTTCCTCATTTATATCCATTTCAACAGCTTCTGCATCTGCCTCATTTTCGTTCTCATCGCGAGTAGCCTCCTCCTTGTCTTCTTCCTCATCAATTGCCATGTCTTCATTGATGGATTGAATTTGATCCTTATTGGCAGCCCCAAGTGCTTGCAAGTCATCAATATTGGCATCTGGATTGTGTTGAAACTCATTCAAGTTCTGATTAGCTGATTGCTCATTGCTCTCATCATTATCTTCCTCAGCTTCAAGAATCTCTTGCCTACGACGATGAAACTCTTTCAACGAATCACCAATTTGTTTAAGAGACTCATTGGCCTTGTCACGTGCATCATCCTCAATTGATTTTTCATTCTTTTCCTCCTGGTTCGCATTACTATCTTCGCCTGCTAGATTTTCACCCTGTTCGTCATTGTTGAGCTCATTTTCAGCACCATCACCTGACTTTCCTGCATTTTGTTCTGTTGCTGCGTCCATATCAACGTCCTCTTCGTTGTCCACATCTACCAGACCGTCAGCCCCGTCTACCGCATCTGCATCTTTATTGGGCTCTTCACCACCTTCCTTTTTATCTTCACTAGTCTCTGGATCTTGGTCGTCCACTTCCTCATCAACGTTTTCCTCAGGCTCGGCATTAGCATCTTCATCAATTTCCTTTTCTTCGTTTTCCAAGCTTTGCTCTTCTTCACCATCATCAGGTGGACTAGTCGGCTCTTCCTCGTTAGCATCTTCTTCCATTTGCATGTTATCATTCTCTTCATCTTCCTTCTCCTCTTTATTTTCATTCAGTTCCTCATCGAGATTATCCTCAAACTCATCCTCACTTTCTCCCTTATCTTCTTCATCATCATCACCATCAATATTGATATCATCAGGGAGTTCCAAAGCTTCCGATTCAGGGACATTGTCTTCCATCTGATCACCTTCTTGGTTATCAACCTTGTCCTCCTGTTCACCAACATCTTCCTCCTCTTCCTCTTCTTCTTCACCTTCCTCATTATCTTCCTTTTGTTCAGTGTCCTCTTTCGACTTTTGGTCTTTATCACCCGCTTCACCTTCTTCTTCATCTTCTCTTGCCTCCATTTCCTCATCATTATTTGAATTCTCCGGAACCTTATCCGATTCTTTCTCCTTTTCTTCTTTCGCCTCCTCATCCCACATTTTCTCATCAACGTTATTTGGATCCAACTCATCCAAGTCATCAACTTCTTCATCAAGATCTTCACCATCTTCTTCATCACCTTCATCATCATCCTTGTCCTGGTCAGATAAATCCTCAAGTTCACCCGCCATATCACCTTCCATCTCAACGGCATCATCATTCTCCTCCTGGTCCTCATCCTTATTCTGCTCGTCATTCGGCTTTTGTGCATTTTCCGTCAAATCGTCGTCTTCTTCAACGTCATTGTTATTATTCTGAGCTCCTTCCCCATCTCCCAATCCTGTTCCGTCATGCAAGTTGTTATCTTCCTTTTGCTCTTGAGGTGGCTCTGGGCCACAGAATCCCTTTGTTGCTAGTGAGTAAAGCAACGAGGACAAAATAAATGTTGCTTTGGACAAGTTTTTATAGTTGAATCTTGCTTTATCGAAAACGATTGAACACAATTCAAAGTAGTTTTCAATCAACGGGAAAGTGAATGCAGCTAGTGATGAAATTACCGGAGAATGATCAACCATAGAAGTAGACATTTCGATACAACTCTTAAGTTTAGCAACAATCTCCTTGATGTGGGTGAGTTTTATATACTCAGACACTTTGCTTTGGGCCAGAATCAACCAATTATCATCATCAGCTGCTATCTCTGTCTTGCAACAATCAGTAATCTTTTGAACTGCAACAAGAATCATCGACGACAATTTTCTAAATTCTACTTCACAAGCTTCCACTGACGATTGGCCTGCTGGATCATCATTAGAAAATTCCATGGAGGAAAAGTTCTCATTCAACCAATTCAAAACAACATCAGCCACAAACTGTACTTGCACATTCTCTCTTTTCCAAACATTCAATACGTCTCTCAAGCGATTTTCAAACAATTCATACAGTTGCAAATTCTGCTCACTCAGCGTAGTGTAAACCAATGACTCAGGTTCAAAGTCTGGGAACGCATCCAACTCCTTTTTCAACTCCTCAAATGGGCCAGTTGCAACAGTCGAAGAGAAATAGCCAACAGCGTTGCATGTGCTGATGGCGTAGTCCAACAATTTGGGAAGCCATCTTCTCCTCAATTTAACATTTTCGACACTTCTTTTATAGTGCCTAGTTGGAATAAGCTTTTCATCATCTGTGCGCATTTTAGCTAAAGTCGAAATATCACCGGCGCATAACCGCAATGCCTCGTACTGACTATTAAACTTGGCAAGTGGCGAGCGCTTCACAATGAGGAAATGAATTAAATTCTCTGCCGCTGATAATCCCTTTTCGAGATCTGCTGCAGGGACATCTTCACATGGTGAACCAACAGCGGCTCTCAAGCGAGGCAACAAATCCAAGATTCTAAAGTAAGCACAGTCGCATTCTTCCAAAAACCCATTAAATGATGTTGAATTGGCAATGATCAAATTCACCGATTTCTGAGTAGCAAGTATATCTGCCCTCATGCTAGTCTTTAATCCAGATATCCTTATTTCACGTATTGTGTCACTAAGCAATTTCATTTTTTGCGTTTTTAATGCAGCAACTAACTTTTTGCTGCCCTCATTCAATACTTTTGGGGTCTCATCACGGAGCGTGTCCGCGACACGAACAGTTTCTGCTGCAAAATCCAATAACTGCGGCAATTCCTCACTCTTGACCCTTTCTAAATAGATCTTGAAATTCTTTTTAATGATTGATATATCCTGCAATCTTTGTGGTCTTTGGCTCCACGTGGAAATAGTGGAAAGTATGCCATTGTCATGTAAGTCCACAGTCTCAATAACCGGAAGCGACATGAATTCTTTCTCTTTCACCGGTTGTGACAAGCCTTGCTCGATTACTGGTTGAACTGGTGTACTCAAAACGTCGCGGTACTTGCGCACAATCTTGTATAGACTATTATGAGACTTTCTCGCACTTTGCTTTAAAGCATCAATGTTGACGTCTTTCCAACTTGCCAAAAGAATGACCTCATCGATTTCCTTCTGCAACTTAGCTCTCTTTGCTGTCATATCCTCTTCTATAATCAGTTCAAATTGATGATAGAATTTAATGAAATTGTCTAATGCATTGACAATTGGATGCGTTTTATCAACCTGTAATCCATGATTCTTAAAAGCTTTCAAAAGCTTTAACCGAAGTGTAAACTCCCCATAGGATACCTTGCTCATGAAAATGTTTAACGCAGACAAAATATTCACTACTAGGTCATCATCTTCCTGATTTTCCAAAATTGGAATCATAACGACCTCGAGTAAATGGAACCACCATAACCCAATCTTTTCTCCACACATTTCCTCTTCATGATCAAACAAACTCTTCCATGTTGATAATTCCAATTTCCTCCACGAAACCATCAAGTCGGTCAATTGAGTGTATTGTGGTGCTAGTGAAGTTTGGCTCGATGAATACTTTTGCCATTCAGCAATGAAGGTGTAAATCTGTTCTAATTTCAGCAAGAACCTACCCAATGGCAATGCTATTGGGAAGGCCAAGAACTCAGAAGCGGCAAAGGCAATATTTCGCAAAGTAGCATGCTCTGGCCATTGTTCAAGCATTTTGTTGGTCAACACATGCACAGTGGAAATGATCTTGACAGCCTTTTGAACTTCACTTGGGTTGTTGTCTTTATAGAAATGGAAGCTTTTACTTGGTTGAGATATATCTTCATTGGTTGAATATGACGCGTTTATGACTGCTGACAAGCCGGACGGAGTATTGACCCCCGTTTTCAAATTGTAAAAAGCCAATTTATCAAATAATGCACAACCACGTCTTCTCAAAGCATCAGTGTCGATTTGCATGCCAGTTACAAAATTGTCAATATAAGAAACAGCGATATCACTGTAGATTGCTTCCAATTCATCGCTTTTATTCAATCCAGTAGTTACCTTCAAGTCAACCACTTCATCAAAATCAGGGAACAATCTCTGAAAATCTTCCTCAACATGGTCTCCCTCGACTTTGTATTTGAACATGCTTTCTTTTTGAGCATTTTCTTGATCCTGTCTCATCTTACGTAGTGACCATCTGTAATACAATGCTTTGATTGCTTTTCCTACTATTTCCATACCCTCATCTTTCTTTTGGGTAAATCCAAGAATCATAAAAAAGGACATAATCTCATCTGCATTCGGGTCCTCAGCATTCAATTTCTTTGTAAATGACTGTGCATTGGCAAATTCGGATTCAACTCTAGCAGGGGTCAACATTTCAACAGTGTTCATCAACCAGTCTTTTGAAAACTTCTCCTGTACACTAGCTTCACTATCAAACATAACCAATTCGAAACCAAACTGCAATGCATATATATATCCTAAAAGGATGTCATTCAAATCGGAGTACAAAAGATAATTTTGTTTCATTCGCTGTGCAAATTTGGAAAGATTGTTTTGAAACAAGTCAAATTTACCCCTGGCTGAAGAGGATTTCAGCTCAATCTCATTCAACAAATTGGAGACAGACCCAAAGTTGATACTCGACTCCAACATGGCGTTCCACTCGTCAATCAATCCGTCAATTGAATCAGCTGCACCACGGTACACCTTTGGAGTCTCAGGTTCAATTGCATCCGTAAGCTCCTTCAATGTTGATTCTAAATATGATGACTCATCACCAGTCATCACTTCTCTTGATCGTTTCCATGATTCTTGAAGGCCAGCGAGGTGAGACATGCGAGCTGAATAAACTTTTGAGACCACATACTCTTTAATAGCTGGGTCATTTGGAGCACTAGGCAAGTACAACTGGATGAGTCCACAAGCAAACAAAATCCACGCTTTTCCCAAATCTGCTAAGCTATTCAGCTTGATCAAAGTCAAAACTGGCACCAAAAATTGGTTGAAAACTTGGGCAACGTTAGCATCCAACTTGGCAAATACTTCGCTATCCAGTTGTTCATCCCAATTCAATCCGTGGACTTTCCATATATACCTCAACCAGGTATTCAATTTGTCAACAAAAGCGACTCTTTGATCCGACAAGATGTAGTTGGAAGTTTGAAGCAATGATGTGTTAAGTAGTTTCATATCCCCTATTGTTTCACTAACTTTATTGGCGGCAGTAGATTTCAAGTTTGTCACCTTTTCCAAGCTTGAAGCAAGCAAGCTGCTCGAAAACAATGCTGGGATTCGAGATGCTACTGGATCGCTTTTACTCCATAGGTTTGCTAGTATGCCAGGGAATGGACCATCATTTCCACTACCAACAATAGACCTCAATGACCTCTCAGAAATCATGTACAAACTCTTCACTTGTTGAATATCACCCATATTCTCTGCAAAGTCACAAATATAAGTGAATTCTATCTTGAATACGTTTTGTCGATCATTTACGATTGCAATCAAGTTTGCCTTCAACTCATTCAATGTTGAGTACACCGTTTCCAAAACGGAATTCAAATCGTTCTCAACGTATTTGTTAAAGACAATAGCATCGTAAAGTTGGGTAAAGGCTACCACAAGATCCTGTACGATAGTTGATGTACCATAGGATTGCCTTTTGGACACATAATCAAGATCATCCATAATTCCGTAGACGGTTCTCAAATACTCCCACCCTCTTAATGACAGCGGATACTTGCCACGGAAGTTTTCCCAAATCAAATCCATTGATAATCCAGATGTCAACTTTAAGCCATTACCAAACGATGCAATTGTAGATTCCAAGGTGACGCTATCATCCTCAATGAGATTGGAATGGATCTCACACCATTTACTAAGTAATCCCTGGTAAACTCTAATTTTAGATTCATTTTGTTCTCTCGATGATTCAAGTAAGGCGTTGGAAATAACAAGCAAATCGAAAACAGGGTTAAACAAGCGACGCGAAAACAAACGAGAGTGGTCCCGTGAAAGTGTCTTTATGACAAAGGAAACCATTCCTTGAAGTAGTTGAAACACACCAAGACGAGGCTTTGATTTTAGGTCTCTTCCAAGATACATCGCCGCTGACCTTTCAATGTAGGATAAGTCTCCGATCTTCTTGTTCATTGCATCCAATTCGACATTCTTCAACAATGAGGCAATTTTCTTAACCTCGTTCACAACTTCATATAACATGGTGGACTCGCTAGACTTGACGAATTCATGGCCCAGCACAAGCGAGGCTACTAGCGTCATATTAACTAAAGGATGGATCGCTTGATGCGCGCCAAAACCCCAGTCCCCATTGAGAATGCCACTTGCAATTTCACGTGCCGGTTCATACAAATCATGCATGGCCATTTCAAACCCAAACTGGTGATAAAGGATGAAGTTGTCAAGCACCACCTGCGACACCTTCTTGCTATTCAGCTTGAATTCGGGGGATTGGCAAACAAAATCTTTCCACTGTTGAAGTAATCCTAATGAAGCAAAGGAGGCGATACTCCAAATCGAGCTCATAAAGGATGAACCGTTGCACAAAGAGTCTTCAATAAGACTGAAATTGCTCATTTCTGTACACCTGTCATAGCCATAAATAGCTGTTGGCACTGGAACCTCAGCCAATTCACTAGCCTCTTCCAATTCCTTTGTGATACCCAATAATTTGCAATCGAACAAGGTAGCTCTATCACAGAGAGCTTCCATGTAGACTTCGACACCTCTGTTTCTCATTGCTCTCGATAATTCCCCATACTTAGGATCCACAGTCAAAAAGAGTCTAAAATTTGGGTGAGGTTTGATAACTCTCGGTTCTCCATTTTCAAGAGTGCATTCATTGACAACCAATGTTCCATTCGTTTCCAACAACGAATTCAATCTATCCAAAACAGAAGGGGGACACAAGTTGGCATTATCAAGGACCAACCAACGGCCTTGTTCCACAGCTTGCACAAGAAGACCATCGAACCACTCAAACTTTAATGAGCTAGGCTGTGAAAGCTTCGAAAGCAACGACTCCGACAAAGCAATAATATCCTTATCCAAAAATTCTTCACTGACAGACGAAAATTGTTGATGGAATTGCCCAAAGTTCTCTGTTGTGATACTATTGGACGAAATGTCATCGATTATTCGTAAGACTTGGGATAATTCTGTCTTACCCGACTGTGACCGCACCCTTGCCACAACGACTTGACTTAAAACGGAATAAACATGGTTCAAAAAGTTGTGGAGTGCTCTAGATAAATCGGCTTGTTCGTAGCCCCCAAGAATATCCATAGAATCCACATCACTATTCATTGAAAATTCGTCCAACTTGGCTCCAAGAATGTTGGCCATATAACGAATCAAGCAGGTTTTTCCAGAGCTGGTGGGTCCTGTCAATATCATTGGCATGTTATATGAGACACATCTAAGAGCTGTTTCCATAATTGAAAAGTTGCATTGCAATGGCAAAAGTCGATCGCCATTGTTGTATTGCATCAAGTTGTTTCTTGGTAATATCGCCGAACCTGCTTGGACAAATGATACAGCCTTGTTGAAATAGTTGTCCCTCTTGGCAAAAGCTCCAAACGACTTGGCAAACAAATCAAATGCATGGGTGCGATCTTCAGGATTTCTAAACCTTTGGCAAATAATCATGTTCATGAAATCAGAAATCTGCGTGTCAGCTTGCAAATTTTTTGCAGTGTATAAACTCAACCACCTCAAGGAGTCACGTAAGTTAAACTCCCAAGGGCTACCAGAATGGCCCCATAACTTTCTCGTAACCACCTCGTTCTCGATAGTAGACATGAATTCAATCAAGTTTGCCGATTGGGACGAGTCTACCAGTGGATAAACGTGCAGCAATATAAAATTGAGATCCTCTGCTTTCAAAGTATCCACGTAAACCACACTGAAACGATTGACAAAAGATTTGGGTAATCCTTTTCTTCCACCTCCTTGATACTGAGGGTTTTGTGCAGCAAAGATTTTAAAATCATGATGCTTCTTGAATGTTTTGCCCAATTCTGGTATATATGCCTCACCTCTATGATCCAAACATGCATTTAATCCTTCAAGCACCGACTGAGAGGCCAAATTCATTTCATCGAGTAAAATCCATTCACCGCGTTGCATGGCACGTAAAAATGGAGCATCTCTCCAAGCAAATTCTCCTGCTTTACCGTTTTCAGCTGGTGCATCTGATCCAAATAAATCAACCAAATCGGTTTGTTCAGATAAATTGATACGTATAAGTGGGTTTCCCGTGGAAGCGGCCATTGCGGTGATCAAACTAGTTTTACCAACACCTGGACTACCCTCCAACAAAATGGGCTTGTTCACTTGCATTGCTCTGGTTACCCTCATGGCGTTTGTTGCTGTAGTCGGAGCATCTAGACTGAAAGAATAGGTCTCTTGATTAGCATTTCTTCTGGGGATGCCAAACAAGCCTGCATTGAACGAGTCGTTAGTGACGTTAACCTCAATCTTCAGACTAGCAAATTGAGATAGATCAATGTGAGAAAAGCGGGCCAACGTATCAACACATGTCAGCTTCATTCTGTCAAGAGACTCCGAGTTTTCCGACAAGTAAGCAGTATTGTTAGTTCCCAAAGCATCAATGAACACCATTGCCGCACCATTCAAGAGTGCAGCCGATGCACCCAAATATGAGTGGGATATATTAATAAAATCAACCCAGGCCAAAATGTCCCTAATTGAAATTACTCCACTAATCGTGCTTCCACCACCAAATTCCAAAGCATACCATTCAGAAAACTTGACAATTGCATCAGCAAGCTCCTTCACCTGAAGTTTAGACTGCACGATTTTGAAGACATCTTGGAAGTCCTCCATTGATGGCACCCAAATTTCAGTAAATCTGTTTCTCAAAGCAGGAGATAATTCTTTCTTTCCGTAATCACCACCAGGGTTCATGGTGGCTAAAAATTTGAAATCACCGGCAGCAGTCACGTATGCATCTTCGGTTCCCTTCTCGGCAAGTAATAAACTTCGCTCCGGCTCAAGGACCGAGTTCAAACGCTCCAAGACGGAATCATCAGCGAGGGAAATTTCATCCAAAAGGAAAAAGTTGCCTGTCTTCATTGCTGTAACTAACGGCCCATCATTCCATGCAAACAATATCGAATTCAACTGAAGTTGTTCTTCAATTACTGCAGATAAACCTTCAGCTTCAATGTTGTTTGACTTCTCTTTGTAGGCTTGTAACAATTCCTCAAGTGTCCAATGGTTCAACCCTTCTACACCATGGTCAGTCAAGTACTGAATGAGATTTCTTCGTAAGTCCTGTTGTATACTGCTCTTATTTCTAATCGGCCTTTGACTTCCAAGCAAGTCACCCGTCTCAGTGTTTTGATGTGCATTAACCACTATGAGTTGCTTGGCATAGTAGTTGGCAATGATTTGACAGATGGTTGTTTTACCACATCCGGTCTCTCCAACCAATAACAATGGCTCATTATATTTTACAGAAGCAAGTACCATTATTGCTAGACGACGCATAGCTCTGGTCCATACAACGGTGTTTTCGGTACCCATTAAACCCTCTAGATCGAAATTATCATAATACAGGTCCATGTCTAACTTGACCTTCATGACTTTCTCAATGGCTTCTTTGACAACTCTTTTCTCATCGTCCTTACGCACCCGCTCTGCCAATAGCATATAGCCGTTGATAGCCAACTCTTCATACCCAACGGCATCTCTTTGAGCCCAACGAAATAAATCTCTCAAAGTTGCAAACGAATTCTTTTGTTCAAACAATCTGGTTGACTGACGCTGCACCGTTAACTGCTTATAAACGTCAACAATTTTCTTGGCATAACTTGGAGCAATTTGACACCTTTGGCGTAAGATAATCTCCAACTCGTCTTGCGGGATGTCATCGAAATGAAGCTCCAAAAATCTATTACGAAATGCACGGGAAAGAACTTTTCTACCACCATACAAACCAGGTGGATTCTGAGTAGCAAATAGCATAAAGTCTGGGTGGGGCTTTACAACTTCCTGTGTTTCCGGAATGAATAGCTCACGGTTGTCATCCAACAATCTATTCAAAGCCTCAAGCACATCGGTTGGGGCCAAATTCAATTCGTCCAAAACAATCCAGTAACCTTTGCGCAAAGCTTCAACCAAGATCCCCTCTTGAAAGACCAACTGTCCCTTGGAGTTGCTAACATAAGTACCCAAATACTCTTGAAGATCGGTGTGCTCGTGGTTGTTTATACGCACAAATTTGTGACCGGTAATATTAGCCAAGTAGTTGATCATTGATGTTTTACCAGCCGATGTTGGTCCTTGAATCAATACTGGAAATCTCCGACCCGCTGTTGCCCTAACTAGGTTCATCAAATTCTTTTCAACAAAGGGAGTGATGATATAATTGGGTTGAGGAATAACCTCATTGGGTCCGTGTTTCATCCAGTAATGCTTGAATTGGACGAATCTTCCTGAGTCATGAGGTGGGGGAGGTGGAATTTGACTCATTACTGAGTTCATGTTCTTCAACTTGCCAACAGTGTAATTTATAATCTCTGGCTTGAGTAGGCTTTCGGAATTGGCATCCAATAATGTTAAAAATGTCATGCAAAATCCTTCGTACAAGGATCTTCTGAGACCATAGATCGGCACTATATCAGTAACGTAAACTAAAGTTCTCGTCAAGGTACGAATACTAAAGTGTGGCCTCTGGTTTGCACCGTCAACGATTTTATTCAGCTCAGACAAAGATTTCGCTTTCAAGTATAGCTCGGCAATATCGTTGACTACTATGCCATCTCCAATGGAGTATCGCCCAATGTACTTGTCTATTATCCTCAATAGATCCTGGTAATCTTTGTCAGGGGAATGGACATAAATTTCGGTGAACTTGGACCTAATACTGACCGGAAGGTCTCTTTTGCCAACATCGGTTGACGGATTCATACATCCAAAAAGCCTAAAGTCAGGATGCACCTTGATAGGTTCCGTGTCTCCTCTCTCTGATAACAAAATAGATCTTTGCTCTGAAGAATCATTCAATAAATCGGCAATACTTTCCAATGTGTCAGAACTTGCCAAGTTAATTTCGTCTAGCAAGAGCCAGTCACCGTTCTTGATGGCTTTTACCAAGGAACCCTCAACAAAGTTGAACACAAAAGAGTGATCGGACGTCGAAGCAGTGACTTCAAAGTCCTTCAACATCTGGTGAAAGTTACTCCACTTTTGCAAAAGAAAGTCTGGATCGACTGCTTTATATTTTCTCTTTTTCCTTGGGGCACCATCATCAGCATCGCCTTGAGGTTCTTTTTTGGTGAGTACATCCACGGCCAGCTTATAAGCCTCTGTCCATAACTTCAACACGTTTTTCCATTGGCCACTGTTGAAGCAACGCAATAACACCTTGTTGAATCTCTCATTTTTCTTTTCGGAAAAAGTGGCCAAAAAGAGAGGTTCGAAATATTCCTGAACACCGACAGCGATGAGCTTGGTATTTACAGGTTTGTAACCTCCAAGTAAATCACCTGATTCTGTTTGTTGAGAAACATTGATCACGGTTAGCTTTTTGCCCAAAAGCTTTGCAACATGTTGGACAATTGTGGTTTTACCAGTACCGGTTTCTCCCACAAGCAATATGGGCTCGGTCATGCTTATTCCAACACCTATTTGCTCCATTAAATGAAGAGCGTGATTAGTTCTGGCAAAAGAAGATGAGTCGGATTTCCTATTGCCACCAGCCTTCAATGATGCTCTTCCTATTTTCACAACATTCACATCGGCTTGAAAAACTGGCGTGTGCTTTGATATAAAGTGGTTAACTCTCAGAGGTGGAACTTGGAAGTTTTCGCCTATGAATTTGGCTAAAAGCTCCAACGCTTGAGGTTCAACTATGGCGCTTCCAAAACAAGACACGGCTTCGGCAAAAATATTGTCATATATAGAAGTTTCCAACGGTTGGTCACATTCCGAGATACCCTCTGATATAAGTAACCTATCAATTCTTGAGCAAAACTTGATCAAATCCTTGGTGGACACAATTCTAGGGAGACTTCCTTTATTTAATGTGATGAATGCTTTTTGGTTGTAAAATCGCAACACCTCAAAATAGCAGTTCATTACCTGCTCAATTAAATTTGGAAGTATGGGGAACTTTGTGCGCAAGACAACTTTCATCTCTTCCGAATTGGGCGTTTCCAAGTTGATTACTTTCCAAAACCTTGCTCCAATGAGATCAGGCAAAGTCCTATTCTTTGAATCGTTCGACCTTATAGTTGAAAACAATTGAAAGCCATTTTTGGCTTTGATAACTTCACCACGTGACGGTATACTAAGAGTTCTCTTTTCCAACAATGTTAGCAAAATTGATAAAATTTCTGTTGGTGCCTTGTCAATATCTTCAATCAAAACCCACTTTCCTTCCTGAACTGCCGATGTCAACACACCAGTGTTCCATTGAAAAGTTCCTGGTTTCTCACCCGACGTGTAGGTACCAAGTAATAATTTTGCATCCGTTTGTTCTCCCAAATGGATCTTGACGATGGAATCAGAACAATGCAAATCATTGGCCAATTTGTTGATCAAGAAAGTCTTACCTGATCCTGAATCACCAACAAGCATTACTGGCTGATTCAACTGAATATCAATTGCCAAAGTTCTCAACGCCAGGACTGATGTTTTTGTTGGAACAAAGTCAATCGGGCTATTTGTATAGGAAGCGCTATTTGCCAATCTCGGTACCAAAACACCACAGACTGACACCAAAAGCGTTGAAGATAAATCAGCAGGTGATATCTCTACACAAACCTGGGTATTCTCATTTGTAAAATCCTGTGGTGGCAAAGTCTTGTAGTTGGATATTCTTTTGGCTTCTGATAAGGTAAGAAACTTGAAGTTGAGTGACTCTTTATCGAATTTGGAAAGTAACTCATCTCCACTAGCATACTTTTCCAACATTTCATTTCTTGACAACTCCGATGCCAGTAGATAGACTGTAAGTATTTCAACACACAAGTATTTGCATACTCCTGGTTGTCTACTTGATTCAAGAATCTTGTAAATAGCTTCTGGCTTGACGTATTGTTTGAATCTCTCTGAGCCAAAGTGCAATAAACGGTAATATGCTAAAAGTATCCCCTCCAATTCAGCGTCACCAGTAGTGTCTAATATTGCCCAAATGTTTAATTTTTGCAAAAAGTGTTCAAACAAGTTCAAAACCTCTGGTGCAATGTCGAGCAATGTTGAGAGTGCTGACAAGACAATGGACCCTTGAACGTAGTTACTACTGGAATTTTTGGAATACTCCCTTTCAAAAATAGCAGTATTTTGAATCAAGCGTGCTATAAGCTCCAAAAATATTGGCTTGTAGCAGTAGTATGCAATTGTAGGGTTTCTCAATGCGTATAACGACAAGTGGTTCAAATTCTCATTTATGGATAGTTCGTTCTTGAAAAGTAATGGTTCTTCTGGGAGATGTTTCTCTGGACACAGGAGTCGGTAGGTTTTGTATGCATTTTGTACTGTGGCCAAATTCAAGTAAATATTATCAATGGTCATTATGAAATGCAAATGCAAATGCAAAAGAGTCGCCAGTAGTGGATCTTTATTTTTTTTTTTTTTGAATTGAGACACTGAAACTTTTGATTTTATTGACAGCTTGTCTAATCGGAGATATACTGTTGAGCGTGTGTGACGATTTGTGGTCTTTGCTCTGTAATGTTACTGGTGTATGTTTTGAAAAAAAGGACAATGGTTTTGATTTTTGTTTTGAGATGAGGATGAGGTAAAGTGGTAGCGCAACATCTCCAGGATGTACACTTTTAAATAACTAAACCATTACTCTATGGACATATACCTCAGTGGGGGCAACTCCACCCTTGTCTTGCAGATCAGTGGCTAAAGGTCACACCTTAGACTGTGCTTACACGATTTAGTGAAAACGGGAAGACTGCGATGAAAATTTCAAACTCGGACTGGGTAGATTTACCAATTTTAGCATCAGGGGCAAACAGGGTGGTTTTTAGATACTGAAAAGGATAACTCCTGCATGTAAAAACCACGACGACACTTGTGTCTCCTATTACACCCAGGAAGACTTGTTTGGCTCGAGGGATGATTAGCGCTACCTTCCACCAAGACAACCCACAGTTTCCTATCTCCGAACTTTATGCAAAAAAGCGATACCAGTCCTTTCTTTCCCAGCAACGCCAACAAATAGTATGCCACATAGGTTATATTTTGAACCAAGGAAACTTGAGATTGAATTGATTGAAGGTGACACTTCTTACCAATATAAGGAAAAGACGGTAGACAAACCTGACACCACCACCATCATAAAGTCCCTCCCTTCAAGTTTAACCGAAAAAGAGGTCTATATTATCGACTCAATTAACTCAGGCATTGGCAGATCTGATAAAAGAAACATTTATACGCATATTATCGAACCTTTGTTTCGGTCATTGGACATCAAGCATGAACATTTAAAGACAGAGAATGCCAAGTCAATCAGCGAGTTTGCTTCCAGCTTTCGAAACCACGACGCCACAGTTATTTTCCTCAGTGGAGATACATCTATTACCGAGTTTATAAACGCATTAAATTCCTCAGAAGGTGGCTCTATTTCGATATACCCAATTCCGGTGGGAACGGGAAATAGCTTTGCTTTGTCATTGGGCTTGACGGACCCGGTAAAGTCAATTGTCCAGTTGTTGCAAGCTGATAAAGAGTCGCCGTTGTACTTGTTTAGTGCAAAACTCCCCACAGGGACTCGCTACTTAGTACAGGATGAACTACAAGAGGAGGTCACGTCACCTACCAATTTTATTGTGGTCTTCTCATGGGCATTTCATGCCAGTTTAGTTGCAGATAGCGATACCCAAGAGTTGCGCAAGCACGGTATCGAGCGCTTCAAAATAGCTGCTCAGCATAACTTGAGTCGAGAACAGAAATACGAAGCTGACCTTTTAATTAATGATGAGCTCATCAAGGGCCCGTTCGCATACTGGGTGTTAACTCCATCTAGAAAATTCGAACCCACTTTTGATATTTCACCCAAGGGCAATATATTTGAGGACAACTTATACTTGATTGCCTTTCGCACCAAGCCCGGTGATGATAGGTACATAATGGACATTATGAAGCAAGTTTATGACGGAGGCAGCCACATAGATAACCCTGATGTGATTTATCGCGAGATCACAGCCAAGGACAAAGTAGTATTGAACTTGAAGCATTCAAAAGAGTTGCTCAAACGAAGATTCTGTGTTGATGGAAGTATCATTGCACTTCCTGCTCTTGAAGAGAGTAGCATTACAATACAAGTAAAGGATAATACGATAGACAAGTGGCAGTTATATATATTACATTAGATTTATAGTAAATACTACCTGTATCCATTTCTACCTGAGGACGAGCCTCGATATGGCGGCAAATATCCACTTCGTGCTGCATTATTGTTGCCACCTGGTGGTTGATATCTCTGCGCTTGAGCAAACTGGTTGTAACTGGCGCCCTGATTTGGGTAAAATTGCGCTTGCATATTACCGTAGTTGTTGCCATACCCTTGTCGCTGACCGTATGATCCATTTCCATAAGGATCCTGTTGTTGCTGCTGATACACATGTGTTCCATAAGGGTTGCCATTTGGTCCATTTGCCGCTCTTTCATTCCTACTTCCATCCTTCATATGTTGCAAACTAGAACGATACCCGCCTCTCCTCATCGAATACATTTTGAAAACCTCCTTTCCCTGGGGTCCTTGGTTAACGTAATCACTAGCTTGGAAATTGTTATTGAATCCACGTCCCATACCTCTAAAATCATTAGATTGAAGTCGATAAACGACTTCGTTTCGATCAGCAGTGGTGAGTGCTGGAGCTGCGGGTATATGTCCATTCAAGATCATGGACTTACCCCACGCTTTTTCTGGAAAGTGGTACTCCACCTGCAAATAGTCCTTGTTGTCAATATTTGGCATGTTACCCTCCTTTAGTGGAAACTTAAGCGTTCCACTTGGTTCAAATGATGGAAACTTTATAGCCAATCCCGATAAGCTGCTTTTCGCAAATTGAAACTTGATCGAGTCCAACTCATCTTTGTAGAAAATATCTGAAAACCGTTTGTAGTTTCTGTTTTCGTTAGAGATGAACAACTCAGCTTGCTTGTTTGTGTTTCGTTCCTTCTCATACTCGGTCAATTGGCCATACTTTCCTTGGACAGCATCGAGCAATCTCTTTTCGTCAATAAAGGGTAGCAACGGTATACCTTGCCAGCTCATTTTCTTTCCATTCATGTCAATTTCAAAATCCTCAGGATAGAATTCGATAATTTCACTATCAGCATCCTTCATCAATGTGTGAAACACCTCTGGCAAAGCATGACTGGATGCTGCTGGAAGAACTGACATCAATTGCTCATAGGGCCTAAAAGGCTCCCCTAAATTAAACTTTAAACCATCAGGAAACAAGTCCTTCAAGTCGGTCATATCGGAAGCAAAAGGAGCATAGTGATATGGATAAAACCATGTCCAAGATGGACACCCTTGGTAATAGTACAACGCGACCCACGCTATACCCTCAATGTAACTCTTGACCACATCACGTCTCACTTGCTCAACTTCTTCATCAGTTTTGCAATGAAACTTGGCCTGGTAATAACGCTTTTCATATCCTGGTTCATGTAATCGAATATCATCAACTGGTTCATCACCATCCGCCGTTGATCTTCTCTTCCTGTTTGCCTGTTGAGACTCTTCCAGGTCAGTGTTGATATTTGAGACTGAAGTTGACGCATCACTAGATTCACCACTTTCTTGTGGAGTGTCCTCTTTAAGCTGTTTCTTTGAATCAATCAACTTCTTTAAAGCAGCCGCAGCATCATTATTTGCCATTCCAGCCAACGCAATAGTATCTCTATTATTAACAAGGTCCTTGTTCGTCAATTGCGCATGTCCTTCGACAATATTCCCACTTGTATCCATCAACGGCAAGTTGGCGTCCGGGACAATAGGCGCTTTATCCTTTCCCTTAGAAACTTGCGACAAGTATACATTTTTTAATGCCTTATCCTGGTCCTCTGCAACCTTCCGCCTCTTTCGGCTCTCTTCTCTTCGTTTTTCCACTGCAAACCTGTTTCTGAAAATTTCATTCTCCTTTATTGCCAAGTCCCCCATTAATGTTTCAACACTTTGCAAGTTCAATCTCCCGTCACAAGTTACATAATCACGCAATCGAGGAAGACAGCGCTTCCAACAGTTAACTAATGTATCAATACCGTTATCCCTAACATCCAAACTTGGTAGATGTGGCAAAAAGTCATTACCTGCAAAAAAACAAATGAAAACCCAGTCGTCAATCGCCCTCTCTAGATCAAAGGAAAATGAAGTTTGAGGATTGTACAATTCGATTGCCAAGTACTCCCTCAACACGTTCACATGCAACCACAAGAATGGTTTCCTTTTGTCTCTCTCTTCGATCAAATCAAGTTGGTCTTTAGACATCCCCACATGGTCTGAAACCGTCATGTGTCTTTCTTGATTGGCAAAGACGTCCTCTCTTAATACTCTAAAATGCGGCTCGTGGGTAGCCAAACCAAGAAAAATCAAATCAGCATCCAAACCGTATATGCAATGCCTCGTGTTTGGGTTGTATTGCGGATCCGATCGCTGCGAACGTATGAAGCTCATTAACTTATGCTCACCCTCCCCCGGGACAGTAGCATCACTAATAATCACTTGCAAGTTTGCCCATCCTGGATCTGAACTTAGTTTATATGCAACCCAGTATCTCAACGCTTCGGCTAGTCGGTCCATAAATGGCGTACCTGGGGTAATAGCATTGGAATCCCATTGCTTCTTCCCTTTAACTGCATCATTGATGATTTCCCCACGTGCTTCCTTTTCTCGTATCTCTTTATCAATAGCCATTTGCTTGAGTTTTGCATCTTGAGCTGATCTGAATCTCCTTGCTCTTTGTTGATTCATCTTTGCTCTTGGCGCCACCCCATCCACTGCAATCATGAGTACTTTTCTTGGTCGTGCCATCATTAGCACTCTATCTGTATAGGTGAAAATATCCAAAAACATTTCATCCTCAGTCTCTGGTGGCCTCTTGTGCTCAGGGTGTGAACAAGGATGAACAATACCGTTCATATCCAAATACAAATTATCAACTTCCCCATTGGGGTTTGGATCTTCGTACTTTGCTCCTCCTATGTCATGTTGGTCTTCCTCTATAACTGGAGAAATGATCTTGGGGTACTTTTTAGAGAGCCATCGAAATAATGCAGGCACTCCCATGGTTAAAGTTGAAGATGGGGTCCTTTATGGAGTTTAGAAGATGAAGAAGAGTGATGTTATTTTCGGTTGGTGCAATTTTCTTTCAATGTCAACGCTACCATTTATCGTGATGAGGTTGGTCTAGAGTTTGTACTGTGCTTAATGTAAATATTGGTCTTACTGGAGCTGAGTGACTATTGAACTTTCTTGGAGATATCAACATTGTCTACCCAGACTCTAAATCCATTGAGAGAGTTAATTCTCCCATTTTGTTCAAGTTGAACTATCAAATGAGATTACTCTCACTAGCTACAACCAATTGGAGTGTACTCAAAGACGATTAACTAGAAGTATAATAAGATCGGAGTCCGAGACTCTCAGGGTATTTCCAACGAGCTCGGAGGTGTAACACAGACCAACTTAAGCTGTTTATGTAGCTTGGCTCAAAAGTCCTGCATAGCGCTCTACGCAAAAAACGAAAAGATCTTTTACTCTGAAGCTAAGAAACGCCACATCAATCTGCGGCAATTGAGCTAGGGACAATACTTCCAGCTCTGAAAACATGTCTGAGCTACAGAGATGGGTAGCTCAGATTAAGTGATATTACTATATCAAATGGTACTATTTTGTAGCATTTTGTCAACTACATTTCACTCTCTGACTACTAAAGACCAGACAACAACGTTTGAATTGTAATCACAAATTCTTTCATTTCTTTTTTTTTATTATTTTTTTTTTTTCCTTTCTTCCTATTTCACTTTATCAAGCCTTTCCAACAACCAAAAACAACCCTCTTTAATACAACCAAACGATGGGTGTTATAGAAGTTGAGAGTGAGCAACAGTTCACTGAGTTAACGAAGTCCAATGATTCCAAATTAATCGCATTGTATTTCCACACACCGTGGGCTGGCCCTTGTAAGACCATGAATCAGGTTTATAAAACATTGGCCGATTCAAAGGCGCAAGACCCATCAATAGTATTCCTTGCCATCAATGCCGATGACTTGTCGGAAATCAGCGAGCTATTTGACGTTAGTGCAGTTCCGTATTTTATCCTAATACGTAAGCAAACTATATTGAAAGAGTTGTCAGGAGCAGACCCCAAGGAATTCATTGCTGCGTTGAACCAGTTTTCAGGTTCTAGTGATGCCCAACCTGCAAACGGCTCTAATACAGAAGGAACTTCCAATGGAGCTCCACAAGATGCTGCTGAGCCAGTAGAGGAGACAGAAGAGGCGTTGAATGAGAGATTGACTAAATTAACCACAGCTGCACCAATTATGTTGTTTATGAAAGGTTCCCCATCGAGTCCACAATGTGGGTTTTCAAGACAGCTTGTGGCTATCTTGAGAGAGCATCAAGTTAGATTTGGGTTTTTCGATATATTGAAGGATGACTCCGTGAGACAAGGGTTGAAAAAGTTTAGTGACTGGCCAACTTTCCCTCAATTGTACGTTAATGGAGAATTCCAAGGAGGGTTAGATATCATCAAAGAGAATCTAGAAGAAGACGACCAGTTTTTCGAAAACGCTTTAAAAGCTTAGATATGTGTGTAATTTTTATATTTTGCTATTCACAATTTTCCTTGCGATATTAAAAAGTCTATCTCTGTGTCGGATCCAAAGCCGTCGTCCGAATCCTCAAATGAACTTTCCTCTACTTGGTCACTGAGGGTGTCGCTTTCGTTGTCACCATCCAAGCGGTTAACTGCAAGATCAATATCGTTTTGAAATTGGTCATACTCATACGTCGTAACATGGTCGTCGACGGCGACATTTTCATCGGCATAAATTTCGTGTAACTTCCCCCCGAGTCTATTGTACTTGTATCGCGTCTTGCGTTTTCTGTTGAATATCATTGGCAAGTAATACCCATCAATCAAATTCAAGTTTTCGGCTGAGCTCGTGGGTGATATATAGCGTCGATACTCGTCTAGACGAGTACTAGTCCTTCGCATTACTTTTAACACTTTGAAATGACGTGGGAATTTCATTTTGAGTTTCGATGTAGAAGATTTAGGACCAGCCTTGCTTAGATGAAGTCTTGTCGACCGTATTCCGATTTCGCCAACGGGAGACAAATCATTAACACTCAAGTCTTCAGCTATATTCTCTGCAATCGACAAGTCATAGTTCGCATCCTGGTATATATGATAGTTTTCCAATAACCCCAAGTTCAACAAGCTTAAATTTTTCTCTGGCAACATCTCCATAACCTGCGAAACCGTGTGCATATTAATCGTCTGGGCATCACCTTCAAATTCTTTACTTGAGTATATCACTTTTCCAATAGCATGGAATATACCAAGAGTACTTTCTCGATTGTAATAGACCCCTGCTTTGTAAAACTTCACCCACATTTCCAAACTCAAGATGATTGATCTTATGTCACCAACCTTGAATAGCTCCTGAAGAAATGCGTCAAATTTAGCATCATTTAGTAGCTTGGTTAAGCCCTCACTTTTTAGAATTGTGTTTACTGTTTTCTTCAAAAATCTCGTCGCTAGGGAATTGAATCGAATCGTTTCCAATTCTGGATAACTCCGCAATTCGCGACCCAATAACGTCTCACTAGTCATGTTGTTCTCGAGTCCATAGTGATACTGCATCCTACCAGATTCATATTCAAATTCACTAATGCAAATCACTAATGGAGGTAATGCAATTCCAGTGAAAACCCATTGCCTGATAGCCTCTCTGAATTCGCGCAATGTTTCCTCATGGTAAACATTAGGAAGCTCCTCAATCAAAACCACCGATTGTGTCTTGTACTTGCAGCTTTGAAGAAAACGGGTAATATTTTCCGATTCATCATACTCAATCAAATTATCGTTGAACACGTCTGCACTGTTCATTTCTTTGGCGAGGAGCTTGATCGCAGTCGATTTGCTTGATCCACACGGGCCGACAAGAACCAACACTTTTGTCTTCAGTTGATGTGTGTTCATATTGTACAATGCCTCTTTCACCTGCTTCAACTTGCTTGGATTGATGCAGATATCTGAGGTAGTGTGAGGCGCATACTTCGTAAGCCAGGGTGTGTGTCGTAGTTGAGGTTTCTGGGGACTAGGTGGAACCAGAAAGACATCCTGACTCTCATCATCGGTTGATGTATCAACGCCTTCAAATGAGGTTTCAAAAGCCTTACATTTGAGTTTCTTCTTGGGTGGCATAAAAAGGTTGATCGTGTCTGATGTTTCTCTTAAAAGCGAATTATTATTATTTTTCTTTCTATTTTTCTTTTTCTCTTTGCTTCGCTTCCTCGTCTCGTCACACAAAAACCACGGAATTCTTTTTCACAGAGTTGTACCTTTTCCATAATTGATCGACATTGATATTCACCGCGTCCGGAATGCAATGGCAACTATCGGTCTTTTTGGCAATATCAAACCAAGAATCAAGAGCAAAGTTGACTGATTCTGCGAGATTGAAACCGTAGTTGAATCCTGCGTGGTACCCATAAGGATACGTCAAGATAAACTCGCCCTCCCTATGGATCGTATGGTTAACTGTGATGCCCTTTTTTTCTAGATATTGAGGCAGAGCATGGAAGGTTTTGTGGCGAAGAAACTGGGGACAATTTTTATACTCATCAGTGAACAATTCTTTCATAAGGTTGAAAAACTTTTCATGCTGTGCTTGTGGTATCAGGTACCATTGTTTAGGAGCTCCAAAGTGAATATAGTTGATCAGGTACAAGTCTTGGTCTTCAAGGTGCCATGCAAACGTAGCCTTCCACACGCCAGCATACAAATACGCATTATTCACGCCAGGAATCCGCTCCTCCATCAAATCCAACACATTTGGCAACTTTGCCACGTTCCACACATTCACATCATCTGTGAACAAAGATCCCTCAGAGTCAGCTCCATATATAGGCTCGGAATAGGTTAAAGATTTCCAGTATGAGCGTTCCAACTCTTCGCAACGCTCACTGTTAAACTCGGTGGCATCCACTTTACCGGTGGCATTTTCATCGTTATCGTCATGCAGCCTCTTGCGCCTCCTTGGGGGTTCCTGTTTCTTGGAAAGCTCTTGCCATTGCTCTAGGGTATACTTCCTTGCTCTCTCCATATTTTGTATTTGAAAGACTCCATGATTGTTACTGTTAATCTGCTGAACGATGGGGTTTTTGATAACTACCTTGGACAAATTCTCCTCAGTGTAGCAACTTGATAATGACTCTTTCCATTCTTGTGGAGGAATCACCCGAACAATCCCCGCCTCTAATCCATATTTATTGATGGATTTGTTGAATCTGTAAAAGTCTTTGAATTGGTCCATAGTTGGCTTGAATACGGGGACACCATTATCGTAATGGTCTGGATTTATGTCCCATAGTTCTGATTTCCTATGTGATCTCGTCTGCATGTTTCTTGTGTGAGGAGTTGATACTGTTGTTGCAATGTAGTTGCGTGATTTGATTGTAAAAACGACACGGATTTAAAGTTTTCTAATTTGAAAAAGAAAAGAATAAGAAATAGAAAAAGAGAAAAAATAAAGAGAAAAATTAAGAAAAGCCGAAAAGGGGGATAACCCATTTTTCACCCAGAGTTGTATAGTCATGACGTCTACCAAAAGAGATCCATTAAGCCACGAGCGAATTTCCAAGTCAAGGGCATTCAGTGCCTCCATTCTCACATTTGTCACTGTTGGCATCTTTCTAGAACTAGGTTATCACCTTTTATGGAGTGCTAAGGTGATGATAAACCAACCTTATGGGAATTTCATCAACAACTTAGTGTATGGGCCGGGAACTTTTTTGGCCAACGTTGGAGTGAGCACGAGGGTATTGAGGTATCTTAATAAGGTGTTGGTCGAGGATAGACTTGAGGCTGATTATAAAAAGTACATATAGGGTGCAGAGTATAGTATTACTTGGAGGTACGCGTCGGCTTGTCATAGTGTGCTGTGTGTTGTGTGCTGTGTCCAGTGACGAATGGACCTGAGAGGAACTTTGCTGAAACGAATTAAACTTTATATTGTCATGACTGCAGGAAGGTGAAGAGACCAAAAGCTGGTGGAACGAGAGACAATATATCCTCCCTCTACATAGAGGACGTGACACTCTTCGTGGTAACCACCATAGACATTTTATTTATATCCCTAAGCATTTCTATACAAAGCTCTTTAACTTACTTAAATCAACAATGTGCAGCGTAGTATAGTGACTGAAAAACTCTCTATTCTCATCATTATTCCATTTATTAATCACCACCATCTGGTGTATGTTGTTTTGCTTGGACTGGGAGTCATTTTCAATAAACTCGTCATCTTCTTCATCAGGGAGCATCAGTAGATCCTCTTCCTCATCATCGTCATCATCAATGTCTTCACCATCCTTCTCTTCATTATCCCATTCCAAGTCGGAATCATACCCATAGTCAAATCCCGTAATTTCTTTATCTAGGGGGTTCGTAATTATGGCCATTTGTTGATCTTGATGTTTTTGCGAACACCACGAGCCAGTGTATGGTGGTTTTGAGTTTTCGTAAAAGCTGATAAACTTGATGGGTGGAAGCTTTTCCACCATTTGAAGCACTTGCTGCTCGCTAGTGGTGGGGAGATTGAGCGCGTTCAATATCGCCTCAGGTGTGATAGATTGTTGCGGTGTGTACTTCAGTCTCTTTAGATTAAGAAAAGAGTCAAAAGTGCATGTTTTCGGGGTTTGCCCAGACATGATACAATCAAGTTCCAGCTTGGTTTCCCCTGTGCAATACTGATACTCCTTCAACATTACATTCCGTTGCACAAAGAATGGCAAAAACTCTGTCTCGTATTCACTTTTCCTAACCTCTTCTGCCTCTGTCTTGACCGTTTCGTCTTTGGTTTGACTCGCCTGAGGGCGAACTTGGAAAAAATTAGAGATCTTCATCTGACTTCGCTCTTTAGCTTCGTCCGCCTTTCTCTTTTCCTCCTCAATTCTTTGCTTTTCCAATTCCTTGGTCTTCTTTTCTTCCTCCAATTTCAACTTTCTTTCTAGTTTCTCTCTTTCTCTTTCTTCTCTTTTACGTTCTTTCTTAGTCAACTCAGCTTGCTTCTTGCGTTCTCTTTCCTCCTGCTCTGCTTGCCTCTTGCGTTCTTTCTCGGCCTGCTCCTCGCGTTTCTTTCGTTCCCGTTCAGCCTGTTCAGCTTGCTTCTTCTTTTCACGCTCCAACCTCTCCAACTCCTTCTTCTTTTCCTTTTCCAATTTCTCCTCCAATTTCCTCTTTTCTTTTTCTAGCTTCTCTTGTTCTAGTTTCCTTCGTTTTGCTTCTTTTTCTTCCTCTAGCTTCTTGCGTTTTGCTTCCTTCTCTTCTTCTATTCTCCTAGCTTTGGCCCTTTTTTCCTCTTCCATCTTTGCTCTCTTTAAACCCTTCTCCTGTTCCAATTTCTGCTTCTTAGCGAGTTTTTCATTCTCCTGATCCCCTTTATTTCCACCTGTACTTTTCTCCAGCTCTGCTGCCACACATTCATCATCCACCTTTCGTTTGCGATTAGATTCGTCTATTCTTAGACTCTTGCGAAGCAATTGGTCTGAATTGTCAACGTGAGGTGTCTGTAGCGAAGTCATTTGACGTGTTGTTGATCCGAGACTACTGGTTGTTTAAAAGACGTGTCTGTTTCTGTTGTTTGGTCGCAAAAAAATTTAATGTTTTTTATTTTTTTAATTTTGCAAAATCTGACGCGTCAAAATTCCTACAACCTCTTACAACTCAATCAAATTCTATGCTTTCTAAATTGTACATTATAAATCAAAAAAATAGAAACTTTCATCTAATATAAGAACTGAATATAAAACCTCGGGACAAAACCGGAAAACAACAAACATCAAAACTCTATTCGTAGTTTGGTATATCTAAATGGAAAAACGGTGTGTTTGTACCAACAGCGGCTACATACTCCTCATCAACACCATTCTCAATATCGGTATAGCCCGTAGCAATGTTGACGTAATTGTTAGCCGACGTCAATCCATCTTCATAAGTACCAAATCCGGCATTCAACAATGCCCTCCTGATCCAAGGACTCAAAATACCCGAAAAGTGAAACTCAACTTCACGATCAGCATATGTATTCAAAGCTTTCCTCAAGTCGACTAAAGCTTGCACCGAAGTCATATCAATTTGGGCAACAGTGGAGAAATCGAAGTGCACTATACGCAAAATTGGACGTGTGTCCTCTTCAATCTTCTCTTCCTTATTGTATTTCCGTAAGAATGGCAAGTTCCACTTCAATGGGCCAGGATCATTCCACGGCCTAGATCCAGTATCGGTGTAGCTATAAGGTTTGGCTCTTCTCGTGATCCTCTTGGCCTCATCTGAAACCCTATCAATTTGACGCGATGCATTAGGATAAGCAAACGATTCAACTGGTTTGAAAACAATGACACCTGGTGGTGGTGGAGAAACTTGGATGTCGCTATTTATGTTCTTGTGGTTTAATGGCACCCACCGAGTATGGAACTTGATTCTTGGGTTTTGTTTTTCCAACTCCTTGGTGGTTGTCCTACGTTCAACCACCTCAGACTTCTTCCTCACTTTATCGTCAGTGGATCTGTAGTTTGAACCCCCTGAAAACACTTGGTGAATTTCAACGTCGGAAGAACCACTTGAGTTTGATTCATCATCATATGAGTTCAGTTCATCAATGATTGGATTTACAAGCTCAGCAACTTGTACTCTTCCCAAAAACAACCCGTTTGGAATGGCAATTCTAAATAACAAAACAACAACAGATGCAGCAATGGCAAAGTAAATACCAGCTTCAATGGTGACAAAAACGGTCAAGATAACTGCAATCAAAAAGATTCCACAATCAATAGGACTGATCTTCCAGAATGACCAGGTAATCTTGTAGTTGGCAATAAGATCAGAAACGGCATGGATGATAACCGCACTCAAGACTGCTTTGGGGATATAGTAGAATGCCGATGTCAAAGCATACAAGGCCAACAAGACAACAGCACCGGTGAAAATACCTGCCAAAGGAGTTCTAACACCACATTTTGCCTTTAATGCAGATCTAGAAAACGAACCAGTAGCAGGGTAGGCACTAAAGAAGGTACCAATCAAGTTGTTGACACCAATTGCAATGACCTCTTGATCTGGAATGACCTTGTAATCATTGATTCTACCAAATGATTTGGAGATGGCAATATGCTCCAACAACAAGATAACAGTTGACACGGGGATTTCCGAAGCCATAGCGCTAATGATACCTTGAGGAGGATGGAAAACACCAACGTGTCTAAGCCCTCTAGGAACAGTACCAATGGTACTAAATGGAGGTTTAAATTTCAGCGAAGGACCATCAAAATTAACCTTCAATGGATGAATAATTCCCCATGAGATGGCAGTAGCAACAATAATAACAATGGCATTTCTCAATTGCTGAACATAGAAAAAGTACAACTTGTACTTTGGCCATCTCTTTTGACCGTAATCGGTGCTAAATTTCCAAACATACAAGATGAACAAACAAATCAATCCAAAAGCAGCGTCAACTTTAGTGTCTGGTAAATGCTTCAAAGTGTTGACAACCACCAAGTAAGTACTGTCTCTAGTGTTAACTAAACTGTTGTAACCCATCAATCCAGGAACTTGACCGGTGATAATGTTGAAAGCTGAACCAGTCATGAATCCCATGACGGCTGGAATCGAAATAAATTCCAAAATGAATCCCAACCTCAAAACACCAATACCTGTGGCAATACCACCACAAATCAAAGCTAAAAAGGTGGCAATTTCTGGTGCAGCATACTGGTCGCCATACTTGTCCTGAACATGAGCAATGACTTTTGAAACCTGTAGAGACATAACTGCAACAGGACCAATGGAAACATCTTTCGAGGTGGCGAAAAAGGAGTAAATAAACACACCAACAAACGAGGAGTATAAACCATATTGGGGTTCCAACCCAGCCAATTGGGCATACGACATAGATTGAGGGACCAAGACAACACCAACAGTGATACCGGCAACCAAGTCCCCGTACAACCACCTACCATTGTAATGTAAAATCCATTGTAGGATGGGAAATAACGAAAGCAAGTAATTCTTTATGAGTGTCAACGGGTTGGCAAAGACTTTTTGAAACCATTCCTTGACAGCAACTTCTTCCTCATTGTAAGCCGGTACATAGTAGTTTGAGTGAGGATGGTGAAGATTATACTCTTGTTCAGCTTCGAAATCGTGTGGTTGATTTACCACATGTGGATCTTCGTATACGTGTGGGTACTCAGTAGGGAGTTCTCTATTGACATCGGATTTGGCCTCCGACAATACTGATCTTACCTCAGATTCCACTCTATGAACGAAATCAGACATTATTATTAATCAGGTTGATGCAAAAAGAAAACTTTCGAGTGAAACTTTTCTAGGAAAAACTTTTTGGGTAAATTTGTGAAAATATATATTGCCAATGACAACAACAATGAAATGCAATTAATATTTAGTCAAAACAATAAGATGTGAAAAGGGAAAACTAAATCAACTGAAACTCTTTGTCAACTTTTGAATGAAAACTATCCAGGCGAAGATATGTTTAGCCTTGCGTTACTAAGCTAATGTATTTTAATTTAAGGGCGGTTAATTTTCTTTTTTTAAAAAATTACGACAAACAATTGTGTAAATGGTTACTTCGCTTCCTCTGTAAGTTAAAAAAAAAACGCTTTGTGACTTAATTGAAAGATCAACTGTGGTGGTTTGAAAAAAGTGGGTTGAAATGATTGAAACAATGTGTGTGCAATTTAAAATTTTAAATATATCCCGTGCTACAGTTTGTGATGCTCGATGATGTAAGAATGGTTCAAGGCGTCTCCTCTTTTGCTATCGATACTCTAGTTTGCAACCTGGAGGGGTGGGAGGGAGTTTGGTTTGATTGCTCCTTGTTTTTAAAACGGTATTGAAATTTTTCAATTGTCGATATTCGTCCTTTTTTATATAGCTCCTTGACGATATTATAAGCTTGTCAAACCAAGAAATTAACTGAAGCTTGTTCTTTAAAAGTAAGATGAATGGAAAAGTACTAAGAACTTTTTCTTTAATTTTTCAATATCGTCGCCAATGGCGTATAGACAAAGACCGTTTGCTACTTGTTTGATTTGTAATTCAATCTAATTTTTAATTTTTTTTTTTTTTTCATTTTTGTTCCTTTTGTTTTTTAAATTGCAACTCAGCTGTGGCTGCAATTTCTCTTCCACAGTTTACGTAATCATTTTTAATATAATAGTGTATTTGGCAGTACAAGACAATCATTAAGATTTTTTTTTTTTATTTTTTTCTGCTGGAGGCAAATTGTTTAATTTGATTGCGAAATTACCATTAGTCACGTGCAATTTGCCATAAAACGTCATCAGGATTCTTTTTATGCAGGGATAGATATAGAAGAGACAGAGCTACCTGGTTCAGAACAATAAAGCTGAGATCTTGAGGGTATTTCGTTATATGAGGGGAAGCTTCTAAGTGTTCGTCCTCGCTTTTCGCACCTGGCTCTCTCACGATCTACAAATGAACAACTTTACCGATAAGATCAACAACAGTTTAAATCTGATCGTAAATGAAGTTTTTTTCTTATGCTCTTTTCTTTTTCTTTCACTTGAGAAGGACTTTTTGGAGCGAAAAACACAAATCTCAGCGCCACAGAATTCACAGGACTGACTGGGTCGCCGTAATCGCTCATCTCTGCTCGTCATCGCACACACACAAAACACCCACAATTTTAAGTTGTAGCAATCGATAAATGCATCCTGCCTTATCGATATGGAGTGTATTAGCTTACACGTAATTGCGCAATCTCTTGAATTGATATTTTTTTTTTTTTGCATCATTTTCACACCAATTAATACAAGATAACCAATTTGAGTCTTTCTTTTAGTCCGGTAAAAGCAACTTTCGTTTAACTTTGAAAATTTCCGACAAGACGGATAAATTTTAGTAAACCCCAGGTTACGAACCATCGAAACTACTCAACTTCCAAAAAAATTACGAATAGAAGTTTTACTCAATCATTTGCCATGAAGCATTAGATCAGTCATTCTACAAAAAGGCTAGTCTTATAATTGCTCAATTTAAATATCATTCTTTTCTTTTCTATTTATAATTCGTTTAAATAATCACTCTAGGTCTTTACTATAAACCAAGTTGTTTGTTTTACTTTGCAGCTTGCTTATTCTTCAAATTTTCCTTCTCTATAGCATCAACTTCGTCTCTAAACTTCCTTTGTCCATAACATTGTTCCAAAAAGATCTTGTACTTGACATTCAACAATTTCCTATCAGGGTGATCTTCACCACGTGGTTGAATAACTTTTCCTGGTCCAGTCATCTTCTGCATAATCTTCCACAACAAAGCTCCAGAATCTTTTGGAATTGCCTCTTGTTCATCCTTCTTTGATGATGACAATGGTTTGTTCAAACCCAAACTGGCCAATTTATGTGACAAGCCCTTTTGTGTTTCTTGTTTGGAGCCAAACGACAATGTGTTTTCATCATCGGAATCTTCTTGATCATCGGCCTTGTGGCGTGTTTGGTGTTGCTGTTGTTGTGCTGGTTGGTTAAAGTAATCAACGTTGTTTGGATTAGAATGAGCGTAAGCAATGGTTGCCAAATTGGTGGTTGATGTAGCAGTAGGTGCAGTGTATGGCGATTCTGGGATTTCAATGGGTGCATCTTGTGCACCTCCCTTCTCTGCCAACAGTTTAGCTCTCTTTGAATGTGGACCATTGCAACGATGGTCAATGACCGATTCTTCAGCGGCAACTGCACCCAACAAAGCCGAACCAAACACCACAGCAGCGTCAATATACCTAGGAATAACAATTGGCAAACCAGTACAATCGGCCAACAATCTCATCAATAATCCGTTACGGCACTGACCACCACTCATAAAGATACACTTGATATTGTGACCTGCCTCTTCCATATGTTGCACAATTTGTCTCGTTTGTTGAGCAATAAACTCACAAGCACCAAAATAGTTCAAGGCCAAATCTTCAATAGAATTGTCCAACGATTGCCCAATTAAACTTGCCCTCATTCTTGGATCAGCAATGGGGGATCTGTTACCATGGAAATCACCGTAAAAGAATATATGCTTAGCTAATGAGACAACTGATCTTTCTCCCTTGGTCTTGACCATTCTCTCCAATAAGGAGTTCAAATAGTCAAACTTAGAAATATTTGACTGCTCAGATGCCTTTAACAATTCTTGATTTGCTGGATGGATACTCAACACATGTGCCAACAATTGACCTGTGATTGACTGGCCACCTTCGGCTAACCAGTACCCTTCAGCCATAACGTCCTTGTACGGACCCCAGACACCCTTGACAAAACATGGCTCCTTAGTCATGGCAATATGACAGGTAGAAGTACCAGCAACTGCTGCCAACCTGCCACAGGCATCGCCAATAGTACCATCGTATTTTTCCTCAAGCAATTCAGGCACTTCAGCTTTAGCGGCAACGGTACCAACCCATCCTGCATAAGCATCAATAACAGGCGAACCAACAATACATTCACTGCTTAATCCCAATTCAGCGGCCGACTTGTCAGTCAATTTGCCAACAATATTACCAGCAGTGAGGTATTTACCATTGACACCAGGAATACCTCCCAATCTTCTAAAATTGTCCTCGATCAACTCTGGCATGTCTACTGCCAACAAAAAATCCTTTGACCAGCCTGTTTCCGAGCCGTCAACGCCAATTGGAACAAATCCTTGTTTACATACCACCGAGCAAAAACTTCTTGTTTCGGTACCAGTGGCTTTGTGTACCAAGAAATCAGCTAAGTCATAGAATTTACAATCGTCAATTCCACCCGGCTTATGATGTTTCAACCATTTCATTTTGGGCAACTCCATCTCAATTGACATTTGTCCACCAACATATTTCAAACATTTGTCACCAGTGGCATTGATGGTGTTTGTCTCATCCTCGGCTCTGTGATCCATCCATAAAATGATGTTTTCCTCCTTGTCATCGAAATTTGGACCAACAGATTCAGGAGTGTCATTGGACTCTGAAACAGCTACCAATGAACAAGTAGCATCGAACCCAATACCAAAAACGTGGTGAGGGTCTACCCCTGATTCATTCAAACAACGCTTGACACAGTAACAGATTGAGTTCCAAATTTCGGTCGAGTTTTGAGTAATATAGTTGGGTTTCAATTCTTGCCTAGTAATTGGCTTCTCGGCCAACCCCAAAATGATACCATTGGTGTCAATTAAGCAGGCTCTAGCTGAACCAGTACCAACATCGACACCAACGTAGTAAACATCAGGATCAGCCTGGGGCAAGTTGTAAAAGAAAGACGATTGTCTTCTGTTTGCAAGACTAGTATTTGATTTTGATTGTACCATAATGTTTTAGGGATGTTGATTTAAGAAAAGAAAACAATTGGTAAGTTCAATTGGGATGGTAGAGGATTTATATATAAGGAAATGTAGTAGCAACTAAAAGCAAATAGTTCGGAATTCAAAAGATTTAAAGAATATTATTTTTACGGAGTAATACAATATTGTTATATGCAGGAGAAAGCAAAAAAGAAAAGGAATCATACGTAATTGGAAGCGTGCCACTAAATCGTTTAACAATCTTTCACTACAAAGATATTTCACTTTCCTTTCTGCTCTTGCCAAGTTTGAAGAGTGTTGGGAACTTACGCGATGGACGTTTTGCCCCCCCCCCAGGTATATGAGAGTCCAGACAACTATCATCTTTACTAATAGAAAACATATGATCATGGGAGAGATTTTGTGTAACGGGTGTAATTTTACACCCCCTTCCCCCGTCAATCATGGAAACCAAAACGAGAATTTTCCCAATCGAGTAACCACGGCGGCTTTCGGTAATTAAAAGAAAAATGGTTCCCCCGGAGTTAACTCACAACCAACAAGATTCTGGTCTTACAAGTGATACAATTTCTTCTTCTTCTTCTTCTTCATCATCAATTCGTCTGATATCATCTCCTATATAGAGTAGTTCACTACCGCACCTAATACAATTAAATATACAAAAGAATTGAACAAGATTCCCCATAGTTGTGTAAAACGCTTTGTAAACAAAACCCAGTCTCAAAATATGTTTCAAAACTTTCACCTCTTTACAGCTAGTTCTTCAACGATGGATACTTTTCAACAGCATCAACCAAGAAATCAAATTGCTCAGTATTCTCAATTGCTGATTTAACATGAGACGCAGTGATTCTCTTTACCCCTTGCTTTTTTGCCTGCAATACTGACACCTCAACCAAATTGGCCATAAAAATTTCCAATGCTCTTCCGACAATTATTGGAGTTGCCTGGGCAACTTTACCTATTTCCTCGTCACTTTGCATAATTTTTTTAATCCTAGCTGCGGGGAAGTGGGTCTTGATTCTTTCAAAACTGGATAGTATTTGCTCTTGAGATATACGGTCCGTCGTCGTCGTCGTCGTCGTCGTCGTCGTCGGCGTGGCTTGTTCATCTGTTGTAGGTTGTGCGTCCACCAGTTGTTCTTGGTTACCGACACTATTGCTACCGTATATTGTGCTTTGTTGTGGAGTAGCGTAATTGTATTCAAGCTTGGGGAGTTCAGAAGGAATAGTGTTAGAAGGTACTGGTCCATTGATTAGGTTATTTATACTAAATGCATTTTTGTGGGTGTTGTGGTTGTTTATTCCATTATAGCTAGTGCTAGTGGTATTGTTATTGTTGTTGTTATCATCAACATCGTCGTAATTCATCAAATGACGTAGATTAGACATATTGTTATTGGTTTTACGTGGTGTGTCGTAGAATATTCAATGTCGCGTGTTTAGAGTTTATGACAATGTGTTTCAAAAATCAATTATATTTTTATTTTGTTTTTTAGTTTGTTTATTGAAGTTTGTTAATTTTGGGGAAAATATTTGATGGTTTTATATTTTCAAAATTTTTTTTATCCATCACTTTTCTTTGCTTTTGTTATTGTTTATACTTTCATACATCGTACTGCATACAACTGCACTTTTTGATTGTTGTTGTATTTGTAATGAAATTGAATAGTAATTCTTTCATTACTATTGCCATAATTATAAATTTTATAATTCTATCTTTCATTTGTAATAGAAGGAGAGGAGGGGGAAGGCGATTAGCTATACAATTGAGACTGCCACTTAGTAAACTAGAGACATCTTCCTAAACACTATGTTGTAAGGAAACATATCTGTGTTTGTATTCGGTCGTGTCTAATTTCCAATAACAGCGTGTACAATTTTAATTCGATTGTTTTTGTTCTACGATGAGATTTATATACAGTACAAGAGTTCACTAAAATGCGAGTAAACAAAAATGCCAATGTGTCTAATTCAATCTCTAGTCCGGCTAGGATTCCACCTCTTATATAAAACTTCAGATACTCTATATTTGCCCAACAATTGCTTAAACATCAATCCTTCATCAATGTTCGCACCACCAGCAGCGGTAAATATTTCATCAAACTCAGCCAGCGATGGCGCCTCAACATACACTTGAACAAAGTTCTTTTTTACACTACCAATGACTCGAGCTTGGGCACAAATCTGAAACCAATCATAAGGGCTTGTGTCTTGTTGATAATCATCTTGCATAACCAGCACACAAAATTCGGCATGAGAGAAAGGTGGACCACGCTTGTACAATAAATAATCAGTGCCAAATTTGATCCCTGACCTCACACACCAACCTTTAGATCGGAAATAATGGTACACAACATAATTGATTATGAATTTGTTATTCACCTTGATTGCGGCTGAACTATCGTATTGTTGACAGCATTCAACAAACAACTGTCTTAATGACATGCCATCAACATTAATTTTGTTGAGGGCAAATTGCAAGAAAAATACTTCGACAGCTTGTAATTGCATGTATTCCAATTGAACAACAAAACCGTTGTCATCAATAATATCGGCATCTTCGTCTCTAATATTCACCTCCACCTCTTCAACATTGACAAAATCCTTTTTCCTAAATTCAATCAACCGTTCATCCAACGTTGTCATTTCACTAACCTCTGCTTCACTAATCAAACCTTTCCTCTGCTTCAATTGCAAGTCTTGCAACCTCTGTCTTTGTCGTTTAAATTCAATCCTCTCGAGTCTTCGACTCTTTGTGATATCCTCCATGGCAATATTATTCGACTTTGCAGCATCAACAGCATTGAGTCGTGTTACGGTTCTAGCATGCCATGTTGGCTCAGACCTTGATAATACCCCCTTACCAAAAAAGCCCCGCCTCCATAGTTTAATCATGGAATCATTGTCGACGATTCTAAATACACCATGGTCATAAATGACTTCAATTTTCGAAACGTCGGGTCTATCTAGGAAACTGACGCGTAACAAATTCCAAATGTATCCCATCCAAGAAATGGGATTGCTCAAAACAACAGCATACTTTACAGCAATATCAATTGGCAAGGGCTTCTGATATATCTTGTTCAACAATCTCGAGTTCTTTTTCCCCATCAACTAGGAAACACAAGTTAGTATAGAATTCAAAAACACCGTTTGGCATCCCATGCTTGTCCTCAATTTCAGATACCGTTGTAGTCTATTTGAGAAATCATGTGCTCACACTGATCTTGCGATCTTAAAGACACTAGGAAAAAATTGTCATCATTTATAGGAAAAAGCATTAAGGAAGTGACCATAGGTTGCACTAACATACACTTTATTAGTTACTCATTATCAATCGACTCTGACTAGAAAGAAGAAGGAAAAAGGTTGGGAAATGAGAAAAAAATTTTTCCTTACTTTTTTTCTCTCGTGAGATGGTTCAGAGGGCTCGTTGCAAAAAAGGGCGACGCTTTGCACAACGTCATGCTACCAACTACGCAGAAAACTGACTCTACTGATTTGCAACGACATAAATATGGAAGATAACACCAGAATTAGCCTCTGCATTTTGTGGTTGACTCTCAAATGCTGGCAATTTTAGGTGCCTTGTTTCACCCTGACAATTTATTAGTGAATTAGCAACCGCAATGCATCAACATATGGTTAGTAATGAGTGCTCAGGTACCTAAAATCCATCTATCTATTTATCTCGATCTATCTCCCAATAGCTTCCAACTTTCAGGGAGATTGCTGTTGGATTGACCCTTTTGAACATCATCTTTTTAGGTTGTGCTTATCTGGTAGCGCATCTTAATCATAAACACATTTCAAATCTCCAAAACTTTCCTATGTTATTACCTCTTTCATTAACAATGGGCAATGACCAATACACTTGCAGCGAGTGTGACAACCAAGTTATACTAGATGATAGCTTAAAACGACTCAACCCATCGCAACTTAATCTAATTGTCAACACAAAGCAGAATAAAGAATTCGACAAAGTTGAAAATGAGCAATTGAGTGAACTAAACCCCCGTGATTACTTATCCACCGACAAGTTAGAACTTTATAGCCAGCTTCCAAAACAAGCCAAGCCAATGCACTACAAGAACTACTTTGATAGTGAAGATGAAAGAAGTGACGAGGAGCTGGATTCTCATCTAACGAAATCAAATTCCAATTCAGATATAAATTCGTATTTAGTCGTGGACGAAGAAGACAATGGGCTGGATGCCGAAAAGCAAACCGAGCCAGTTGAAGAGGAAGAAGGATTTGAACTCAGATTATCGAGCCGTATCAAGGTTTTGGAAAATATTTTCAACATTTTATCAAATACTCAAGATATTGAACACCCGCTTAGTCATGATTGTGCCAATTTGCTATTGGAGAATTACCAATTGAAATTTGACCAATCGCAAAAGGAAAAAGATCAGTATTTAGCGTTTTTGAAAAGATTAAAAATGCAAGATCAGCGGTTGAATTTGTACCAGGAAGATGGTAAAGTAAAGGTCCAACTTGATGTCCAAGAATTGGAGAAAAACCTCCAACAATCATTAAATGAATTCAAAAGGTTAACAGATTTGGAACAGGATCGGCTCAGTGAGTTGAGAGAGTTGGAGTTTACTCGAAGGGGTTTGGAGTCACGAGTACGATCAAATGAGGAGGAGTTGAAATCAATAAACAACAACCAGGTAAATGATATCCTTAGACTTCGAAACGAACTACAACTTGATCTTGGCGATAAGCAGACTAAATTAGAACAGCTCAAGGCGTCCTACAACATCCACTTGAACCACTTGGACAATTTACGAAGTTCCAACATTTACAAGCTAATGTTTAATATCAAGATTGACGACAAGTATGCCATGATCAATGGGTTTCGCATAGGTTACAAAATTGTCTGGCCTGAAGTCAATGCTGCATTAGGACAGATAGTGTTACTACTCACATTAATAACTAAACGTCTTGATCTACGATTAAAGAATTACAAATTGGTTCCCATGGGGTCACAATCACACATTGTCAAGTTTACTGATGTTGAGGAAAATGGGGCTCGGCAAAAGAAGATTCTCAATTTGTACTCTTCGGATGAGTTTACCTTGGGCCGGCTATTCAATTTTAATAAAATGGACGTGGCAATGATTGCATTGTTGGATATTGTTGCACTAGTTGAGTTGCAATTGAAAAAAATAGATGCTGAGCTTGAGTTGCCGTACAAGATTTTCAAGGATACTATTGGTGGTAGAAGTATACGAGTCACTTCAAATTCGGAATGGACCCAGAGTTGTAAGAATCTATTGACTTGTTTAAATTGGATCTTGACTTTTGTTAGTGCCAACACAACTAGCTAATACAGAGAAGAAAACTTATATTACTCACCTTTGTCCACCACTGTTTATCCATATGAAAAATGGTGACGTTGCACAGTGACGTAAGAACAAACACGATGTTCCACAGGGCGTGCACTTTTCACCAAATTTGGTTGCAAAACTGTACCTCCAACAAAGTTTTGACAACCAAAATGTCCTTCCACGCCCCTCTCCTCCACACCCCTTTTCTCCTCATGTTAATCATTCTAGAGGGTAATCAACAAATGATCAAATCTAGAAGTTACTTGTTAGAGAGTCATATACGAGACACTAGCCCTGTACGAAACCGTTCGGGATTAGAGAATTCATCCATGGAACTTGAGTCTTGTTCCTTTAGCATTGATGTGGACAACACGCCAACTCGAGTCAATTATCCACCCTTGGAAGAGTACAGCCAGTGCATTCTTCGAAACTCCAATTTTAGGATCATCAATGAAGGCATGATTCCAAGAGTTTTGCCAGAACCAGGAACAGCATTGGATCTGAATGGTGGTAATGCTCAGCTGTTGCCAAACATGAGAACACCAAGGGTTAATATGATTTGCAGCTCACCTTTTGTTTCGAAGATGGGTCATAGTTCTGCGATGAAGGGAAGTTCGCCTGTTGTGTGTGCTTTACCTGATGATCTTGCTAAATCTAATGAGGTGTATAGACACATTTATGGATCTAGCTCGTTTACTGAGAGTCCTATAATTCGTCGAAACTCAACTGTCAGGACAAAGTTGAATCAAGAGTATGGTGCATCACAAGCCCAAGAAGCAAGTGTTAATTTTGAGGCCAACACAAGCTGGAAAAAAAGCAATACTTCATCAGTGATGAGTATCGAGCTGATCATAAACCCAGTATCACCAAAGAAGGAGAGGCAAGATGCAAATGGCGATTACCAAAGTCAAATTGGATATTACGGTGTGAATGCTGTGGCTGGATTACTGGATGTCAATTTGATTGAAGAAGAGGATCAGTCAGACGCTTCGCAGGTGTCTGTGGGAGGTGATGAACATTGTGAAGACTATGAGGAGGATAACAGCAGCGAATATGATCAATACATTGTAACTATAAAGCTACCAAGCAAGCTTCTCGATGAAGCTTTAAATATTGATTGCCTTGGTGTGAGAATAAACAAGAAGCTTCCTATCACATGTGGAGAAGACTGCCTTGGTAGAACAAAGAAAAGGCGTCTTTCTCTACCCACAAAGAAGAAACATAGGTTTAAAAACACAGGGAAGAAGCACCGAGCTACAACCTCCAAGAAAGAGCTGCATGCTACAATATCAAAAAGCAAAGCAAGCACCAGCGAAACGACTAGCTCACTTTCCAAACGAGCAAGGCTGAAAGGGTACGACTCTGACGAGGAGTATCTACCTCACGAAGCTTCAAGGACCCCACAATCGAGAAAACGCGTGCAACGAGGTCCTGATGGCGTCGCAAAGAAAAGAAAATGTGTCATTAGGTCCAAGTCTGGATGCTGGACATGCAGAATTCGCCACAAAGGATGTAACGAAGAGCAACCGAAATGCGGCCATTGTCAACGGTTGAATTTGACGTGTGATTATTCTCCAGTTCGTCCAGCTTACATGGTGAATGAGAAATTACACGCGGAAAAGTTGTTGGAGATAAGACGCCTTACTGATCAAGTGAAGAAGCGTGCACCTCGTTATTAAGACCAATGTGGTGTTGCTCACACCCTCCCATTCCTCCTTTTGTTATAGAGTACATCTTTTTGCTAGTATATGGATAGGAATAACGAATAGCGTACTTCGTAGCGATTGTTTTCTAGCTGTGATCGTATATCAATTGGTGTTTTCACCCAGTACTCATAAAGTTTTCCCTCGTGAAGCCAGCGCTGGCTAATTCCCAGTGGTGGTGACCGCATTCATGGCTTAGCTAAAATTATCCTTCTCACAACAAATCAAAAACAAAAACAAAAACAAAAACAAAAACAAAAACAAAGAGAAAGAAAGAGAAAGAGAATGAAACAAATTTTTTTCCTCTCTCACACTCTGTTCCTGAAAACTTTTGTCGAGAGATCAGAACTTTTTGTAAAAAAAAAATACAAGAAAACAAAATATAACAAAACAATCAATCTAATTAGGACTCCTCCTTACCACACTAAATGCTAGATACATTTATACTTGCTCTAACGCTACTTGCCAGCTTGGGCAGTGCGTTTTACTTACCTGGAGTTGCACCCACCGATTACAAAGAAGGCCAATCAATACCATTATACGTGAACCATTTAACGCCAGCATTACATCATGGAGCATTAGGCAAGGGCACTACATCGACGTATGTATACTCATATGATTACTATTACCCTAAATTCCACTTTTGTCAACCCGAAGGAGGCCCAGTCAAGCAGCTGGAATCGTTGGGATCAATTATTTTTGGTGATCGTATTTTCAACTCACCTTTCCAAATTGAAATGTTGAAGGATGTTGAATGTAAGACGTTGTGTACTTCAACTTATCCCAAATCGGACTCGGTATTTGTCAATAGAAACATTAGAGCTGGATACAGTTATAATTGGCTTGTTGATGGATTGCCAGTGGCTAGAATTATTGAGGATTTAAGAACGCACTCGGAATTTTACGGCACAGGATTTGATATTGGTGCAATTGATCCTGATAACCAAGCCGTATTGTTTAACCACTTTGATTTGAACATCATGTATCATGAGAAGGGCGATGGCAAGAATTACCGAGTTGTTGGTATCACGGCTACGCCTCAATCCAAGGATAGATCTGCTTTGCCAGAAGACTCAGCACCAGATGCGTTGTGTGCAAGTGACTTGAAGCCAATTAGTTTGAGTAAAGAGAAAGACACCCCTGTGCTATTCACTTATTCTGTTAAATTCGAAAAGAGTAAAATTGCATGGGCAACCAGATGGGATCAATATTTGCATGTTTATGATCCAAAGATCCAATGGTTTTCCTTGATCAATTTCTCATTGATTGTGTTGATTTTGGGTATTGTTATCGCCAATATTTTGTTGAGAACTTTGAAAAATGACATTGTCAAGTATAATGAGGTTAATTTGGATGAGGATATCACTGATGAAAGTGGTTGGAAATTGGTCCATGGTGATGTGTTTAGACCACCACCACAAAGATTGTTGTTGTCGGTACTTGTTGGAAGTGGTGCCCAAATATTCTTTATGGTGTTTGTCACTATTTTCTTTGCCTTGTTTGGATTGTTGTCGCCATCAAACAGAGGAGCATTGTCGACGTTTTCATTTGTGCTCTACATTTTGAGTAGTTTCGTGTCGGCATACGTATCGGGATACTTGTACAGGTTCCTTGGTGGTGACAATTGGAAGTTGAATTTACTCCTTACTCCAGTTCTTGTGCCTGGTATTTTATTTGCTGTGTTTGTGTTTCTCAATTTCTTTTTGATCTCAGTTGATTCATCAGGTGCCATCCCTATTGGTACAATGGTTGCAATTATTGTTATTTGGTTCATCATTTCCATTCCATTATCAGTTGTTGGCTCAATCCTTGCGTCAAAGAGACCTTTGTTGGATGTGCCAGTCAGGACCAACCAAATTCCAAGACAAATTCCTCAACAACCATGGTATTTGAAATTGATCCCCGTCACACTCATTAGCGGAATCTTCCCATTCGGTTCAATCGCTGTCGAAATGTACTTTATTTATTCATCATTATGGTTCAACAAGATTTTCTACATGTTTGGTTTCTTGTTCTTTTGCTTCCTTTTAATGATTATGACTACAAGCTTAATCACTATTCTTATGGTTTACTATACATTGTGCTCAGAAAACTATCAATGGCAATGGAGATCCATTTTCATTGGTGGAGGATGTGCGCTCTATGTGTTTATTCATTCCATCTTCCTCACCGGTGGTGAAAAATTGGCTGGGTTGACCTCGTTTGTGTTGTACACTGGTTATTCCATTGTCATTTCATTGTTGGTTTTCCTTTGTTGTGCAAGTGTTGGGTTCATCAGTAGTATGTTCTTTGTTAGAAAGATTTATGGACAAATTAAGATTGATTAGTGTATAGAAGAAGAGAGTCTACAAAAAAAAGAAAATGAATTGTTCTTGTTCATAAGTTCGTGTATTTTATGTAAGGAAGGAGCGACTTATCACGTCAGACCTGATCATTGTGCTGACAGCATTGACCCAGTCAGGATTTGACTCTGCCTTGGAAAAGTCAAGTGGACTATCGACAATCCTTTGTTTAATCTGTCTTACAGTTTGTTCATTAAGTTGCAAATTCGCCAAATTAAGATTCAACAAATTGTACGATATGGATAGGTTGCTATTGAGCTTGGGAGCTTCAGTGGAGGTGTTGTCAACGATAATCTTGACGAGCTTGATAGTGTAGAATAGTTGGTCGATGGATAAACTCAAGCATGGGTTTAGGATCTGCTTGTTGGACATTGTGGTGGTACTTAGATAATTGGCAAAATTTAATATGGTTGTCGTTAATACCTCCAAGGACATTTCTAAATTGGGTCGACTGTTGGCTAGGTTGCCGACAATTTGAAATAGTTCATATTTGTGGTAGATCAAGTTGCCAAATTGGGTAAGAAATTCATCGTTAGTGTCGAGTTTGCCAACATTCTCCACGTTTGAGGTAATTATGCCGTTTCTCACTTTCAACAAGCAAGAAAGAGCTGTGTAAAGTTGATACACAAAGTTATTCAAAGTTAGTTTGTTCTTGTCCACAAACAAGGGTAAATTGCCAGCTGCAACAGTCTTTTGAACCCCTGCTTTCAAACTACCAATGGAGTCAATTATATCTAAAGTAAGATACAACTTGGCAAGCCTGTTGTCGGAGGAGTTGTCAGTTTGATCAAACACTTGATCCACAGCGTTCAAGTCATTTAAAAAGGACGCTGCTGATGCTATACCCAATGAGTAATGGGTTCCCTTTAATAGTAAGCAGTAGTTAAGAACGACTAGGGTAACGGCATACAAAAACGTCGATGCGCGGTTTACTTTTGAGTGTTGATAAAACTGTTGTAGCTTGAAAAACACGGAAATTGTGGTGTATTCAGCAACCGTTTTGAAATTAACAAGGTCATTGATAGCTATGTGGAAGCACTCGACAAGATTTTCAGTTGGCGCCTCCATTCCTGCCGTTCGTATCATCAGTACCAATTGTTCTATCTCAATAGGAATCACAGGATACGTCACGGCAAAGTGCTTATCGTAGATATCCAAGTCGGCTTTGAGCATATCCATTGGCGAGCTCTGATTAAATCCTCCTGGCGGCGGCACTTGTAATTGCAGATTTGATCTTGCAAGTTCCTGACCTGCAAATGCATTATACGGTGTTCCAGCTTTTGACAATGTCATGGGTGAAATAGGCCCACCTTGCAAAACCATTGATTTGTTGACCCTTCCGCTAAGACTCGACAAAGAAGTCACCGAATTTCTCGGTGATATTGATTGCGAATTTGTGCGCATCATTGGTGGACGATGCGACGAGGAGGATCTAACCGAGTAGAAATCTTCAGACTCACTATCGCTAAGAAACTCACTATTGTTTCTAAGAATGGGCAATTTTGAGTTTGTTGTTGATGTTGATGAAACTGAGTCTATGGAAGACCTTCTTCTATTTCCACTGCCGCTTGTTACACTACTGATTGAAGAGCGGTGCGGTCCAGAAACTCGAGGCATCTCGTAGGGCACTTTCCAGAAAGGCCCTTGGATTGGAGGGCTATTATTGTTGTTATTGTTGTTGTTATTGTTGGGTTGAGGTGCATTCTGTTGCACTGGAGGACTTGATGGGCTCACCTCGTTGGCCATTACTTTGTGTATTGCCGGAGATGCAGTCTTCTGATTGTAGCTAATAATCGGAGGAAGCTTGATGGTGGACATTTGTTGCGAATTCGGCCGTATTTGCGGGAAAGGTAAACTGTTTTGAGGAAATTGTTGGGGTGGTTGCGATTGCCTATGGTCGGTGCTGTAGACATTGATAGGCTGTGGTTGGGCCACACTACCATTCAGACCAGCACTAGGTTGCGCCTGTATATATTGACCGTCAACCGCTTCTTCGTATTGACCTTCTCTGTCCTCAAATTCTTTCAGATACCCCTTTGAGGGACCCCTTTTCAAAGGAGTTCTTGAAAACGTACATTCATCTCCATTTTTCTGACAATTGTTACAAATTTGAGTCACTTTACTCAAGGTTGTTGAATATTCAGCATTGCATTTTATCTTCTTTCGTCGACAAGCATCACATGCACGAGATATTTTAGACCTCTTGCGAGGTGGGTCAGTCGATTTTGAGTTACTTGAATCTGGAGACGCTGACGACGCCAGCGGGTGAGGTAAAGACTCTGCACGGGCATGTGCCGCATCCATATGGTGTTGATTTATCGATGCTTGTCCCTGTTGTAGAGGAGCGTCCACCGCCGGGGGTGGTCTTCCGTGCTCCTGCATTTGGCTTTGTGGAAATATATCCTTTATTGAAGGAATCAGTTTTGTAGGCGACGTCGAAGTCATTATCATTGTGTCGAAGCGACTTCGGGCAGTTGTGTGGGGGGAAGGGAGCTTTTTTTGTATTACCTAATTCAGTCTGGTGTAAGAGCACCCACACTAAGAATTAAAACCACAGAAGTTTGAAATTGGTATTTGATATTTGAAAACAACAACGAGAAGGAAAAAAGTTAGAAGGTAAAAAAAACTGAATATAAAAATTGTCTCTCTGTCTGTTTACAACCAAAAAAGAGCCGCCCGTTGAAAATCGGAGGAGAAAAAAAAAATAAAAAAGGTTGGGGATAAATTTACGGCTAAAGTTGTGCATATAAAAACCCACTTAAACATTTAGTGTAACAAATTGTTCCGCATTTTTTTTTTGTTTTTTAAATTTTTTTTCTAATTTTTTTTTTTAGTTTTTTTTTATTGTTCGTAAATGCAAGAAAAAAAAAACTAAAAATATTTTATTTTTTTTTTTAAATGACTGGTGGTGGGAAAATGGTGGGGGAACGGGGTTAAGATGTGTGTGTCGTATTATTTTACACGACATTGATTAAATAGTGTAGTAGAAGTAGTAGTAGTAGTAGCTGTTTTTGTTTTCATTCAACCTAAGCTAAGGGCAATGTCCCACTCACGAATTAAATTCATAAAGCCTAGATTATCTTCCTCGTCTTCACCAGTGGCTCTTCGTTTCCAAATTTCATACAATATTTGCTTGGCTCGCCAATAGTTAGACTGTGTTTCGAATCCGGGACATGTTTGCCAAATCAGTTTGACACGATCCTGCGTTGATGCTGCGGTTGCAACCGATCCAGCAACTAGCAAATTCCAAAACATGGGCTGGTAGTTGAGGTGTAACTGCCTGGCACCATCCACTGCCTGACAGAGATAATCCAAACACTTTTCAACAGTATCTTGCTGTTGATGAATGTCAAAATTCTTTTTGAGTAATATGTTGTGGCATATGATTACCGCTTGATGGAAGGAATAGATGTGGTTTAAAAGAAAATTCTGAAACATATTTCCCGGATTTAAATTCCAACTCAGCTGCCTTATGTTCCATCGTAGTAGTTTATCTTCGACTTCGGCACAAAGACGAGGGAAATTACGCGGAAACACCTTTTTAACACTGAATATATTCTTATGGTTGGCCAAGTGGATTGACTCGTGGAATATATGTAAAAGATCCTTGGGTATGCCATACATCAAGTAAATTAGCTCTGTATCTAATGTGGTGGTGAATCTGATATTCAAGTTGGGAGCAAACTTGATTGTCGAAATGGAGCTCTCAATGGAATCGCCAGTCACTTCATATGCAGCACTATACTGTCTATTATTACTAAAGTTGATGGTAAATGCTGTTGGTACGTAATCCTTTTTCGCGGGTGCGCTTGCTGATAGCATATTTTCAATACTAGGTTTGAGTCTTGGCTCATCGTCGTTGTCGTTGTCGTTGTCGTCCTCATCCCCTTCACTATCAAGGTCTTTTATCAAATTGTAGTCCTCGTTTAAATCCTTATACCGCAACTCGTCTTCCTTCTCCATTTGGTAGTTGAACAAGTTTATCGCCTGCGTACTCTCATAAAAGAAGTACTTAATCTTGAAAACGTTAATGAGGAACTTGTTCATTGTGGCATTCCGCGTCCGTGTTTCCATTTTATTCTTGATGACAAAATCGCCAATGGCATAAATCAAGTCCAAGTTTTCAAACACGCCAAACATACTATCAAGCTCAATTTGTAGGATTAAAGCTAGAAGCAACATTGTATCGTAATCTTCAACCGCCTTGTCACCCTTTTGTCGCTCGGCAATCACATCTGACTCATCTAAATGGTAGTTTAACAACTTGATACTAAGTTTGCGCAACTCAATGCTAATCTTTAAATACTCATCTATTTTATATTCATCGTCTTCATTCTCTTCATGTAACGACGTCCTTTTAGACACTTTGAAAGCGCTTAGTCCCAAGCATAGGTAAATAATGCACAATTTGATGCTCTGTAGCAACTGTATGTCATCCAATTCGTCCAACACTTGCAAATCATTGACATCCCAAAAGGCAAAGTCCCAGCAAATAAACTGGCCGACAATTTGTTTAATATAAGGGATGACAAACACGTCGAAATAGTTATTCTTGATCCCAATACGATTGACACTAAATAATTCCAGCGTAAAGTGTTCCAATAAGTTGTGGAGCAAAGGATATAACGTCAATTCGTTGTCCCTCCTCGAGTATAGCTTACTATTGACCAAGATGGCATTGGCAAACCATGCATCATCGGAGTCAAGGTTGGGGAAAAATTTAGGATACAATATATGCATCATGTTTTGGTCGTTGAATTTGTAATTGGGGCCTTTAATTGCCAATATAGTAAGCTTGGCAAAGTTGAGAAGATCATAATGGACATGGCTGTTGTTTGTCTTGGAAAATATCGATGTCTTAGCAACCCTTCGCCTTTTTGCGGGGACAGCAGATGGCAACATAGGTGAAATTGTAGGAGCTTCTGACTTTTCAGAAGCTTCTGTGTATGTCCGTATAGGCTCTCTTTCCTCGCTAAACCGGAAGCACCTAAAGGGTCCCAATTTGGCTTTTCCCGATAGCACCGCCGAATCATCTACTTTCTCCAAAACTGAATTCAACTCCGCATACGTTTCATAAAGCATACTCCGAGGAAACTCCATCAAGTCAAGATTCCTTCTTTGTATATTATCTGGCTCACTGCCATCCAGTTTCAAACAGGTCATATTCTTATCACTCGATATAGTTACTGGATCGCTCCATCTCAATCGTATTCCATACCCAAGGCAGTCGCGTTTCAGCTTGGCACAACGCAAGCAAAATGGCTTTGTCAAGTCGCATTTAACCTTTCGCGATCGACACGTCCAGCACCCGTCAAATGTCCGCTCTTTCCGGGCCATAATTGTGGAGAAATGGGGCTAGAGTGATTATGAAAACAAAACAAAAAAAAAAAATAAAAAATAAACAAAAGTGATTACAACAATCATGAGTGTGTTGCCTGTTCAAACCATTGAGGAGTTTGATCCATCTGTTCCGGTAGTCTTGCCCCACGATAAGGTGTACTCCATTCAAGTGGGGTACAAGTTGTTTCGCCTAAGTGGATTATCCCTCTCATCTGACTCACCATCATACTTTACCAAATTCTTTGGCGATAAAGACAATGAAGAAAAAGTGTTGTTTTTTGACCGGAGTCCGCATATTTTTGAAAAGATCTATAATCACTTACAGGGATACTCGATAAACATTACTAATGACTATGAATATATGCACCTTTGGAGTGATGCATTTTACTTTGGGTTGCGCAAGTTGCAAAAATTGATGACGGAGCAGGACATTTTTGCCAGCATAGGTGACCAAAGCTTCAAGATTCCAAAAGCATTGTTGCAGAATGAAGGAAACTGCCCCAATTACTTTACCATGAATTCGGAGAGATTATTTTTTGACAATGTTGCAGTGATTGAAAGGAATAATATGTTACGGCCGCCACCGCAAAGACCACCGATTGTTGCTGGACGCTCGCCAAAGCTATTTTCCGATCTATTGGAGTATCTACGGGGTAACTCAATGATCATAAAGAGTGAAGAGCATCGACAATTGTTGCAAAAAGAGGCAAGGTACTATCGGTTTCTCGAGTTGGAACAACGCATGGTCAATCACAAGGTTGTCAATGACGCTATAATTATCAATTTGATGGATCTAAGTAAAAAAGGAATGACCAATATCTCACCGGCTAATAGGCTAACAGAATGCCCTATGAAGTACTCGCGTCCCTACATTGACGAACCATTACGGGATTTAGTTTTCCAAGTTGATAATCTTCAAAATGTACGACAGGTTGAATTATTTCTCAATAAACGGACGGGACTTCCTACTGTTAAATTTGAAGGAAAGTTTTACACCAAAATAACGCAAGTTTTTAAAGATTTTTCCGAAGGCTTGATCCAAGAGGACCATTCAATAACATTTTTGGTCGGGTTGGTAAACCTGCATACTATAATAAATGGAAAGGAAATGATGCCCGGGTGGGTTGACGATTTGTTGCAAGCTGTGGATAAAGAGTCTACAAAGAAGCGCAAACTCAACGTTCAAGGAGATGTAATCAAGATTTACCTCAAGCGGTCAATGTGGAGGCTCATGATGAGAGGCAACTTGGCAAGATTAGAAGCAGTCAGTCTCGACGGGCTGACTACTCCACTACAGCGTATAGACTTTATATGAAGATTCTATTACATTCTCTTGAAATTGGCTCCGCCATACATATACCGCGAAACAAAACTAACACAAGCACCAATAAATGCACAACAGGTCAAGAAGTAAACCAAATGATCAAAACTAGCATGTGTGCCATTGGTTATGGCACTTCCAATGGGCAAACCAATTAAATCACCAAACGACAATACAAAGAAAGCTGTACCCAAGCCCTTTCCAACATCGGCGGTCTTGACAATGGAAGCCACCAAACTTGCTGAAAGACTAAGCACCGATCCACTGGAAAACCCAAAGCAACCAGAAAATACATACAATGCAGTCAAATGATGGCCAAAGGGAACCCAAATAACACAGAATATAAGCAACGAAAAACAATTTATCAAGCAAAAAGTGTTGAACCGGCCCAACCACTTGTCAGCTAAAATACTCGGCACGATACGTCCAGGTATACTGAATGCATTGAAAACCACCACCAACAAATACGCATCCCCATCGGCAAAGCCTCTGTTTGTAGCATAAAGAGGTAACTCAACCATGGAAATCAAAAACGCCAACCCATTGAATAGCAAACCAGTTACAATGACACCAAACAATGGATTCTTGTAGACAATCTTGAAATCGATCGAGTTGAGCACCTCTTTCAACACTCCAGCATCCCCAACCTCACTAAATTCCTCCTTTCTGTCCGTTACCATCAACCAGCCCACAGCCAAAAGAAAAAGGGACAAAAAAGCACCCACTCGTATGGACCAGCCAAACCCGATTTTAGGAAATAGTGATCTGAAAAGCAAGGGAAATATTACTCCGCCTAGTCCTCCTCCACTATAGGCAATTCCCAATGCAATTGCTCTTTTAGTGCAGTACCAATGACTAATGACCCCGATGAAAGGTCCAAATGTAAATGCAGCTCCCATTCCAGCAAGAAACCCATACGCCAAAATGAAATGCCACACTTTATGGCAGAAACTAGTAGCAAGAAGCCCTAAGAACATCACTATTCCACCACACATCACTGGTATCTTGCATCCATACTTATCAAACACTGGACCCGACACCAACAAGCCCCCAAAGGCGAAAAAGTTGTACAATGAGAATATCCAACTAACAGCTGTCTGAGGTTCATCTTGCAAGCTGTTCTGCGACACATATGACTGTATAACCCCGGCAGCATTAACAAACCCAAGGGCACCTGTTAGTCCTAAAAAGGATCCAATCACCGTCATTACTGCCTTTGTGTGGAACCCCGATGGGAAATTCGCTGGGTCGTCAAGCAAATGTAACCCATTACTTGTAGTTGACTTTGCCGATTCGCTTGAAATCACGGGCGTTGGGATGGTTTCAAATTCATTCGGTTCAATCGTAGTAATGACTTTCTCTTCATCCTGTTGACTCTTTGACATAGTGCGATACCCTGTTGAAGGAGGTTTGAAAGGATTTGGGTTAAAATTTTTGAAAACCAGATTCTTTTTTATAATCCTCTTTTTTTTTTTGTTTTTAAGATGCGCTTTCAGAGGAAAAAAAGAAACGAAAGCGATTTACAAATTCCGCTCTTGAACGGCACCAAGCGGATTTGCTTGAGACACGCTAGTGGGTGTGTGGTTGAGGTTGAAGTTTAGAATGGTGGGTGTCTAGTTTAGACTATGTCAAATTGAAAAATAGTCGTTTCTGTTCTCATATGCTGCTACGCTAACCCGCACGAGCGGAATTGAGTTGCCGTTGCAGTTGCCGGTTGTCAAAAAAATTTTTAATAATCTTTTTTGTGTCACTTGTAAATGCGAAAGAGAGGGATTTCATTTGTATTATTTTTCTTTTAGTGCGGCGTGGGAGAATTGTTTGTGGGAGGTCACTATGTGCTATGTTTTCAATAGTTGGAGTAATACTGCACTCTGAACTGTTGGATGCTCTTTTAATTAGGGTTTTCTTCCTTGGATTTCAGCCTCTTCCATTGGAAAGAGTTGGACAGTTGCGAAAAGAAAAGATAAAGAAAAAGCGTTGTAACGTTGCATTAAGAGAGAGAAAAAGCGATTCGAGAACGATCCGAGAACGATTCGAGATATTTTGGTCCTCTTCAATTAGGTAGGATATTCTCTACTCAAAGAAGTAGGACGTCTTTTCTGACTTTGGCAATACTTTATTTTTGAATGATATAAATATTGCAAAGAAACGGGGAGAATGGGAAGGAGTGGGTAAAATACTTATCACTAAGGTTCTTACCATTACAATATTTTTACCTTCTCGGGAGACCCAATTAGATGGTTTAGCCTTTGCACTTTTTTGGTGTGTGGAAGTTGCTTTTTGAGGAAACACATAAAGTTGACAACTTTTGAGTTCAATTGGAGAAGGCTGCTGGTTTATGAGTTTGTATCAGGTCTTTTGATTTCCTCAATTCCTTCAGATATATATATATATATATAGCTATATATGTGCTTACAAAGTTAAATGAATGAAGTTATATCAATCGTTGTAACTAAAGGGAACCAATTTTGTAGATTTGTCATACACTCTTCTTTTTCCATGTCAATTGTGTAATAAGTTTTCATTTACATGCCTGAAGGGTGTATGATAATATTACCCCTTAATTATTTTGGAAGAGGGAAACACATAGATAGTCAATAGTATTAAAATAGCTACAGGAAGATGACTTCGTCTAATCTCTTGGATATTGTGCGTTTTATGGAAAATGTCATATTTATTCGCAGCAAAACTAACATCTCATTGTCTAGGCTTAAAAATTACGTCAGTACGGAAGTGCATCGACGAGGCACCTGATTTAGACATTACAGAATAAAATCAGTAAACAGGCTCCCATTTTACTAGAGTACTTAAAAAAGTACAATAACTAACTAGTAACAGAACGGTCATTAGGTGAACACAGTCTAGAGAAGTAGTAACTTACAAATAGGTTAATATAACTAAAAACAAATACAATTTATTGAAATACAAACTTATATAAAGAGATTTTAGTGAGTTTCTACTGGAGGATACTGTTGCTGCGCCAAATGTTGATTTTGCATAATTGGAGAGTTGACAAATGTTGGTTGGTCTCCTATATCAGCCGATGAATGTCTTCCGTGATTCTGTAAATCTTGTTCCCATTTAGATCCATCTTGTTGTTTCTCGTAGTCATATTGATTTGTTTGATACAAATTTGGATGTTTTGATCTGTATTTCCTAACCGCACTTGGAATCATGTCAATGCTCCACAATATCAATAACAACCCGTACCAAAAGCAAATGGCCCACTCAAATCTTGCTGAGCGCAGATCATTGCCCACATTCATGTAATAACCAAAACAGGCAGCAAGGACAATTGCAACAGCCAACCACAATATTTTAGTCATAAAACTGAAGAAATATAGGTTGCTCGTCCGTGATTTCCCAAAGATGACAGTATCGTGAACCGGGTCCAAGAGGCTTGAATTTGTACCAAAAACAAAGCTGATTCCAAAATCGCAACAGCATGCAAAGAAAACAAATGCGATAAAGACCCCGACCATAGCCAAGTGAACGTGGTGGAAGTTCTTGGTATTGAAAATTGACACGAAAAGGATTCCCAATTGGCCAATTATAGACAATATGATACTAGCAATAGCTAACCTTGGCTGGTGGTAGGAGACGTAAGGCTGAATTCTGTTTGTCTTTCTTAAAAACATTCCTGCAATCAAAGTACCCACGAAGAAGATAGCTTGGAACCCAGCACATGAAATAAACAATGGTTGTAAGTTCGTGGCACCAATATCGGACAAGTACACTGGGTCTTGGTATTCACCATTCATGAAGGAATAGATTGGTCTTCCTTGGGCACCCCAACAAGCAAGCATGGCGATCAACATGCCCCACCAAACGACTAGAGCGACAATTGGGATCAAGTAGTAGTGGATGACTTGGAATCTGACTATGGGCTTTTTAGCGGTACGTTCGGCCATTTTGAATGAGCTTCCGTGGTTTGTTGGACTTTGGTCAGGTTTGTGAGTTTTCGAAGGATTCAAGTTGCCACTTGAAATGTAATCCCAGAAGAACTTTCTTGTATATATAATGAAAAGAGTGATTTGAATGATTACTTTTGACGCTTTTCTCTTTTGATGTATTTTTTTAGTTTCATTTTGTTGCATATGACACAAAATCGCCAAAGAAGAGCAAACAAAGTTTGCAATATCGCTTGAAATGACGTTGTTTTCTAGCTAAGGTCTATTGTGGGAGCAATACTCAGCTCTAGATATTTACGCCATTGGAAATGGTTTGCAAAACTCTCTACTCTTTCTTACAACAGTTAATTTGGTTGCAATGTGCTAAAGACACCAATTGCAACGTATTTTGGTAGTTGTGGCAGTGCTGCATAAAGAGAACAGAACCCTTTAGAGAGGGAAAAAAAGGGTTAGGTTTGAAAAGTCACGCGAGTGAGTCTGAACATCACCAGGCTATAGTCGAGCCGTGATCGGTTTAAGGTATACAAGAACACTCTGGCTGTTTTTATATTTCGTGTTCTTGAGTTATAAGCCAGGTAGTCTTTTGGCATGATAAGACAAGGCTCAGTGCGGATTTAACCAGCCATCAGATGAAATAAAACAAAAAAAAAAAACGAAAAGAAAAAAACATTGCCGCGTCTCGGATGTAAAAAATTGGTCCGTAAACAAACCGAAATTTTGTTTTCCGACGAGGTTTGGCCTTACACTTGGCACATCAGCCGAACCTCGACTCCAATTGAAAGGGAATATGTGATCCAACTTAAAGCAAGATAAATTTTAATGTAAGAAAGATGTAACTCTTTTGATGAGCTAGTGATAAGGGGGCGTACTATTGATACAATTGATTAACACTCGAAGAATCCTCTTGATCAGAAATGTTTTCAACAATTTTGATGCAAAAATCTGGCAACAAAAGTCATATTTTCTAAATCGATACAAAACAAAAGCAATTTCAGATAATATATTAGTAGGGCCAACCAAAGTGGTGGGTGCTAAACATGAAAACTTTTTATAGAATGTACAATAAATTTGCTTACACCTAAACAAACACCACCGTTTGTACGGTACAACACCTATTGTAATTGAAATTGAGAAGAACTAAGAATCTACAACACCAATGTTAACATGACTCTGATGGCAGTATTTGCAATCTTCTTTTCTACAGACCAACCTAGCTACTTTGAAAGCGTGTCCATGATTCTAGCGTGTCGCTTTGATTTAAAACAAAGTTCTGTCATAATCGATCTCCATTCCTTTTATGATACTCCCAGACGACGCGTTTGTAGCTCATTCTTCAGTTCTCAGCAATGGGGGGGGGGGGGGGTGAAGATAGTTTCTAGGTATGTCATTATCATCAACCCACAAAAATTTTGTACTCTTTGGTAGATTCGAAACTAAATTGAAAATTTGGTCTGCAACTAGGACGTTATATGAATCTTTCAATTCATAAAAGTTGCTGTATGAAGTTCGTTTATTGTGATCTAGGCACTCCATAGAGATCTTTGGTAATCGAGTGCCAAACAAATTAACACATTTGAGTTTAGTGAAACCGCCAGGGAAGGACAATTGAACCTCTTCTATCTGATCGTCCGAGAGATCGAACACTTCAAGCGAGTTTGTGTGAAAATCAACAACTGCCTGTGGGATTGTATTGTCCATTATCAGCAAACTACAAAGGTTTATCAATCGACTAAGCTGCGAAGCGACTTCTGAAAGCCAAGTCAGGTCTAACCGAGTCTCTTCAAATGACTGTGGCAACCCCATGTTAAAGGGAAATAGCTTTTGATTACTAATGTGCAAGTATTTTAGATTGGAATGTGGGTCGAAACTCATTCTCTCAGTAAAGAGATTAGACACCATTCGCACTTATCAATACGCGTCCAAATTGATAACTAGATGATGCGTCGCAATATTCTCAACTTAAATTCTGTAGACTTTCGGGTAGCTTGCAACGTGACAAATCAACATCGCCTAGGAATAACGTCTCAATCTTGAGTTTTTGATCAATCGTATTCTTCTCGAAATCAACATCCTCTATGTAATTTCCACTGATTTTAACCTTTCTTGGTGCTGGTGGAAAGCTTACATTCCTTATTTCTTGCAACTTATTCCAACTCAAATCCAAACTCACCAAGTTCTTTGGAAAAGGAACTCCCTCGACTGATCTTATTGCATTTTGAGACAAGTCCAGCTCTTCAAGCGAATCAGGAAAGGTAAAGTTGCTAATGTCATTTACCTCAAGATTAGCCAATTTGAGACACTTTAAACACTTGAGTCTCGATACACCCATAACTGCATCGCTCAATGCTCATCACAGCTATCCAAATATTCCAATCGTGGTGGAAGATCTACTAATATATTACTCAAATCTATGTGTCCACTACAGTGTCAACTTTGTCAAAGGGCCATTGTTAGCGACTGATACAATTCCCCATTATCACGGAAAAACCGTGTAAGCAGTTCTGACAGGTATATTTCTAATGCCAGCTTGAATTTTTTTTCTCTTGCAACTTGATTGAGCAACATAGTAAACCTATTTGCAAAATCTCTAGAATATTTGACACTTGGGGTGTTAGAACTTGTCATAAATTGAAGAACTTCAAGTTCGACTTCTTCAAAGTTTCCAAAATTAATAGATACATGAGTGAGAGACAGGAAGTTGAATCCTTTCTTCAACAGTGGTGCCCTATCCAGATAGCAACTAGAAACATAATCAAATCTTTTCAATGATTGTGGTAAGTCAAGAATGTGTTTGCCATGTTCAAAATCATAATCATGCTCAAAGCTAAGTTCTCTTAGCCTCTGACAATTTGAAAATGACCCCTTGACCTTGATACTCCTAAGCTTCAAAACTTCTGCACTAGTGAAGAATTTCAAATTTATTTCTCCAAGGCAATGCAGCAGAAACGGGTGTGCGTGTATAGAGAAGCCCGCATCTCTATCTTCCAAGTGGTTAGCGAGCCCCAGAAACTCTGGTACGTCCATAGATAAAGAACGACACCATGAAAGGTCCAAAAACAAATGTAGCTTTACCGTCTTGCTAGGCTCTAAAACAGTGAATACATCCTTAAGGTCAACAAGATCAGTTGGAAACTCTACGATTGATTTGAGTATAGTCTCCACATTGATACACTCATCCACAAAACAATCATCAAATATTTGAAACTCATTTAAGCTCGGGAAATCGGCCTCGTAGTCGTTATTTGATTTGTCGCAATTAGCCAATCTGTCTAGCTTCGTGTCTCAGTTGTCGCATTTATGGCTCGACTTTCTTGCTATAACGATACTAATAGCTTGCGTCAAATTGCTGTTCTGGTGTAAAAATGAGTGCTCCAAAAGAAGAGGCATAAGATTTTCAACACCTGGAATGAAAATGATCTTTTGTAATATACCCCGAGGATAAAAATCTAAGACTGAGTCCTCATTTCTCATAGTTTGACAAATTTTGGTCACATGAACCGGGCTTAGAAGGTAGCTTCATTCTATTAAAACGAATAAGTCTTGATCCTTTTGATGTGGGATTTTTTGGGTTTAAATTCCGCACGTCGTGGTGTAATGTCTCGAAAACTTAGGCGACATTGTTAGTTCGTCATTCAGTAAGTGTCTCTATATGTCACATCTGCAAAGCCTACATGTTTTTGTTGAAGTGGCCCGGGTAAAATAGGGGTAGATGGCACCGTTGCAGATGGGATAACGACGGATTCAATAGTAAACTCAGGCTCATCAGGGGTTGACGGTATTCCCTTCTAAATCAGCAATCATATAAGCTGATTATTTAATTGCTTCCCTATTCACTACTTTTAAAAATCCCCACAAGGATGAAACTTGTCGGCTTGCTGAAAAATAGAACACCCTCTGAGGCTCGTTAGGCGGGGATACTTGCATAGAGGCTATGGTTCTTAAGTTGCAAAAAATTCTACATCTAGAACAAGTTACCGATTTGTTATTCTTTCAGACAGAAAGGCCGACGGAAATCTAGTTCCTCCTTGTCAACGGTATAATGTTGGGTAAAATTGTGATGCAAAGCAAAAGGGATCCTCTCACCTACATCGTCAACAAGGGCCAGCTTGTTTACTTTACAAGGTAAATTCCAAACCGGATCCAGTTTGTGGTGCTGGAGTAACGCTTGTGGAAAGTTCTGCATAGAACAAAAGAAAACCACTCTCCTTTAAATAAAGGTGATACGTCACCCGGAATGGGAGGCGGAGGAGTAAATAACCTTTTCTTATGTAAAGGCATCTCTATCGAAACAGAACTAGGTAGCACAATCAGACACTGTGGTGGGTAGTGTATTAATGCACAGAAAAAGTTGTAACTTTCCTGAAATAACACAAAAACGTATTCTCTTTGTTTAATCTCCTTTCGCTACCGATGATAACAGTTGCACGATGAACAAAGGTAGACATTGCAGTGCATTGAAGCCAAGTTACACCCCCTTTCCGTTTACTTTTCACCTCTAACCAAATGCCAGCACGCCTGGGTCCCCCGAGTTGCTCTCCTCACCCTGGCATAGACAGTTTATCGATTACACAATGAAAATAAAAAGTTCATAACGCATGGCTTTGGGACGCATATTTGCATTTTGCAAACTTTGTGTAATATTACATTTCTGGCCCAATTTCTTTTTTTAATGTTTGTTAACTGCAAAAGTTAACACGTAGTATGAAATGAAAGGTAAGGGATCTAATTGTTACGCCGCCCGACACAATTTGGGAAACAGGAGCTAGACAGGTGGTTAGCAAACAATATTACTGGATACAATACTTACAAGAGGTATGAACAGAGTAGTGTATTAGCAGTTGGAATTGTGTGCTGGTCTAACCAGAATTCTCAATCGCTGGCATTTTTGTGAAACTCTTTTCCATTCTTGTTACAGTGTTTTGTTGTTACACCCACAGCAAATGCTATTTTAATATACAGTTTTGCCTAGGCAATTCTTGTCAAAAGACTGTTTTGTTATCAAATACAATTGTTCTATGGTTAGTAGTGCGAACGTATTCAAAAATACATATACAACAAGAGATTTACAATTTTACAAATCCGCTTGCTTTTGTAACCGTATTGAGTTGTGTGTGTATAGGTTGTACGATCTGAGTATCAAACCAAATTTGATGACGTTTCATTTAGCCTTCGGTTGCCCTTTCAAGTAATGGCATTCAAGCACCGTTTTCACGAAGTATAGACACTTTCAAGCTGAGACATCCCCAACTTGTAGACGACGACATAGCTCTTCTGGACTGATTATAGGGTATCGGGGCAAAAGGTGGATTTTAAAACCCGTAAATGTAGCTCTAAAAAAATTAAAAAGGGGAATCACTAAGTAAAATTTGATGACCTTTGAAGAAAGCACAAACAAAATGGATGAGGGTGAAATTCATCACACAAAGATGAAAGATTATTCCTTCGCTATTATTATCTTTCTGTTTTGTTTGGTTTCAAAATGATTTATTCACCCGCTGATAATGAAAAAGAAAAATGAGAGAGGCATTGGTACTAGTATTGGTGTTTTGTATTGTTTTTTAGTGTCGCAACTGCAAAGTCACACCTTTAAATAAATAGTTTTCTTCTTGTTTTTTTATTTTTTTATTTTTTTATTTTAGACTTGCATCTCGAATCGATTGTTCTACCAATTTACGTTTGCTATGAAATTTTCTTGCACTTTTCCTTTTATTTGATGTCACATCTACATACAGTGTTATTGGGCAGCATTTGCCTGGAGCTTTCCTATCCTCGGGATTGAGTAGACTGTGACCGTTTTTGCAGTATGGGTTTAGGAATCCTTGTCTTACAGTCCCTTCTTTTCAAGAGCCACCTCTAGCCATCCACTAACCAGATTATTTGTGTCTGTCTGTCTTTCTGTCTGTCGTCTAAGAAAGAAAGAGAAAAATGCTCACCTATATTACGTAAGATATTACCAAAGCCAATTTAAAAAATTGGATTTTTGAAAAAGGTAGAGTGCTTTGTGTAACTTAATTTGCGTCACTGACGATGCAAGAACAATTAATATACTGACACACAAAATGCAAGACACACACACAGGAAATTGATGACGAAGACATAAAAGAAGAACAATAAAAGACTAAAAAGACCAAAACACTAAAAGATTAAAAAGCTAATAAGCTGAAACAAAAGCCAAAAACAAAAAAAAGAATGAGAGAGGTGTTGGATGGAATGTAAATCCTTTTTCTAGCAAAAGGACCAAAGCAGTGTAGCACCAACGTTTGTCTCCGCCAAAGATTAACATGCTCAACACAATATCTTCTGTTGTGTTTTTCCCTATTGTTAAAAGGTGGAAGAGCTTGCTAAAATACGTGTATGCGATGTCGTGTCGTGTGGAGTGGAGTGGAGTGGAGTGGAGTGCTCGGGAAGGGTAAATCAAAAAGAACGGGCTATTTGTTGTTACACTAACCGTTCCTGCAAAATCTTTAAGCCTTAATTTTTTTTTCTTTTTCTTTTTTCTTGAAATTAATTTTCTACTTCTTCCCGCTTTAAGTTACCAGAGGGAAATGTAATAATGCGTTTCACCGATGACAATAGAAACTGTAGAGAGAAAAAGAAAGAGAAATAAATTCCGAGATGAAAGTCTTGGTGTGTGAAATCGCAGAAACAACACAAAAAGGAGAAAGGAAGGGAAAAAAGTAAAGGGTGGAGCTGCGAAGAGAGGATCACAAGCATTAGAGACAGAGTACGAATAACTCTTTATTTTTAGTAGCTAAGGGGGTGGGAAGAAGATTCGAAGGATCATCTTTTCGAAAGTGTTGTGTTTCGGCGCTTATTCTCCTTTGGTAAAGAGAATATTGCAGAATGACTAATAATTTATACCTTCTCCGTAACATCAACAAGAACATAAATTATTTTTTTTTTCTCCGTCTCTATGTCTGTTTCTGTATGTCTGTCTGTCTATTGTTAAACTTTGTTTGGTTCTGTTGGTCTTTTATTTTGGTGCATTTAATTTTTAATTTTTAATTTTTTTTTTTTCACCTTCTTGCATTATTACTATTATTTATTATTGTTACTTGTCTAAGTAACACTCTCTCCTTTTTCTTTTTTTTAATTTCTTGTTGGCCGATGGCTGTTGTTGCTTTCTTATTGTTATGGGTCAACTATAACTCTGTAACTGTTTCAAAAGGTTTTTTTTTTTTTTTATTTCCTTTTGTTTTGTTTGTTTGTATTGTTTTATTATACACCGCTGTTACAACTGCCACTACTACTGCACAGTGTGGTTGTTGCTTAGAGAGAAGTTTCTCTTTATGGCTGAGCATGGAGAGAAAGATACCAAGAATTAGAACTAGAGGAAGTAGTTTCCCCTAACGCCACTGTGCGTAACATGTGTTCTGTGTGGTTATAAAACTCTAAACCTTACGCACTCAAATTGTCTGTTAATATAATAAAAGTAAGCAAATACTTCTTAAATTTCTGATACGATACAATATAACAAAACCATAAAATGCTTGATGATACATTGTACATTGGCAAATGGCGTACACAAAAAATTTATTCAGCGTCTAACTAAATACATTTTTTTTAATTATATTGTTAATTTATCTGCAACAAGTGTTAAAAATAAGTATACCGCACCACAAAGACAAATTACACCAAAGAAGATTTGGGCGAAAAATGGGTTTCTCTTTAGACTGCAAAAACAGAAACCCAATGCAGGTAAAAAAAATGTATATATACGCATCGTAATCCTTACTCTATAACACCTTGAATCAAAATGTACTCACCACTATCTGCCCACCACTAGAGAAATATGACAAAGAATACTGAATCCTATACTGAAGGATATATAAAATTAGCATGGACGATACTATCATCAAGTCAGGATTCATCCCCTGCCATCTTGACCAAACTATATCACCACTTTCAAACTAAATATGGCACTTTTCTTGCTGATTTAATCACTAATTCCCAATTATCATCAACAAACTTGATCATTTCATTATACTACTTATACAAACACTACCATCAAAACACGATACTATACACCAAATTGGAAAAGGCGCAGCAGTATCCTCAAACATCCACTGATGATACTGGTATTGATTCAATGCACATATACACAATTATCACATCACTCATACTATCGAATAAATCGTTTGATGATCAATCGTACACGTTAAAGACATGGTGGATCATTATCAATAATACTTGCAAAAACTGCAAATTTGGATCAACTGTTGATGTTGACTTGAAGTTACTCAATACGATGGAATCTTTCTTTTTAAGTTCACTTGATTTCAAATTGTCGTTTACTGGTATGAGTAGTGATGGCACATTTTGGTCTTTGTTTAACCAAGGTGTTGTTGCCAATATTGACGATGTCACGATATCCATGTTTAAATCATTGGCTGGTACTAGTGTTGAAGAAGAGGAAGCAGTAGCAGCCTCACTCTTGATCACTCCAATCAAGACACAATCATTCCAATCACAAGTGATGACACAACCACCACCACCATTGATCAGTATCAATTCGATCACACCACCACCACAATTAACTACATCGTCATGCTCGCCACTTGTCAATAATGCCACTACGTTTTCATCACCTTTGAATTATCCATTGACACCAAGCACACCATTGGACTATTGCTGTAAAAGGAGAAAGGTGGCCCCCGTGTTACCATCACAACCACCTCAACAGCAGCAACAGCAACAACAACAACAGTACTTGCAATCATCTTTTGCACAACCACAATACATTGCGCCACCACCACCACAATGGACATCATCGTTTGACAACATCACTCCATTGTCAATGGCACCATTACCACAGCCTTATCACGTACAGTACACACAAACAGCACCCAACTTGCCACCAGCTCCATTTCAATATGATTACAACACCACTTATCAACAAGGTTACCCTTCTACAAAGTATCAACTTCCAAATGTAGGTTACGCCTTGCCACAACAACCCCTACCACCATACAAGCCAGTTTACAATTCATCGTTGATGAACCCATACACTAATCAACAATACTGTTCATACTGGTAGAGAATTACGAGATAACGCATGAGAAACGCACGAGCACAAAAAAGGACATGGACTCACACTTTTTATTTTACTGGGTCTTTAATTTATTTATTTATTTCTACTGGACAAATGAGGGTTTATATGGTTTTTCACTTTTGGGATTTTAGGATATGTATATAGAAACGGACTTAAATATTTCATTCATAATAGCGTAGCAGTTAACTCTTCTTTTTTGTGGGCTGGGTTTATCAAAAGTGGTAAATTCTGTCTCTGGGAGCCAAGAATATTTCACGCGTGTTTGCTTTTTCAAAGCTTTTACCCAACTGCTTTCCAAATACTAAATGGACAAACATGTATTGTCAGTTCCATATAGATCTCAGTTGGCAACACCTGAATTATCACCAAGCACAGAGGGATGTATTGTCCCGCTAATAGACCAAGTCAATGATTCTCCAATTGAAGTTTGTTATGCTGATTTAGTTATTCAACTACGGGATAAAGTTTCACAATTACAAACTACAGTGGAGACGCTTGGCCAGAGAATCATTCATCTTGAAAGGGGAAATGCTCTAACTCTACCGGACTCGCAGCGGGTCAGCTTGGTTAGAAACTACCCAGAAGAGTCAAGATTGTCAGACGAAATAGGCGATATGCAAATGAGACATCAAGTGGCACTGCTGCCCCAACTTAACACACATGTCCTCAATCCACCTCAATCACCAGTTAAACAACCAAAGAAGATATTAGAACGAATAAGGTACTTTGAGGTACTCAATCAAACCCAACAGGCATTAAACAACAAACATCAATTCAAGAGCGCCCATTTAAAACTGTATCATTCATCGACAACGCCAACCACATACAACGCGCAAGCACCTAAGAAAGTAGTGGCAAAATTGACCACCAAAGAGACAGTTGTCCGTGATGTCAGTCCTAAGAATGCACATCCAGCTAAAGAGGATAGACTAGAAAAGTTAGAACTTGCAGTTGAGGCATTGAAGCATAGCTTGTCCCAGTTGAATCTAGGGGAATGTAACATAGACGCAGAACCACAACAAGAACCAGTGCTTCGTGTTAGAGTCAATCGAGTCCAACCAATGGAAGAGCCCAACATCAATGGCTCACAGGCCGATCACGCAAATCAGCCAGTAGAGGACAAATCGAATTGTAAATTCTACTCCAAAGATTCGGTTGGTGCTGTTCTCAAAATGTCAATCACGAGTAACTCACACATAGGTAAAACATCCATAAACCAGGTGGACCAAATCCAACCATTTCGTCCACAAAGGGGAGTTACACGACAAAGAACGGTACGCTGTAAATGCAGCACACGGGTAAAACAGAAACAGAAGAGACCGGTTAAAAGACACAGTACATATAACGCCTGCGTCGCGTCAACCCAGCCTCTTCATGAACGAGATCAATCTTTTAAATCTTCACTTTGCATCTTGCTTGCACTTGCCATTGCAATAATACTGGCAGTGGTACTACTGCTCTAATACCACTCCCGCTATTAACAGGGGTATATAACTTTCTAGCTCATTATTGCACTCTCCTTCCACCCAATACACAAAATAAAAGTCTTTCGCGCAATTTGAGAAATTGCATCTCAAGGCATCACTACGACAACATCCTTCCCCCAGATGCTTTGTCAGATATGTACCACAAATGAAAGCAAATACAAGTGTCCTACTTGTAAGGTACCCTATTGTTCATTAGCATGTTACAAATCAGAAAGTCACAAACACGATGAGGTTACCACTAGTAAGCCCCCATCGATACCGCTTCCATCATCAGTGCAACAAATTGGCGAACCAGGAAGCAAATTCGACAAGCTACTCCAAGATGATAAACTCCAATATCTACTAAAACAACCTGCTTTGCAATTCCATCTTCTTTCGATTCTCACGATACTACAGGATGGATTCATCAATAATCTCAATCAAGAACAAAAATTAGAAGTCATGAATCTCAAATTGAACGATTTACGAAAAGGCGGTGTCGAACAAAATGAACTAGTGGAGGAGTTTGTACAGCGAGTGTTGGAGCTAGAAGAAGAATAATAATCTATTGTACTTTATCTACACTTTACCACCCCAAACGTTTTTCCTTTGACCCTTGAGATCGACTTTCAATTTAAACAAGAACCCACCAAGATCACCAAACATATCATCCGCATCAATCTTGACACTGAAATCATCAAGTTTCAAGTGTCCAGTCGTGATAAATAAATCATCGTCATCAGCACCACCGATAGTGACACAAGTGCATCTTTTGGCCGCAACTGGAATCTTTTCCACCAATTCTCCCTTTTCATTAACATGTAATATTGTTGACGTTGAAAAGACAGCTGCGTATATATGTCCATTCACAGTTCGCACCAATCCATCCGGTTCTGGATCATTTTCATTTGGGTAAAAGTGTTTAGTTTCAATAAATGGCGTCTTGTTGCTCAATTTGTTTGTTTTTGGATCATAGTCGAACTTGTAAATGGTGTAATTTAGTGAATCAGTCCAAAACACCTCGATTCCATTGTCATTGAAAGCCATACCGTTGGAGATGTTAGTGTTTTCCAACATCACATCAACTTTCAAATCAGGAGTAATACGCAACAACTTACCCTCTGGTTGTACTCCCTCCTTAGCACTAATGGGGAAATCCGTCATCACTCCGATCCAAAGGTTACCCCAAGGGTCTATAATCCCATCGTTTGATCTCAATCTCGTTGTCTCTGACTCTGTAAATGGGTATTTGAAAAAGTACTCCAACGTGCCGTTACTAAAATCACCCAACGCCAACCCCGACTTGGCAGCAACTAATACAACATTTTCCTTCTTGGTAAGCGCAATGAATCCAACAGATTCTTTGGGGTCGGACCATTTCAAAACTTCGTGCTTGTTGAGATCATCCAACAGTAGACGATGCACCTCACCTTGGATTATATCAACCCATAGCAATTTATTGTTGCGGTAGTCATAAGTAACACCCTCGGTCAATCGGCCACGATAACTTTGGGGGAAAATGTTTCTCTCAGTAGCAATTAATGACATAGTATAGAAGTGTTAGCTAAAAGGTGGTAATAGTAGGTGGGGTATAGTATGTGTAAGCAATAGTTGATGTTTGTTGGATTGCGCTGGAAAAAAAAACAAAATCTAATTTTCGGAGTTGCAAATTTAGAGACATTCAATTCCAGAATATACATAATCCTAAAGAGTCTTTTGTTCTACCTATTATGATTTACAAGGGTCAATAGAGAAGATACTTTGTAATCTGGAGCAGCCGGGTCACTAAGTACAATATAGGAAGGGGCATCCCCTGTAGTTTTGCTCTCATCTATACAGCAATTGCTACAATCTTTTATCCCTATCAGCTCGACTCCTCATCCTTTTCAGAAATTCCCTCTTTTGCTTGCAATTTGTCCCACTCTCTAGCCAAATTGATCAATGCTTCAGTATCATTTGCTGCACCAACAACATCAATCGGTACTTGACTTTCACTGTGCTGCTTCTTGGCAAAAGCCCCAAGATTCGTCTCATTGATTAACCGGAAGTCGTAATCATCGTCAGCCTCAGGGTGCCTTATCAACAACTCGTTCCAGGTAAACAATAATGAATCAGATTTTCGCTGAAATGGATTAACATCAACAATGCAAACCTTATTAAATGGTCTTGGCACATAAACATCGAGGATGAATTTACCCAAGCCAAGCTTTGTAAATTTCGGAGTCACCTCATCATAAACAAACAGGCTTATCCTCAGATTCAACTCAGACTCTAAATCCTTTAAAAAGTCGTAATAATTCAAGTCACGTTGCGATATCCCCAAAATCTTCCCCTCGTTAACAAACACCCTGAATTCCAAAGCAGGGTTGATATCCACCCACTTTTTCAACACCAATTCATACGACACTTTGACTTCCTTTGCGTTGCCCACTTCCAGAAACGGATACAACAAATCATCAATGATATGGTCGGACGATTTCAAAAGTAGGTATATATCGTTAGCTTCAATGCTTCGAATTGTGTTTCCTGGCATCAACCAGCTAGCATCTTTCGGCGTAGACCAGTTTAGCTTGGGAATCACCTTGCCACCCAACTCTCCCACGTACTTGTTAATTTGATCATGCAAATCTATAAACTTCAAATGCACAGGCTCAGACTCATCCACATCATCTTCCTCCCAGTCACTATACTCATTATCACTAGTTTGTTGTAACGTATTTTGACTTGTTGCTAGTTTTATCCCATCACTTAACAAGTAGTCAATGAAACTAGGCGGGAGTGGATTGATTACTCTATACGGGTACAAGTTGTCATTGAATAGCCCACACCAGTTGGAAAAAGAGCATTTTAGAATCTCATCCACAGTGACATTGGTGTTTTCAAAAGTTGTATACGCTTCCTCGCCCATGTTGAACGCCCTCACTCGCTTTTTCTCTATCGCGTCGATGGAATCAATTCGAACCAAATTGAAGAAAAAACAAAAAGAAAAAAAAAATCTTCATAATACATCACTTTAATCATCATCACCACCACCACCGACAATGACTTCCGTAGCTAGGGCCCAGCAAGCGCCATCTAATGCTACATTCAAAGATAAGGAAAAGCCTCAAGAAGTGCGTAGGGCCAACATTTTGGCAGCAAGAGCGGTATCTGATGCAATTAGAACTTCATTGGGTCCAAAAGGAATGGACAAGATGATCAGAACTGGCAAAGGTGAAATCATCATTTCCAATGATGGAGCCACAATCTTGAAACATATGGCAGTCTTGCATCCCGCCGCCAAAATGCTTGTCGACGTGAGTCACGCACAAGATGTGGAGGCAGGTGATGGAACGACAACAGTTGCCATTTTAACCGGTGCATTATTAGGAGCTGCAGAAAGGCTATTGAACAAAGGCATACATCCTACATTGATTGCCGAATCGTTTCAAAGGGCCGCTCAACGCAGTGTTGAAATACTTTTGGACATGTCTTCCAAGATCAAGTTGGAGGATAGAGAGTTGTTGATCAAGGCAGCCTCAACCTCATTAAGTTCGAAAATTGTGTCACAACACTCACTGTTGTTGGCTCCTTTGGCAGTGGATTCAGTCTTGAAAGTCATCAATAATGAAAAGAACAACGTTGATTTGAACGACATTCGTTTGGTGAAGAAATTGGGAGGCACAATTGATGACACCGAATTGATCAATGGAGTCGTATTGACGCAAAATGTCGTGAAAAGTGCCGGAGGACCCACCAGGATAGAGAAAGCCAAGATTGGTTTAATTCAGTTTCAATTGTCACCACCAAAGCCAGATATGGAAAACAACGTTGTAGTTAATGACTACAGACAAATGGATAAAATTTTGAAGGAGGAAAGAGCATACTTGTTGAACATATGTAAAAAGATTAAAAAAGCCAAGTGTAACGTGTTATTGATACAAAAGTCTATACTTAGGGATGCCGTCAATGACTTGGCCTTACACTTTTTATCAAAGTTAAACATCTTAGTTATCAAGGACATTGAAAGAGATGAAGTTGAATTTTTGTCCAAGGCCGTTGGTTGTAAACCTATTGCCGATGTGGATAACTTCACCGAAGATAGGTTAGGCTCAGCTGACTTGGTTGAAGAAATCGAAAGCTCGAGTTCTAAAGTTGTCCAAATTACTGGCATCACGTCGAAAAACACGCAGCCTACTGTCTCTATTGTTGTCAGAGGGGCCAACAATTTGGTGGTTGATGAAGCAGAGAGATCTCTACACGATGCATTGTGTGTTATTAGGTGCTTGGTTAAAGAAAAAGCGTTAATAGCCGGAGGTGGTGCTCCTGAAATCGAAGTGTCAAGACAGTTGATGAAGGAGTCGAATAAATTATTCGGAGTCGAACAATTCGTTTACCAAGAATTTGCTCTTGCGTTGGAGGTGATACCCACGACATTAGCCGAGAACGCTGGTTTGAATCCTATAAATGTTGTCACTGATTTGAGAAATAGACACGAAAATGGAGAAAAGAACGCTGGAATCTCGGTAAGGAGATCAGGTGCTTCAAACACATTTGACGAACACGTTTTGCAGCCAGTCTTGGTCAGTACAAGCGCTATTGTTTTAGCATCAGAGTGTGTAAAATCTATTTTAAGAATTGATGATATTCAATTCAGTCGTTAAATACATACAACCTATACAAGTTTGACAGATCTGGATAATCCCTTCTTTATACCAGTCTTTTCACCTTCATAAGGACCCTTACTCTTTTCACTATCGTAGACTTGCCTGACAGATTTAAGTTTCTTTTTGGCAGTCTCGTATTGTTTTCTCTTTTTAACTCTCGAGTTTCTGTACTCCTTCTTGCGATGAGGCGTGAGACCCTTATTTTTGAGGATCTGGTAGTTGATGGCTCTTTTACCGTCTTGCCCGACTTCTTCTTGTAGTTCAGCCAATTTACCTTCCTTGGCAGCCTTGGCAGCTGCAGCGTGAGCTAGTTTTCTATTTGCTGATTTCAATTCCTTATTTTGTTTGAGAGCATCATAATAGTCATTGTCATCTTCATCCCATGCATCATCGTCATCCTCGTTATTATCATCAGCAATATCCTTCTTCTCAAGTCCCCTCTTTCTTGCCTCTTCAATCAACTTTTGCTGCCTTTCATACAATCTCTCCTTGTATGGCACATCCATGTCACCAGAGTTATACTTTTCCCTCTGCGCAGCTGCTTTATCAATCTTGGCTGTATAGAATCGCAACGTCTTTCTACGACGCGTCTTGTCCTCCATGTCGACATCATCAATACTGGCTTCGGTAAAGTCATCACCGGTTGGTCGAGGTGCCTGCCTGATGGCTCTCTTCTTGTGAATATCGATATTGACACGATTGCTGTCCTCAGGGATATCCTCCACTTGTTCAACCTCTTCAAAAGATTGACTATCATCCTGTTCCTCTTTCGCATCAACAAACTCTTCTTCATCGTAATCACTGGAGCTTACCTCATGTGTTATTTCCTCAGTATCTTCCTTGATTTCAATTGGGAGTTCATTTGCCTGCCTCCACACTTCTCTCGAGCTCAATATGGACTCCATTACAGGATGTTCCTTCATAGACACAAATCCTTCTCCGCTACGAAGGTTGTCAACAAATATAGCCATATACGACGCAATCGATGCCAAGTATCCCGATAAAGCGCCTACTTTTATCTTTGTACATAAATTCTGGTCTAGTTGATTCAATTCATATAGTTTTGGCTGTAACTCCTCCAACTCTCTCATCAACGGTATAAATTCGGGAAATGACTGTTTAAGCAATTTTAATTGTTCAGCCTCATCGAGTGATTCGAGTTTAGCAGATGTATCAAGCACAACCTGGGAAACGTTACTATCTTTAGTATCAAAAGTGTCAGCTTTCTTTTTCCAGTCCTCTAATATCTCATCGTCAACATAATCATCCATCTCCAAGTCTTGTAGATGTTTCTTCTGCTGTCTTAATGCTTCCTCTGTCATTTGCTTCGAGTCTTCATCATCACTGGCATCATCACCTCCATAATAATTCTGTCTGCCACCCCATCCTTTTTCTTCGTTAGTCTCATCTTCTTCGTCTTTGTTGTCATCTTCATCCTCTTCCTCCTCCTCCTCCTCTTCATCTTCATCATCCTCTTCCTCATCCGATCTCATCACCTCCTCTTGTGAGTTTTCATCTTCAGATTCTCTACTTTGACCATATTCTCCTGCCTCATCTAGTAAAATCTTTGATCTATTCGCATCAAACGCATCAACCTCATCCAAGTCTGAATGGTCCTCCATTGTTTTCTTTGTTTGTCTTGCCATCAGTGTCTGCTTGGTTTAAAGTTGCAAATCAATGCTCATCTTAATTTTCTATTTTTTTTTATTTTTTTTATTTGTTTTCTCTTACCCTTTTGCTCCCAACCAGTAACTGTCCATAACATGTCCAACCGGTTAGAGTCCTTGAATTCGAAAAAGCCAACCAATTCTCCAACTCCAAAGCCTGGTCTAAAGTTCAAACCCAAGGTGGTGCAAAGAAAGTCAAAGGAGGAAAGAGCCAAGGTTGCACCACAAGTTAAACAAGAACCCCAGCGAAATGTATCGACAAGAGGTGGCCGTGGCGGAAGCGCTAGAGGAAGAGGCCGAGGTGGTCGTAATAACTATGCAGGAACCCACTTAGTCACATCAGGTCCTCTATCTGCTGGTTCTGTTTCCATTGGAAACCTGAGTGGATCCAAACTAGGGCTAACAGCGGATTTGGTCTACAACAGTAATGGCGAGAGCCAGACAACGCCTGATTTTATCAGTAACTTGAAGATGAAAGGGAGTAGGGCATCTACCCCTGGTGGAGACTCCGATGGGGAGGACGATCCTACAAAAATAAATATGACTGAAGAGTATAGGTTTGAGGATGATGCAACAGAATTATTCCCGTTTAGGCCCTTTAGAGACGATGGTATCAGACGAGAAGACGTTGTGAATGAGGAGCATCCGATTGAGGTTAAAACTGAAACTATTGATTCAATAGAGAACACACCTGCAGTGGTATCGTTAACTGAAAGCCGAGAAGCGACCGTAAAAAGTGAAGCCATCGACGACAAGATAGAACTGATCAAGGAGAGTAAAGCCAAGCTTGAAAGTAAAATTACCCAGAGTGATCTGATAGCGACTGACGAGGCAAGCAAATTAATCACCGACCATGAGCAAGTTTTGGACATCCTAGCCGGCAGCTTCAAAGGCTTGTCAACAAGAGAAAAGGATGACGATCAGTACATCATTTTCCAATTACCACAGCATCTACCTAAATACACACGTGAACAGAGCAAGGTGAAACAAGAGCCCGGAACCGATGATCAAGATGAAGAAGGAGTCACTAGGTCACTGCTAGGAACCAATACATCAACATTGCGCGGCGAAATCGGAAAGATCAACATTCACCAATCAGGAAAGATATCTATTGACCTTGGGAATGGGATTAGGTTAAACGTAACGAAAGGTGTGTCTACTGACTTTTTACAGGAATTGACTCTATTGGATGTTAATCAATCAGGAGAGGAGGACCTTGAAATGGTGGATGAAGAGGGTAGAGGCATATTGGGGAAGCTCGTACGATTGGGAGCGGTATCAGAGAAGATCATAGCAACGCCATGTATTGAATAAAGATGTGTAGACAAATTTCAATACATGATTTAATTTTTTTACCACATGATTTGGTTGTAAAAAAAATAGAACTAAACAGCACAAGGCAACACAATTATGAAAGAACACCACTTACTAAGACAACAATGGATGAAGACGTGGATTCAATTACAGAGAACACTTCATTTAAAGTTGATCAGAAGAAAATATTATCGCTAGACTATCATCGATCGATTTTGGGTGTGACATGTTTGGATGTTGAGAATCGAAAGTTATACGTATATGAAGATATTGAGGTATCCTACCCAAATACTTACATTGAGGCAATAATCGATGATTTGGAACCCGATGTCGTGTTTGCATCTTCCCGATGCACAGAAACCATGATCACCTTTTTGAGGGCATTGGAAGCAGAACGGAATTTAGCACTTTTTGTCAAGATTGTGTCAGATTATACAAAATTTGACCACCAGATTTTAGCACAATCATTTGATAAATATATTGGTACCGTAAGCTCCAAGCTTTTTATAGATGCGGCATTGAAATCTCCATACTTCAAACTCAGCGTAAGTATAAAGCCGTGACACCTGTTGTGATTGTGTACTAACAGCTTAAAGATGGGCACTTTAAACGCGATATACCACGGGATCGCCGAATATGTAGAGTATCTAGGTTTGGCTGAGATGGTTGATACAATTGATGCTTGCAGTTTTAAAAATCTCATGTTTATGGATGTTGATCTGTTGTTTGCACTTCAAGTTGTACCCGACCCCCAAGTAAAACCAAGCATTTCAAAGGATTCAAAAACTAGCTTGCTTGATTTTGTAAACCACACTGCTACAAGAGAGGGGTACTTGCTTTTACGTGACTGGGTGAGGAAACCCTTGGCCAACTTACAGTTGATCAAAGACCGTCAAGCTGCCGTCAGGGCTTTGTCCTTCGAATCTTTCAAAGAAAGTAGGAAGCAAGTTTTCAGATTTCTAAGTCAGTTAAAAAGCCTGTTTCGCAAAATAAAGAGATTGAGGGCAAATGAGTTGCTTTGGAATAGTTGGAAATCGTTGCTTGTCTTTTTGTCAAATTCGGTTCAAATTGTTAAACTTTTAAAGTTGCACTTTACAACAATAAATGCTGAACCTGCTCCACTTTTCAAATTTGCAATATTGCTAAAAGATGATGTTTTTGAGTTTCAGAAACTTTCTGACACCATTCTCCTGATTATTGAAATACAGTCGTCTGCAGAAGAGGGAAAGGTTCGGGTCTTGAGTGGGGTGGATGAAGAAATTGATAGACTAAGGATTATTTATAACGATTTAGAGTCTATCTTGCAAGATTGCACTCAAACATTAAAGTTCACATACAACCAGAGCTTTAACACAGTGTATATTCCACAGTTGGGGTTTCTAGTTTCTACTGAAATAGCAGACCTCTCACATGAAGCAAACTTTCCAAATGAATGGGAGAAGGTATTTATTACACCGACCAATGCTTACTACAAGTGCAATGAAGTCCAAGATTTAGATGCAAACTATGGTGATGTTCACACTCTCATCAATGACAGAGAAATTGAAATCATACAAGGATTACAAGAGGAGGTGTTGAATTACGAGCAAAAGATACTTGACATTATAGATGGTTTAGTAGAGTTGGATTGCTTGTGCTCATTAGCTGAAGTTTCAGTCTTACCAGGATACAATTTCCCTACACTCACTGATGGATTGGATTTGCAAATTAATAGTGGGAGACACGTCTTGCTAGAATCCTGTCTGAATATGGTTGTTCCGAATGATGTGCATTATGAAGGCAGTGAAAGGGTGATAATCATCACAGGAGCCAATTTCTCTGGCAAATCTATTTTTCTCAAGCAGACGGCATTGATCGTTGTGCTTGCCCAGATTGGATGTGCAGTTCCTGTCGAATCTGCTGTCATCGGCGTGGTTGACAAATTACTAACGAGGATTCTGTCGAGGGAATCTTTGGAAAAGCATCAGAGCACATTTGCTATAGATATAAACCAACTATCAAAATGTATTGCCCTCAAGACGGAGAAGTCGTTGGTGATTGTTGATGAATTCGGCAAAGGTAGCGATGCAATTGACTCTCCAGCCCTATTAGGAGGCGCTTTAACTCATTTTTCATTACAGGCAGATTGCCCACGGTGCATATTTTCAACCCATTTTTTGGAGCTTTTTCGGGGTAATTTGATTGTTGATAGGGTGCCCTCGGAAAGGGTAAAGTACTTGTCTACGCAAGTGATTATTCAAAAGAGTGACGAAACAAATAATACCGAGATTACGTACCTATACAAGATTATCTCTGGGATCTGTGACAACAGTTATGGTATCTATTGTGCGAAAGTTTGTGGAATTCCAATGAACATCATTGCTCGAGCAGAAGATATTGGCCGGAAACTCGATGCCGGAAAAGATTTGGTCAACGAGATGACGCTTCTAACAGCACACGAGGAGCAAAATTATTCTGTTGCCAGAGATGTAGTTATGAAGTTTTTGGCGTTGGAATTTAGTGAGTTAGGCCAAGACCAAACTACCTCTGATGTTTCAGAATTTGATGCTATATTTATCTAATTACTTATCAATTTAGCTGCTAAAGATTCAAGATCCTCCAAAGTCTCTGGCTCATCGATTTCAATAAAGTCATCTCTTTTCTGTTTCTTAACCTCGGGTTCATCTTTAAACCAAGTGTTATCTCTACTAAGCGCTTTCTTATCAAACACCATATCCTGTTCCAAGTCGGGAACGCCCTCCTCTTCACTTTCAGAATAATGGTCATCGTCCTCCCTCAACTTTCTCTCGATCTCCTTTCTCTTTCTCTTCTTTTCTTGACGTTTTTGTCTCTCAACCTCCTTATCTGCAGCATCAGTGACCTTCATCAATTCTTGCTCCTTTGATAAGAAATTGTCTTTCTGCGTCTTAGCATCACCTGCCTTGATGAAATCTTCTTCGCCTTCCAATTCGTAAATTGGATGTGCTATACCTTCATCATCAAACTTCAACTTTGTTGGGTTACCTTTACCTTCGAGTGACGCCTTCTTTGAAAGTGCTTTCTTTGCCTGTCGTTTGGATACCGGCAACAGCAAATCGGGCAAATCGTCATCCTTCAAGTCATGGTCTTGTCGCTTAACTGTCATAAAGTCATCTTCCTCTTCCTCCTCCTTGCCATTGACTTTACTGTTGGTCAAGTTCAAATAATGATCAGACAAAATGGTTTGATTCTTTCTTTCAAACATTCGGTCATATTTAGTTTTGATTTTGGAAGGCTTATCCTCAACCTCACCGTCAGCATCACTTTTCGACAAAGCGAGCAATTTTCTCGACTCGTTCTTTTTCTCCTTGCTTGCTGAACCACCTTTGATTTTAATTTTCGGGGCTCCTGGAAGTCCTAAGGAGGCCGCGTAGGCTTCAGCAGGCAAGTCTTCTACCTTAAACACGTCCTTGTCCTTTTGAATATATACAGATTTAAAATACGCAATAAATGCTCTCTGTCCTAAATTCTTCATCACTGGATCTTTGAAACATAAAGATTGCAACTGTGGCATAATCGATTTCTTGCTCTTTTGTTTGATATTCATCAATTTTGGTTCAATAGTGTGGGCCTTGAGTTTTTGCAAAAAGCCTTCTTCTTCACTCGGTGTTAGCATGAGTAAAGATTTCCCTTGTCTTCCAAATCTTGCTGATCTCCCCACACGGTGCACATAAGTTGCTACATCCTCAGGACAATCGACTTGGATTACCCAGTCTATAGCTGGGAAATCCAAGCCCCTTGCTACAATATCAGTTGCAAAAAGACAAACATGCTGGGCTTGGGAAAATTTGGTTGTTGTTTCCAATCGCGAAGTTTGTTTATTGCGCCCGTAAAGTTTCAAAAGCGATATACCTGGTTGAAGTGTACGGAAAGTTTCATAAGTGTACTGCACTTGCTTTGATGACGAAAAGAACACCAATATTTTACTCTTTAAATGTGATTTAATAAAGGACCATAAAACATCCAACTTTTCCTCTAACGGCACTCTGACATAGAATTGGTCCAATGACTCGGGGATGGCAGATACATCTTGATCAGAGGAGGTACCTATTCTCTTTGGATTGGTCAATGACAACCTGGCCAAATCTTGCACACTATCGGTGGTGGTGGCTGAGAATAATAATGTTTGTCTTGTTGGGGGTAAATGTCTTATGATGTTATCAATCTGTTTTTTAAATCCCATATCAAGACATCTGTCAGCCTCGTCTAAAACTAAAACCTGCAAATTTGATGTCTCCATTCCCACTGCTTCGTTTAAATGTTGTGAAATACGTCCTGGAGTACCAACCAATATATTCATTCTTGATATCCTCTCCTTTTCGTACTGTACATCTTTCCCACCAGTGACCAACCCAGCAGAGAATGAATTGTATTTACCAATCTTGGTCAAGACTTCAAAAATTTGAACCGCAAGTTCTCTCGTGGGGGAGACTATCAACGCTGCCAATCCATCAAACTCGGTGATATCATTCTTGATTAAGATCTCAACCACAGGGATTAGAAATGCCAACGTCTTTCCGGATCCGGTTCTAGCAGTCCCCATCAAATCATGTCCCTTTAAAGCGATAGGGATAGTCTTTTTTTGAATATCTGTTAATGAAATGAATGCTGATTCTTTGAGACCGCGAAGAGTATTTTGAGTGATTGGTAGATCACTAAATTGTTGCATCGCATCTTCATCGACCTTGGGGTTGTAATTCTCAATTCTCTCTTTGATTTGTTTGAGCTCTTCCTCTTCTTTCTGACGTCTTTCTTTTCTTCCTTCATGCTTGTGGCCCTTGGAGCCACTCTTTAGATGGTGCTTCATACTAGTATGCTACTGAATGTCCTTTTGGTGTGGTGATTGATGAAAAGGAAAATAATTTTTTTTTATGTACAGGACCAACTCATCGCTGTAGACTACACTTTCAAGAATGATATACAAGTCAAAACAATGCATTTGCACTATTGTCACTACCTATAATCACTAAGGATCTTAAGTTTACACTAAAAGTCAAGGATTCTCGAATACTGCCAACACAAATCTCCACACTTATCACGCGACAGTTCATCCAAAACATCGGTACAAACATGACCCCCAGATATCCCATACCGTTTCAAAATGCTCAGAATAAGCTCCGAGACTGGAACGTTCTTCATGGTGAAGCTTTTTTCATTAATATCGACTTCAATAAGTAAGCCTTTGAAACTGCCGTGTAAAAACACATTGGATGTCCTGATGCACAAGTTACCATTCTCTAGCTCGTATATTTGCCCCCCATCTCCCTTTATCATCTGCTTCTGCGTCCATAAACTTTGCAACTTTTGGTTGGCGAGTACATCAAAGGTATCATTTAGCCCGGTTGTAGCCCCCAAATCTAGATGAGAGTCTGGGACACACTCAGTTTGCAACCCGAGCTCCTGTGCCTCCTCGTGTATTGTGTTGCTAAACACACCCACGGATCTGCCATTTATTAGAGTGAGCGTGCTCCCAGGTAGGTATGATGGGGACAATGTGTACATAAATTTCGACTCAGAATTTTGCAACTCTTGATGGGCAATTTCCTGAGGAATTGCGTAGGGATTGTTTTTGAATATCCGAAATGCAAAATTCCACTTCCCTTTCTTCATGGGTAAATCATTGGCAAGCTGATCTTGGAATTGGATTATAGTATCTGGAGAAGCATTCTCGACTAATATCACACTGTGACAGAGGGAAAGGGAGTTAGTACTCTTTAAAAGTAGCATTATATTTGTATGATTGATGATACATACGCTGACACCATGGTTTAACTACAATCAGTTCAACCTTGAAAGAGTCAACGAGGTTTGTTGATTATTCAACATCGGGAATAATGACACAAAATAATAAAAGAAAAAAAAAAATAACAAAATCTCATTGCAAAAAATTTGAAAAAAGGTGTTAGCAGCTTTAGAGTTTTTGGAGTAACTACAACATGTCACATCCTGTAACTCAAGAGGCCATATTTATCGGGGCTAACAGACAAAATTATGTATCAGATTTCAACCCACAACATAAAACCGTTGCGTTTGGTGCAGGTACTACTGTTGCTCTTTGGAAACCATTAGACAAAGCACATCATGGTGTCTTCTACACTTTAAAGAAGCACACCAAAGAAGTAACAGGAGTAAAATTTTTACCGCAAAGTGACTTTTTAGTCTCAGTTGGAGAAGATCATATTGTCAATGTATGGAAACAAAGTGGCGATATCTACGAGAATTGTCAATCGCTTTGTGAACACGAACATTCCGTGACGTGTATTGCAGAGATAAATGAGCGAATTTTTGTGACAGGTGGGGCCGACCACAAGATAATCATATGGTTATATGATGGTGAGGGGTTCAAAGCAGGATACAAGTTTGAGGTCAAGCCCAATTTTTACCCATTGTCATTGGCAATTCAAGAAATTGATGATGCAGGTAATTATGTACTTGCTATTGGAGGAACAACAAACAACATTTACATTTACACCTTTCAATTTTCCCAAGGCTCTGTTGCTAATTTCAACAAGGGGGCTGAATTGACTGGCCATGAGGATTGGGTGAAAGCTCTCCAATTTGTCACTAAGTCTAACCAGCAGGACTATATCCTAGCCAGTGGATCTCAGGATAGATACGTAAGACTATGGAGACTAAAATTGAATGAATTTATTGATGATACTGACGAAGACCCTACGAAATTGACATTGTTGTCCAACAAACAATATAAGTTCAACTTTGGTGGTGACAAAAGAGCAGCATTTAGTTTTGAAGCATTGATTATGGGTCACGATGACTGGATCAGCGGTATACAGTGGCACCCTCTGTGCAAATTTACATCAGAAAATGCTGACTCCAAATTGCAATTGCTAACATCGACTGCGGATACAGCATTGATGATCTGGGAGATGGATACAGAGTCGGGGATATGGGTATGCACAAGTAGGTTGGGAGAAATGTCGATCAAAGGTGCGTCAACTGCCACTGGAGCTTCTGGTGGTTTCTGGTCCTGTTTGTGGTTCATCGACGATAGCACAGACGAGGAGTACGTTCTTGCGACAGGTAAAACGGGTGCAATTAGAGCCTACAAGTCAGCTTCAAATAACACAAAATATTTCGAAGAAACTATTGGTGTTACTGGTGCTGTTGGCACTATCACTGATTTGAGATGGTCTATTGGAGGTGAGTACTTCATGGCGACGTCACTTGACCAAACCACGAGACTATACGCCCCGTGGAAGAGGGATCGAATAGCCACCTGGCATGAACTAGCTAGACCGCAAATTCATGGCTATGATATGATATGTTGCGATAACATAACCAAAACCAAGTTTGTTTCTGGGGGAGATGAAAAGATTTTGCGTGTGTTTGAGCTCACAGAGTCAATTAGCCAATACTTGAAGGCACTCGGAGGAATTGAAATTAATGACGACAATGAAAAGCTTCCTGAATTTGCTACATTGCCAGTCTTGGGTCTTTCAAACAAGGCTGACGCACAAGTACAGGAGGAAACAAAGAATGATGACGTTGATGATGTTGAAGGGGAGGAGCTTGAGCAGAAGGATGACAAGCAAATAACTGTGCCACCTACAGAGTCCTACTTGCAAAGAAACAGTCTTGCTACTGAAATTGAGAAACTATATGGTCATGGTTATGAGGTGACATGTTGTTCAACTTCTCCTAATGGAAATCTCATTGCTACGTCATGTAAATCGAACAATGCTAAACATGCCGTGATACGAGTGTTTATCGTGGGTAATGACTATCAACAATCGAAGCAAGTTCTTGCAGGTCATAATTTAACCATTTCAAGTCTTAAGTTTTCCCCCGATGGTAGGTACTTGTTAGCTGTTTCCAGGGATAGACAATTCAGTTTGTGGCAGCTTGTTGATGAGGCAAATGCTGAGTTTAAACTAGTTGAGCTTAACACTAAGCCACATTCAAGGATTATCTGGGACTGTTCTTGGTTACCTAATGCACATTCATTTGTCACGGTATCCCGGGATAAACAAATGAAGTTATGGAAAATAATGGAGGGTAATGTGACACTTTTAAATAGCTTGAAAATGAGTGAACCAATTACATCAGTGTCTATATTCAAGGGCAGCTTATCAGCCAAGTTGAATGTGATTGCTTTGGGTCTTGAAAGTGGTCAAGTTGCCATTTATTCTACAGAAAGTGGTGAATTTAAACAGATTGTGTCGTTTGATGACTCAATAACACCGGCTGACAGAATAGAAAAGTTGAGTTTCAGTAGTAAAATAACAGACCAAAGGTTGCTCTTGGGTGTTGGTAGCAGAGACACTTCAGTGAGAGTATATTCTATAGAAGAAACTTTATTTAGATAATGTATATATGCTGTCGCTCTTTGGTAAATCAAACAACACCTACGTTCCGCCAATCTTTAGAAAACTGTTGGTTCACGTGACTAGATTTTATTTTAAAACAATTTGAAAAATTTATAGCATACGGTGCATGAGCCTAAACATCACTGAGCATGGAAGAGACTATAATTGACGAATACCAAATAAAGGAAGTGAAACAAGGCAAGATCACCGTCGCTTCACTTGAAAGATTAAAGATCCAATTGAGGACTGAATCGAATAGAGAGTCAAAGCTCATCACTTCAAACCTACCTTCCATTGTTCAAAGTTTCAACCAGGTCCTTGAAGAAGACGAAGCAGATGATCCAGACGAGCCAGATAAAAGGAGATTATCACCAGGTGTATATCAAGTCCTTGTCAATCTTGTTGCCCAGAGTGATGAAAATCGGGATTTTTTCACTACTGATTCAAATGAAGTCCACCTGTTTTGGAAATTAACACGATCATTACTTGATACAGGAGATGATACATTGCATTGGTTGATACTCATATTTCTCGGCCAATTCATCGTTGAATCACTGAAAGTTGGTGAATACATGTCATTTTTGCATCATGAAGGAATTCATAAACTGGTTTACTCCCTTGTCGACGACGACAAGAATGGTGCATTTGACGTTGCATATGAACTTGTCAAAGCTCATGCCGACAATTTGAATGATGATGACATTACACTAATAAGCACTATTAAAAGCAAGTTTGAGAACTACTTTCATCAAGAAGAGGATACTGAAATTGTTGAAAAAGTGGTTGAAATCGTAGCTTATTCAGGGCCTGATAAAGATGTGTTTGATAAAATACTCAGCCGTCTTTCTCAAGTAGAAGATACTGCTCTAGCAAGGAAAATGTTAGTTGCAGCAAGTTTAGTTTTCACCAACAAGCCAGCCGATATACCGTTTGATCACTTGAGCTCGCCCAATCCTTATGTATTTGCGGTATGTTGCATTGCCGTAGGTAACAGTATCGATAGTGATACTACAAGGGACCTGGCGTATGCTCTTGTTGATGCCGAATTTGGTATTGAAAGATTACTTGAAACATTCTTCAAAAGATTCAAGATTTCGGATGTAATTCAGATTCAAGCTATCCATATGTTGAGCAATTTGATGGATGAAAAGATTTCTAATGAGATAATATTACAATACATGGACGAACTCATAGCCCTTGACCAAATTGTGATCGATAATTCGCAATATTATCAAGAGATATCCGCGTTGTATTTCAAGTTTGTGAAAAAGTTGCTCGTTTCAACCACAGAACGTGTTCCAATTGCATTTATTAAACAAACAAATGGGTTTGATAGTACCATACCCGATTTCATTGGTGCGAAATATATTCTTTTGCAAAAGCTCAATTTTGATACGGAAGCAGCAAACGATGAGACATTGCAACTCATAAAATCAACTGTGGCGCAGGTCAATCAACTGGATATACTAGAGCAGATCAAAACTACATCTATTATCAACCAACATCTAACCTCGCAAAGGATATCACTAGAGCCAGAAAGTGTAGCTCAAGTTTATCTCCAACCACTTCAGGAAATATTGAAGCAACTACACAATAGTCAAGTTTCAGTAACACAAGATGCAAACTCGTGGCAAGCAAAAGCATTCAAGAATAATTTGAAATACATGGCAGCCACAACCACCAAGGTGCTTGAATCAAACTCAAGCGGAGTGTCACCAAGCGACTTTGACGAAATTGAGCGAATCTGTACCCAAATTCTCACTGCGGAGTAAAAGGCATTTCACTAGTCAAACAGCATTAGCGTAACTTCTTTTTGTTTCTCTTGGAAGGAGTCAAAAAAAGTTTTAATACACGTGTCAGCTTTTAAGGAATGGTCGAAGTGGTTATAGAATTAGAAATAGTTCCACTAAAGGTATGGTAAAGCGAAGAAAGAAAAAAAAAATAAAAAAAATGAAAAGAGAACTTATGCCACACACACGTTATGTTTTAACTCTCCATTTTTTTGTGTGTATCTACGGCAATCGAAGGGTAAAAAATAAGATAAAAAAAATTCTTTCAATTAGAGATTTGTTTTGTGTAATACTATGACGAGCCGCACACACTTCTCCATTTGGTTGACTCGGACCAAGAAAGAGAGAAAATCTTTTTAGTGTCCTTATATCCTCTTCTGTTTGTATATAAAGGAGACAAACTCAGCCAAGAATGAAATGATATGATATTTTCAACATATTCTGTTGCACCTGAAACGTGAATAAATCACTCGTATTACTACTACTAAGCAATGACTGTGCAAACTGTATTCTCAAATTTGGTAAGGGAAGACCCTGACCCAATCATCAAAACAATGCAACAATTTCAAAAGGACACCAACCCCCAAAAGATTGACGTTTCAATCGGTGTTTACAAAGATGAATCGGGTGCATGCTACGAGTTCCCCAGTATCACCAAGGCCAAGCAAATTTTACATGACAATGATCCAGGACACAACTACACCAATATGGCCGGCATTCCGGATTTTGTGATTGGTGCTCAAAGACTTGTATTTGGTGATGAAATTGCGGCACAAGGTAAATTGGCTTCTATCCAAGCCATCTCGGGGACAGGGTCATTACATATGGCCATGTTATTATACCGCGAGTCGGGCTACACTAATTACTACATAGGGACACCAACCTGGCAAAACTACCAGCCCATGATTGAACATATTGGCGGCAAAGTGACAACATATAGACATTATAATGAAGCAACCAAATCGATTGATTTTGACGCTGTTTTAAATGCATTAAATTCAGCTCCAACCAAAACAATTTTTCTTTTCCAAACATGCTGTCATAATCCAACCGGAGCTGATTTCAGCCATGAACAATGGCAGCAAATTGGTGCAATATTGCAAAAACGTCAATTATTACCACTATTGGATACTGCATACCAGGGGTTCAGTTCGGGGAGTCCTGACCAAGACGCGTGGCCTGTCCGGTACTTGTACAACTTAAACTTGGAATTTATTGTTTGTCAATCATTTTCGAAGAACTTAGGCTTGTATTCCGAACGGTGTGGGGCCGTACACGTTGTTGTTCAGGATAAGGAGTATGTTCCTAATGTTCAAAGCAACTTGGTGGCTCTATTCCGTCATGAATGCTCATTTGCTCCAGCATTTGGCGCTAGATTAGCTAGCATCATTTTCCACAATGACAAGTTGAGGAACCAATGGTTGCAGGAGTTGAATTCCTCAACTATGAGATTGAAACACTTGCGGCAACGGGTCTTGGATATATTAACTCAATTGCAAACACCCGGTGATTGGCAAAATGTAGTTGAACAAAATGGCTTGTTTTGGTACTCGGGTTTAACCAAGCAACAGAATGATCAATTGATTGCCAAGCATAATGTGTATTCAACTTCTATGGGTAGGGTCAATGTAGCTGGGTTGAATGATGGAAATATCGACCATTTCTGTGCCGCAATTGACAAAGTAGTTAGAGATACATGAGAGTTACATCTTGAAGAGTTTTGAAAATACACTTATGTTGTCCTTTTGTTTAACCATAAATAAAGTTTTGCAAGTAGTCTTTTTAAACTAATCTTCCCCCCTCCTGTTCCTATAAATTGAAAAAAAAAAGGAAAATGCAATTAAAATTGAAAAAAATAAGTACGAAATATGTCATTTCAAATTCCAAATAAAAAAATGTTGAAGAAATTTAACCGTTATCGACATGGAAACATCCTATTCTCGCCACTCTCTACTAGTACTCTCTGCCCTCATTCCTGCTTTCCCTTTTTTCTTTCTACCTCACACATTCAACTTACCATGAATCTTCTTCAAATGGGCCTTCAAGTTATCTTTTCTATTAAAACATTTACCACAATTTGGTTCTTCACATTGGAATGGCTTCTCCGATGAATGCGATTTGAGGTGTCGCTTGACATGTTCTGGTCGTTGGAATCTCAGGTTACAAATGGGACATTTGTGTTTTTTCCTCGGGTCAACTTTATCATTCTTCTCTGACCGGTTATTACGAACTTTTGGTCGAGTAATATTGAGGTCTTCGGGGATGGCAATGGTTACAGTGCCATCTTCCTCGACGATACTTTCAAAAGAACTGTTGTTGGAATCTTTTGATGCATCTTCCTGAGCAGCTTCAGTTTTGGCTTTTGTTCGGCTAGATCTCCTTGTTGGCTGCTTAGACGTGGCAGCGGCAGATGCCTTCTTTTTAGAATCGTCGACGGGGAAAGTAGCCATGGGTGGTAACAATGTAGGTGTGGATGATGAAGACACTTGACCACTAGCTAGAGTGTTCTGGTCCTCTTGGGGTGGTTGCTGTTGTTGAGATAAATTTGCATTCAAATTAATCGATGCTGATGGATAGCCTCCATTTGAATGCATCTTTTTATGTTGGTTGAAGGGTGATACCGATTGATTTAAATTGTGGGTAATTTTCTTATCCAACAGAGGGTATGATCCATGGTTATTGTCAAATTCAGTCAGTAACAAATCAATTTTAGGCGCTTGCTCATCGTCATCATCATCTTGTTCTTTTTCATATTGCGACTGCACAAGCCTAGAATTTGACAGTGGCATCATGGCATTAGGCAACAACAAGGTCGAGCTTGAGCTACTCTTTACTTGTGGACGCTTGCTCATTTGGTTCAAAAGCTCGTGGTCCTTTTTATTCTTCTTTAGCAAGCTTGAGTACGATTTAGCCTTTTTCAATTGCTTTAAAGCGTCATTTTCTTGATCTTCCAAATGTTGGTTATCGTAAAATTCACTTCTAAAAGGGCTGAAAAAGGTCGATTGAGACGATTTTAACTTTTGAGAGCCGGGTGTTAACAATGGAGTAGCTGACAAGTTGTTTCCGCCATAATTTTCCTCATCATCCAACGAATTCAACCCCTGCGATGGGGTGTAGAACGGGTTCAATGCCGAATTATAAGACGATGCTGAATTTGTCTTTGACGCAAGAACAGCTGCTGTGGCGTCCAACGACACACGTGATCTCGATCGAGAATGGCCCTTGACCTTATTTGCCGGAGTCTTTGTTACCTTGTTGAATGCAGTAGCCGCCAAGTTCACAGGAGAAAACGTTTGTGAGCAGTTCCTTAATGGAGTAGTATAGGAGGATACTGACATGGATTTGTTTCTGCCGGGTCTTCTAGGAGTTGAAGTAAAATGCTGTTGGTGTTGAAACTGTTGTATTTGTTGTTGTTGTTGTTGTTGCTGTTGCTGCAGCTGCGGATACAACGCCTGTTGCTGATAGAATGCTTGCTGGGGTGGAATTTGTTGGTACCCATTTTGCTGCTGCAATTGGTGATGCAAAGGCGATTCAAACGAAGGTATTGAATCTAATGAATAAATAGTGTTTGATGAAATCGATTCAGGTATCGCTGAATCTCGACTTGAACAGGGCGGGTCCTGGTTCACGGACATAACCGAATTATTATGGTGATGAAAATTTTGGTTGCGATTATTAGCTATTGTTTCATCCAATGACACATTTCTCGAATGGTTGAAGCTGAGACTATCGCCGTCAATGATATTTATACCCAAGCCTGATTCGTCGGTAATGTAAAACTTGTTTTCTGGCAAGTTGGTCGAAATTGGCACCACTTCGTCGTCAAACATGGAACCATCGTCAATATACTCAGTCTTGGAATGGAAACTTAAGCCCTGTGATAGTTGCTGTTGCTGTTGCTGTTGCTGTTGCTGTTGCTGTTGCTGTGGTCTATACTGCAGACTCTTGTGAAATTGGTGCTGACTCTCTTGTTGTAGTGGAGCTATCAAATGGGGCTGCTGTAGTTCCAGCTGTTGCTCTTGTTGCTGTTGCAGCTGTTGCTGTTGCAGCAATTGCAGTTGCAGTTGTTGTAGACTTAGACTAACTAGGTGATTTTGAGGAATTTGCTGCGTTGTTTGATCATATAAGTCGAATGAAATAGTCGAATCATCAAACGGTTGTGCCAATTGGGTAGGAGAACTTAGCAAGTAATTTTCCATTATATGGATATATTTCCTGCGTATGCGTGTGGTTTGTTTAGCGAGGAGGTGATTGGGTTGCTAGTGTGATGTCTTCCTAGGCGTGGGCGTAGGAGTATGTTGTTGCTATTGATGTTGATGTTGTTGATGTTGTTGTTTGCAATTTTAAGCGTTAACAAACTGTAAAAAAAATAAATTATACTGGGCTGTGGTTCTGGATGCCTAGAGCGTAGATGAAGTCCATGAACCAAAAAAAAAATAACAGGCAAAAAGTTTTGGATTTTCTATTGAAAGAATATAATAATAAGCGAATGTGTGTGTTGGGCGGATTAAAGTGTGGATATGTAATATATAGCTTGTGATGTGTTGTATCACCAAATAATAGTTGTTTGAGTTTAGTTAGTTTGGTGGAAGTTTAGGAATGGGAAAAGATTTGATAAAATTTATGTGAAATGAATTCTTTCAGACAAAGAGAGAGAGTCTCAGAAAATAAAAAAAATAAAAAAAAATAAAAAGAATTTAAAAAAATAAAAAATAAAAAAATAAAATAAAATAAAATAAAATAAAATAAAAAACATTTATATTACCAACAGAACCACCCAAAATAAAATATAAACTTTACCTATATATATTACAAACCAACATCCTATCAGCAATCAATTCAGTTAATAGAATAATTCCAGTTTACTAGAATATACCAACGGGTACTCTCTCTCCTCCAATAGGATTTTTTTTATGTCTCTTTTAATTTTATTTTTTTTTTATTTTTGGTGTGTTCACGCGGGCTTAGAAATTTACACGCCTGATTTTCTTTTTCTTATATGATGCTCTTATGCTTTACGCTTTGCTTTTTTTCTTTGTTTTTCTTTCACTGTTTTAGATATTTAAAGTATTTACTTACTCCAGTTGTTTTGACTAGGGGAGTAATAGTTTTATGGTTGCAAAGTAACCTCGTAACTATTGAACTGAAATTACATCCAAAAGGCTTCTATTTTTACAAACTGTGTGTTTACCTCCTCAAGCACATCGTATTTGATAACTGAAGCCCCCCTGAGATACTTCAAGCAGATTAAAATTTTTGCCATTCTTTGAGGGGGCGATAGTGTTGTTAGTTGGTGTTTTAGTTTGATATTCGTTACGTCGTTAAGTTACGTGCACAAAGAATGCTAAGAATGAGATAGAAAAAAATTTTTTTCACACTACTCTTTATACACAGATACAAAATGACCATCCAGCGACGAGCAGTAATGGCCCATACCAAAACATAAGAGAAAAGGGTTAACAAGCCATGGTTGTTTCATACCGAGGAGTGTTATTAGTTGGTTAATACACACTTTGATAGTATAACTTTACTTATAATCGTATAAAAGCTATAGTTCTTTTATTTTTATATTTTATTTTTATATTTTATTTTTTTTAATTATTGGCGTCTCTCGGCTATAAACAAAAAAAAAAAATTCCAAGACGCGTCACATACGTGTTAGGTAGTGCGCCTGAGTTCAACTTGGGGAAAAAAAAAAGAGCTTTAACACCGTCATAAATCAAAATGAGGGGCACAGAGCGATGGAGGAAAACTATCAGAACATCTAAATTGTACTGCCACAACTTTTTCCATCAAATAAGAGCTGGGGAGGCTTAGGAGCTTTTTCATAGACCGTCGTTGTATTCATCTCCTCATTCGCTCGCTCTATCATGATTGTGATTTAATTCGGGCCGGTTACACACAACTAACCAAATGTCTTTTTTGCCTTTTTAACTCATGTGTCGGCAGATTTAGTTCCACACAACCGTGAATGAAAAAAGTATCGAAACACAGCAACCAAACAAATTAAAGGTATAAAAGAAAAAAAAAATAAGTAAGGTGTATGAAATCGTTTATTACTGCGTTATATGCCTCACAAAGATGGCCAGTTGCGGGAAACGGAAATGTGCTTCAAAGCATAAACCTAACTCGACGTCATTTGAAGTGTCTAGACTTTCTATCACATACTGTAACGCCTGTGCAAGCCTGTAACTGTAACAATGGTCCTTAAGTAAAATACAACAGACCTCCTCCCTTGGCACTTTGTACCCAACAAGGCCCAGTTTGACAAAGAAGAACTGAAAGCAAGAGAAGAAACAGAAATTTCTTCGTATGAGACGAGACCAGGTTTTGTGATCTTAGTGAACATTCTTTTATACAAGTCCTTTGATTTGTGTAATATTGGTAACATAAATCGAGTTAGTCCTCATGTGCATATTGCTTTGTGCATACAAATGTATGCTAACATATGTATAAGATAGTGAAAAAATAAAACAGGCATAATGATACCGATCATAGCTAATATAGCACAGCAAGCTTAGTGATGCCTCCTTCTACCCCTAATCCATATCCCTTATTGAGGATTATTTCCGAGTCGTAGAGTAATAAATCTTACCTCCGAGTTATTGACGCGATAGAGTAACGCTTTAACTCCGCATCAAATTGTGAGGTGATTGTGCAGTCAGTGATGATCTCTTGTCATCTGGTGCCCAGCTCTACAGTTTTAAAATGGAATAAAGAAATATCGATTTTCACTCTCGTATTTAGGGTTCTAGTTTGAGAGATGGGAAGTCACGCCCAAAAACAGTAAAGTAATATCAAGCATTCCCTACAAAATATTATTCTAGATCATTCCAATACGTTACAACAACGAAAACAAAAGCTACTGCTTACTTTTGGTTTTGTTTTCCTTTTTTTACTAAGCCATTACAAACAGTGTAGGATCGTCTATTGGTGCTAAATATAGAAACAAGGTGCACAATTACACAAACCAAATTAACCGCCAGATCAGAAAACCAAAAGCCTACCATTTTTTTTTTTTGTTTCATCAAAATTTTTGCTTATCCACAAGTAAAAAATTACCTCGCCTATAATGCACAAGGCTTGTAAGATTAACTCATCAAACATTTCTATTGATCTAGGTCGGCCCTCACTTTTTCTTTTTTTTTATTTTTTTTTTTTTCTTTACTTCGAAAGACTTTTTATCTCACAAAATTTAATGCATCATTAATTAAGAGTGGAGAGGACTAAAATTCTATGATTAATAATAAAGTAACTGAAGAGGTAAATATTCTGCTGATATTAGAAAAGATGGCAAGCCTCAGCTTTGAACAATCAGAAACGGTTTAAGAACACGGGCAATAAAGTGCTACTTTGTCAGCAATACTATTTTCCACCCACTTGATAGCGTCCTACCTTTTTTCTTAACGTGATAATTGATCACATTCACATTTGCTTTCAATAGCAAATGACGTAAACAAATCTGATTTCAGGGCGGATTTCTTTGTTTGTTTGTTTCTACTAGTTTAATTTTGTTGATTCGTAACACAATCATAACAAAACTCTCCATTGTTATAAAAGTCTTTAAGAAAAAAAAGAATTAATAATAATAATAATAATAATAATTTTATTGACATAATTATTTCTTCATTGATTTTGCGTCACTTGTACAACCCAACCCAAAATACCAGCGATAAAAAAGCCAGATTCTGTTTTCTTCAACCCTCGTAACATAGGAATAAGCGATACACTCTCGACGGAATAAGGCTTCCGTATAAGGATTTATTTAAAGAAATGTTAGAGCTTTTATTTCAACCCGGTGTGTCTCAAGCCTGTGAGAAACCCAACTGCTTTTACACCCTGACTTGGAAACTCTCGGTTCACATAATGCACATTTCCGATCTTGCATTGGACCTTCTTATAATGGCCCTCACGCTTAGAGAACCTATGCTATAGATACATAAACGAGATTACCATACCTCTGGAATTAGAAACTTGTTCGTGCTTGCTGTTCCAGCTTCTGGTTATCCTAAGATGTTTTGGTATAAATTATTTTGAACCCAATACCGTGATAGCCCCATCTATTACGTTTGCTATATATCCTATGCTTTAACTTCATCTTCCGGAAAGGAATACGGAATGCCTCGCAAGAATCCCCCAATTGATTTGACGTGTAAGCAAGAAGTCAAACCTGCAAGTCAGGATTGTTAGACTATATCATGACCCACTTGAAAAGCTGGAAGCCCCGACAAACAGCACGCTTGTACTCCTGAGGGTCCAGTAGCACTTCCCCACAAGACGTTGAATTCTTCAACATGAATATTGCTCTTCATAATTTCAAAGTGCCATTTGATTCTCTACTCGAATACAGACTTGACCTCGGGTATCCCTTTTGGTAAAGTCAACTCAGACGGAACCAGTTTGTCATTCCTGAAGTCAATACTCTCCTCTAAGATAAAAATATACCCCCTTTCACACTAGGTGTCGACAGTTTCCCGAAAGGACAATAACAATTCGACAACAGGTACCGCTGACTACATAGTAGTTTAAACAGAGAGATTAGTTTCAGCTACGCACAGATATCTTTTCTTCGATGACAAAAGAAAATCTCTCTAATATAAACCTTTGTTAGGCTATTTAATTGTCAACCGATTCAAGGGCAACAACCGCGTCTCTCACCGTTGCAAAGGCCGATTGCGGATTAACTCCAGTGACAATCTTGCCATCGACAACAGCAAAGGCACCCCAGGGTCCCTTTGGCTCAACATAGGTGGCTCCTTCCTTCTCCGCAATTTGCCTGATAGTTGACAAGTGGTGTTTCTTGATTGTGTCAACCAAGCCCAACTCTTCCTCCCCCTTGTCGGTGAACCCAGTAACCTTCTTGCCCTTGATCAAAGGTTGCTTAGTTTCTGGGTTTTCGACATTTTCAAAAATGGCCGGTCCGTGGCACACAGCAGCGACAACCCCGCCATTCAAATACGTCTTGAGCAATATATTTTGCAAGTTCTTGGCCTTGGGGTAATCAAACAACGTTGCATGTCCCGCACTAGCAAAGAACAAATGAAACTTTTCGTCAACTAAATCGGAGGCTTTTTTGATATTCTTCAAGGCCGTGTTGAATGACGAATCCTTGTTTTCGTAAACCTCCTTGACTTTTCCCTGCAAGGCCTCGGGGGTCAACGAGTGTGGGTCGTAGTCGTACTCACCTGTTTCGGAAGCAATGGTGATTTCGTACCCCTTCTGGGCCAACTCCAAGAATGGCTCGATTGCCTCGGATGCAAACACACCAGTGTAGTCGCCGTTGGGGTAGAATGGGCCGTGATATGAAGATACTGCAAGTAATGCTTTAACCATTGTAATTGTGTGAAAAGTGTTGTAGCTGCAACAGCGTAATTGGCACAACTGTTTCTGGGATGGGGAGCTCAGGGGCTATTTATAGCATTGCAAAACTTACCTGTAAGTTGCTTTGAGAAAACAATGCACCAGTGTCTAAATTGAACTTTGGTTGCGGTTTTTATATCATCGTGCATATGGGGACAAATCTTTGTAAGCGCATGCACTGCTCAGTAATCCCCGAATACAGCTTACCTGGGTCACTACAGTGGTCTATTATGCCAGTTGGTCCTTGCTCGTGGCCACCGTGGCTGCTCTGCTGGCATCACTGCCGGAGCAACCTGGTCTGATGCTGGTTTTGTGTAACTCAACTCGGTTCCCGTACTTTTTTTGGGTTGCACCTGTGGCTCAGGGAGAGATGGCACTACTTCACACACGAAACAACTTTCTAGGGAAAGATGAAGCATGTGATGGAAGCGAGCCATTGCGAAGAAAAGGAGGTCGTTGGTCCTTCAATGACGCTTTGTTACGATTTGAATTGGCTTTCGACGGGCCCGTTGATGATCAGCGCAAACTTTAAAACGCCTCGAATATTGTCAGCTCTCGTTCTACAACTCAACTGTACCACAAGCTTTCAGACGGCACTCTTGCATGCCATCCGGCTTGTCGGCTTCTGAATGGGATGGCTGTGTAACGGACGTGTCGCAAAAGTCATAGAGTGTGTCATTTCCAGAGATAACGCGACACAAGATTTTATTCAACGAACTTTCCAGAGGTGCGACCAGACACCATTGTTGACACTGACAAATCCGGTACATTCCCATTACACAGTCACTAGTACCAAGCATGTCAGAAAAGTTTCCTGAAATAGACGCGCCACAATCAAACGGCAATGACTTAGACCACTCCGATTTTCTTTCTCGCGAGAAGGAGTTACTAGGCGACGAATTCAAAACAGATCAAGACAAAGTGTTGGAACAAGAGAGTGACGATGATATAAACGAGTTCAAGGAACAATTTCCCGAGGTCGAAGGAAGCGAAAGCGTGCAACAAGAATTCAAGTCCACCGAGGATGTCGATGATGAAGAGGCTGATGTTGCGCTAGCTGATTACGGTGCAACTGAGACTGTTAAAGACTTGTCCCAATCGACGTCCATAAAAGAATGGAAGGAGCGCAGGGACTTGGAGATTGAAGAGAGAGAGAAGGTCAATTCACAGAAAAAGAAGGACATCTTGTCCAAAGCACAGCAAACGATTGATGACTTTTACGAAAACTACAACCTGAAAAGAGATAAGCACACTGCCGAGGTTGAAAAGGAGCAAGACGAATTTCTCAAAAAGAGAGATGAGTTTTTGAAACATGGTACTTTGTGGGATAGGGTCAATGAATTGATCGATGCCGTAGGAGGGCCCACTGTTGATGCGGAGGGCAACGACAAGACAAGATTTAGAAGCTTTTTGAAGAATTTGAAGGGCAAGGAAAAGGTACCGGGAGCAGGTGGGTATCAGGAGTAGAGGAGGGACACGATACATGTAGCTATAGACTGTTGTATATAACGGTAATAGAAGACGAGATGCGATGCATTGCAGTGTAGTGTAGTGTAGTGTAGTGTCATTGTTTATTGGGATACGAAATTGGCCACTCTAATCATACTATCCTTTGATATTCGTTCCGACTCCAATGTCCTATGCCCATTGACAAAGTCACTCAAGTTCATCATCTTGAGGAATCCAAAGCACATTAGCGCAGTTTCTAGCTTATTCCACAATGGTAGTTGGACTTTGGAGAATAGCGGATGATAGGTCTTGAGGATCCTCCATTTGGATAGTACAACAAGCTTGAACAAGTACATGTTGAGGTCATTGTAGAACTGTTTAGATAGCAATCTGGCTGCGGGTTCCTCTTCGACATCCTCTTCATAGATCGCATCAGCGCTGTTTCCTGCAGCGTGCTCTGCCTCTACCCGCTTGTTGTACCCCCAGTCGGGAACTAGCTGCAAATGGTTGAGCTTAATAGCAGCTAATCCCGCAAGGAGGCCAATTGTCTTGGTATATGTTTTGAACACCAGCTTTTGGTTGTGCATGTAGAACCGGTGCAATTGGGGGTGCTTGTTTGACCCTAGTGTGGAGAACAACAGCGCCGATACAGCAATTAGTAAGATGGATATGAGATTAGGCGCGTAGATAAAGTTGGTGATCGAGCTTGCCTTGTGAAAGACGTACGCCGTGTAATTCTGAAGTATCGACGATTCGCTATCGGGCTTCCCGTGTCCGTATTTAATCGCATAGAACCTGTCCAATATACGATCCTTGAACGAGTAGCCGGCAACTGCAGCGGCAACGACAACATTGTGGAGGAGGTAGTTTGCAACCAAGTTCTTCCAGTTGATGCGACTGTAGTTTCGGCCGAGCGAGAAGTTGATCCAGATGGGGTTGAGGATGTACCTCTTCAAGAAAGGGGACAAGTACATCATATTCAACTTGTATTTAGTCGGCGTGAGGTAGTTGCTCAATATTTGTGCGTACAACACGGGGAATATTATGCATTCTTTATTTTGATATATCTTCATCAAGGGCTGGTACAAGCCTGACGATCTATACGTGGACAATTTGAATGGCTTGGAAAAACTGTCTGACACGAGGATTTGTGACTTGGAAGGCGGGTTCAATTCCCCGTGGTACGCGCTAAGCAACGAGACGAGAGCATAGTCTTTGGGAAAAGCTTTCAGATCGACCGTGGCAAAGTATAGGAACACGCAGGTGATGCAATTGGCAAGCTTGGTAGTGGCGTTGGGTGATGGGCTGGCTTTTCTCTGGCCTGGTCCTAGCACCCCCGAGAAGCTACCCCGGTAATATGACAAGAGCTGTCGGATCGGTTTGTTCAAAGATACGAAATTGGCCCATTGTATGGGGTTCTGGAGTCGCACAATGTATAATATGATGACCCACTTTACCCAGCTGTGTAGTGACGGGTGGCCAAGTATCCTCTGATAAACTGGCTTGACTGGTTGCGAAGCGTGTGGCTCTGGTTCTTGTCTCTGTTGTGGTTTGTTGAGCTGATGCTTTGATTCGACCTGTTCCAAGTAGTTGTATATACTACTGGACATCAACTCATTGAGTGCCCTTGTAGATGGACTGGGCACTATCATGGGTGGCTAGTGAAGGAAGTGTAAAATTTGTTGTGGTCTAGAAGAGCTCCTTATCAGCTGCTTTTTATTTTAAGCGCGTTGCTGGGGTAAATTCCAGAGCGGTGGAGTTTCTGAACGTTTTGGTCGAGTGAGCGCTGAAACTTGGTGCGGTATCTGCTCTTGCTCTCGACATAGAGGCTCCACACCACGCCTCGCGTCAGGCAACGGAAGAAAAAAAATTATAAAATCTCCTGTCAAATTAATCCCCTTTAGGAAACAGATAAACACAGACAGAGACAGTTACACCGCACACAGTGCTGCATCAAAAGGGCAATTATTGTATTGATACCATTGAAGCTAGCCGCAGATTGACGATATTCCGCTCATCCACCCCCATTGACGTGATCCGTGAAGAGAAAAATGACTGTTGATACGTCTGGCTACCGCCAGGAGAAGAATGGCAGTGCCAACGGAATAGTGCCACATAGAACACCATCCCCAACGGAAAGAGCAAGTGTTCGAAGTCAGAGGGCCCGAAAACCAGACATGCCGATACAGTTCAAGGTGAGCCAGTTGTCAGCCTCGCCAAGCAGCCACAATGACTCAGAAAGATCAGTCACTCCGGATTCGAAAAGGACTCCCAAATCCAAGGGGTTGAACATGTTTGCCGTGTCACCATTAGCATCTAGGAGCACATTGCACAGTCAAGCAGGTGGAAGTGCCACACCTCAGCCACTGACCTCAGCAAAGAGGCGATCATCGGTACTATCAAACAACACGCCCATGCCCCTACTATCAGAATCCGACAATGAGGCAGAGCCTCCTGTTGTCACAGTGCCAAGTAAAAAGTCGCCACCGCCAAACTACGACATCCCACTACCGCTGAGCGAGCAGCTCCTACAAATGAGTATCGATGATCAACTAAGGATACTCGCACTTAAAGAGATGGCAATTGTGCAAATCAAGGACCAAATCCAAAGCTTGAACGCCAAATTGCGTGCAGAGGAGGGTGAGTTGCACAAGCTACGAGAAGTGGTGCAAAGATCGTTGTATCAGGAAATCAGCGGTGCAGCAAGCAACACTGCTAATAAGGTGAACAGGCAAAGGACCGACTCCAATCCAAGGGACCAGGCCATTGAGAGCATCAGGGCCAAAAGGCGATCTTCATCGGGTGCAAGCTTGGGACAAGAGCAGAGCACGACTGAAGATGGAGGTAAGCCATCGAAGTTGTGGAGTGGGTTGACCAAACCGTTTAATATGTTGCAACAATTTGACACAATGCTTCAGAATGAGTTTGAAAAGTCGTTGGTATTGGACAAGGAGAGGCAGGAGCTGCAGAATCAGCAGCAACAGAAGCAGCAGCAACAGAAGCAGCAGCTACAGCCGCAGCTACAGCCGCAGCGGTCGAGGGAGCAGACAAGACTGTCTCATCAACTGCGCAACTCGGAGGACTCGACCGCAAGTACCGGCTCAATTTCGTCCCCCTTGCGATATCAAACCGCACAAACTTTGACAGACTACAGGAACAGTGAAGCCCGAAGATCGGACGACATGATCCAAACAGTGTCGTCTTCGATATGGTCGTTTGTCAACGACGTAAAACAGAACGTCTTGTCATCATTGAATGAAGAGGAAATGGCAGTGAGTGATGGGTTTGATGTCGACGATCAGTCCATTGATTTTTCCATGTACAAGCGGTAAAAAATAGATAGATAGATAAAGTAGTAGTATTCCTATTTTTATAAACTCTGTAAACCTTTAATTATATCCTTCTGATTATCATTGATATCTTTGTCTCCACCTCCATTGATAGATCTCAAATCTTTCAACATGATGTCCTTCAACTTATCAAAATAAACCTCTTGCAACACATTTCTAATGTTGTATTCAGCCTTCTCTATTAATGTGCCGATATTAATTAAATGGCTAGTTTCTAAATTCACCCCGTTGTTGATATCGGCAGTTATAGAAGATTCCAACTGTCTGGTCAAATTTCCACTTAAGCTTAATCCGTTTTTGGATTTATGTTGCAAATCCAAGATGACAGATGTTGTCAATTTGTAGGTAGAGCTCGTATTTGTTTCTGGTATAACCTCCAACACGTGGATAGAGTCCCATTTCCCTGACTGGTCTGTTGTTTCCTTTTTAAACAAGACAACCCCAGCAAATCCATTCGATAAATCGTCCTCTTCTGCTTCGTCTTCTGCTGTATCCCAAAAGTAAACACTTGATACACCGGTACCTTCGTAGTACAAGTCTCTGTAGATGTCAAATGCATCGTTAGCTTTTATTTCCAATTGTCGCAAGGTCGAAGAAGGATATGGTGGTGGTTGTTCTTCGTCATCTTCCGGTTTAGGGAAGTACTTGTTTGACCATGGGGATCGGTAGCTATCACCATCTCGATTATAGTCACAACATAAATATGCTTTACCGGAGTCTTTGCATTGAGCTATGGAGAGGGGTACATCAACCGACGATAATAATTCCTCGACCAATTCAGTGTCGGAATCTTTGGATGCAGAAATTAAGGAGCATATGCTGGTGAGATTTTTCTCAATTGAGTGTGGATCTAATCTTCTAAGGAGCTCCAAAGAAGCATCGAATTTGTCTTCGGACATGGTTACTTGTGGCTAAAAGGGCAATTGAATTGACTTATCGAGGAGTGCTAACTTCTGTTTTCTCTCTTCCAGGTGTTGGACAAAATTGTTGATTTGAGGTGAACATGGTAGCATTTATTCACTACTCCTATATCCAGCAATGTAAGACAGAGGCAGCTCATAGAGGCAGCAACGGTAAACTACTTTGACTTTTTAAGTGCACGATAGATTATATTGTAATTAGAAATTTGATAAGTAATAAAAGGATATAGCTATAAAGACGAAGTGAAGCCTTACTTCAAGCGAATGTGTATCAACAGGTTTTTGTATAAAATCAATGTAGCCAGATTTGAATCTAACTCATGGTATAAGTTATACCTTTTGATGGGGCATACAATATGATACCATTAAGGATACCAGCAATCAAACCAGCCATTGGCAAGGTGAAAATCCAACCAAGATAACACCAAGCAACCATTCTCCAATTGACAGTCTTCCATTCCTTGTTACATAAACCAACAAAAACAGTGGCACCAACAGCAGATTGTGTAGTGGAGACAGGGATAGCCAATTGAGTAGCCATAACAGTGGTAACAGCAGCACCCAATTCAATCGAGAAACCTCTGGCAGGAGATTGTAAGATCAATTTGTTACCCAAATTGGCCATGATTCTGTAACCATAGGTCCATAAACCAATGGCCAAAGCAGCAGCTGCGTAACACAACACCCAAACTGGAACATCTGCTTTTGAAGCAGTGGTGTTAGTTGACCAAACTAAGTAAACAGTTGCCAAAGGACCAGTGGCATTGGCGATATCGTTAGCACCATGAGCAAAAGACATTGTACAAGCGGTGATGGCTTGCAATAATGAGTACATAAATTCAATCTTGTTGTCGTAGTATTTGGAAGCAGTATGCATCTTGTGTAAGTCACCGGCCAACATATCCTTAGAACCAGCTTGGTTAGAGATAATATCTTGTCTAACACCGTGGGTCAAAACCAAGAAAATACACAAGGGCCAGTTCTTTGGGGATTCTTTAGCCAATGCCCAGTATTTAGGAAAGCCTCTTGGTAACTTGTGCTTCTTTTCAGCTGGCTTGTTAGTAGCTGGGAGTTCTTGGACATTGACTGATTGAACTTTTTCAATATCTTCCTGGCTAATTTCGTCATGAGAGTCAGATTTACCATCAACAGAATCGGATTCAACTTTTCCATCGGAGTCAATCAAGTTACCGGCTTCGTCATATCTTCTTCCTCTGTAGTAATCTTCAGTCAAACTGTGTCCTTCTGGCATTGGTGGAATGTTGTCGGTAGATTTGAACCAGTAAATTGGACCTCTGAAAATATCATACCATTTCAAAGTCCAATCTTCGTGAACCAATTTTCTTCTGTAGTATGGGAAAGCAAACAACATGTAAACGGCAAAGGCAACAGCACCAGTACCAAAGATGGCACCGACAACAGTTTTTGTTCCCAAGTTTCCTAAACCCAATTTAGGAGAACCTTTCCAAACAATCAACATGGTCAAGATGGAGAATGCGGCAAACACCAAACATGGTACCAACATCATGGCATTTCTTAAAGATGTTCTTGGATTCTTGACTTCCAAGACACCAAACTTTGAAATCAAAAAGATAATGGAAGCAAAACAACCGGCGATAGCTGGAGCGATAAACCAAGAAGCAATAATTTGCGAAACACCACTCCACCCCCAATGAATGTTTTGTCCACCTTTGGCAGCAATTGCAGCCCCAATAACAGCTCCCACAATGGAATGAGTAGTGGACACTGGCATACCGATCGAAGTAGCCAAGGTTAACCAAGTCGAAGAACCAATCAAAGCAGTAGCCATAGTCAACATCAAAACAGCTGGCTCGGCGCTAAAAACATCAACATCAACAATCTTGTTTCTAATAGTATCTGAAACTCTTGAACCAACCAACACTGCACCAAGGAATTCCATCATTGCTGCTAAAATCATAGCTTGCCAGTATTTCAATGATCTTGATGAGACCGAAGTGGAGAAGGAATTGGCGACATCATTAGCACCAATATTCCAAGCATCTAAAAATGCAAAAATCATCGCAATAGCGAAGATGTAATCAAACTGATGTAATGCCATTGTTGTTGTAATTGTAGTAGCTTATAGTGATTCAGTTAAGTGGTGAAGATGCTTCTGAAGATGTAGTTCCTGGATATGGGGTAAATACATTATTTGGAAATTGCAGAATTTGGATGTCTATTTATATAAAAATTGCACACGCTCAGGAGTTAAACCTTTCCTTTCATTCATAAAAGATTGCAAAATTTCAAAAAATATAAAATAAAAAAAATAAAAAAAAAACACTAGATATAAAATAAAATAAAAAATAATTTGGGAAGCATAAACTTTTCTTAACTACGAAGGATTGTACGTTTTTGTCCTTCCAGTACTCTTCTGCCATTGTGTGGTATGTGAGATGGTATTCTTTTAGAGTTTTTGGAATATTCCGTTTGTTGCTATAGATTCAGAGTGAATCAAGCGGTGTATGGTATCCCCAGTTCGTTTTATAATTGGAACTGAGGAGCCCTTACTTCTCAATCTGATTAACGTGTAAATTCAGTTGCTAGTAATAGTAACACAAATGTTTGAGACAGAACTTTCCATCACAGTTGAACACATTCTTCCCCTCGTGGCGTGGTTTGAAATGTATAGGCTGCGAAAAAAGCGAAAAACAAAAAATAAAACTAATGCCAAGATTGCAAAAGCCGCTCCAAGAAAAAAAAACAGTTCAAGAAAAAAAACCAAAACCTCCAAAATTATTATCAACCACAGTTGATATAAAAGTTAAACCACTTATGATGAAGTAGTTAAGAAAAAAAAGTAAAAGTAAAAATTAAAATAAAAAGTTGAAAAAAAAAAACAGTGTCAAAGTGTAACAAATAAGTTAAGTGTTATTAAATTGGTTCCATTTCAAATATTTTATTAGAAAACGTGGGCCTTGATCTGAAAAGAAAGTTTCCAAATTATTATCTACAAACATTTTATCGCTATTCAAGTGTTGTAGCACATGTCAAAAAAGCATCATCAAAGGCAACAGGAACAAAGCGGGTGGCCCAACTCATTTGAATTATTTTTACAACATAAACAACTCAATTTTTCTGCATCTACTTACATGGGATTTAAACGTGTGTTTCACCGCTAAGTTTCTGACTGGTACGTCTTTTGTTATTCGCCTTAATGGAAGTTGAATAAATGTAACCTGATTGAAAAATAGACTACTATTGTTATCTCCTCACTATTGTTCATTTCTTGCCATTTGTTAAAAGCAATGCCACCAGTTTTATTGTCGTATGTTCATTAACATTCCAAGTAAGGGATCGTAAGACGACTAGATCCAAAAATTACTTGCATCCATTATTCGTTTAACGAGACACCAATTAATCGTGAGTCATGTGCCTAGAATTGAATTTCTTCCGAAGACTTCATTTACCTTTTGTGTAGCTCAGTTTTCAGCAATATTATAACGGCTTTGAAAGAATTAATGGTGAGTCTTGCGAAGATTTTGGGTTTTCACGGAACTGTACTGATTAAACCATGGCGCTAGACAAAGTCAAAGTGGGAATCTACTAACAATAGACCGCAGGGAGCATTACGGATAGGATTTGCAAAATGTTTTCTTGATGGGCTCTTGAAGGGGTAAAGTTTCAGACTAAAAAGGACCAAGAAATTCAACGATAGTCTTGTGAACATTCGGTACAATATAGATCACCCTTAGGTCAGCCCTTTTTTTTTCACTTTGCCTACGCCTTCGCTAAGCTGTTAAAACAAAAAACAAGGCGGTGTGGTAAATACCCTTTGTTTGTCTGTAGTATATGTGGAAACGCTAAACCGAATAAAAGTAGAGGGTTATGATATTGCTGTCCGTAATCAGTAACGAAAATAATTTTAAATGTGGAGATATTATATGTTGTCGTAAATGCCAAACAATAAAAATACAAAAAGTATGAGAGCCCACGTGGGTGCAAATTGAGTTCTATTTATATTGTTTGAAATCAACTCACACACAAACTTCAAAATTTCTTGGAAGAAGACGCTGATAAAAGAAAAAAGATAAAAACTAAAATAAAAATAAAAATAAAATTATTTAAAATTTGGGTTTTGTGGTATTTGTAGATAGTGATTTGGGAAATATATTACTGGTTAGACCAGGTTGCATTTTTTTTGACATCTGTGCAAGTTTCATCCAATATATCTCCTTGAGATTCACTTACGATTCAACTAAATGTTGGATCTGAGGCGGTTGTGGCTTGTAGTAACTGTTTTCGTAATCAACTACGCATTACAATAACACTGCCTATTTTGGTGTACTCTACATCCCGATTTATTTAAAACATATTTTCCTTCGAAGGAGAAAAAGTAAAAAACGTTAGCAGTGATAATGACTATGAGGAGACTATTCGTTTACCCTTTTTCTTTTTTCTTTGATTTTGCGTTAGCGTCACGCCGTAGATGAATTTTTTACTTAGGCTTTGTGCTTAATACAAATAGTGGGCTTTGAGTATTCTCATGCAGCCGTGTAGTTGGAAATGACGCCGCCCGGTACCCACATGGTCAAAAAACTGTCCTAATGTAGAAAACCTTGCTTTTACTTACTCGTTGTGTTTTAATGTGCATCAAATACCGTTACTTTTATTATACCTGGATGCAATAATTCTCGCCTCTGTTTCGTTAAATAATATGTTTGAGACACCCTTTCACAGCGGTAATCGTACCAAGCAATCTTTTATTATATTTCTTTCAACCACATACCTTTGCATCACCAGATCTATATGGACGAGATGACCTTGTCCCTATCAGGCCTTAAAAGTTAAGGTAGATGCACGTGTTGAGATAGACAAACGTGCACCCTAGCCTGCCTAGTACAGAGTGAATAGCTTACTCTTGAGTTAAAAGAAAGTGAGGTGTATCGCGTTTCTGCCAAATAAAGAGTATAGTGCAAACTATTGGAGCACACCGGCGAGTGTCCTTGTCATGCCTGTAATCTATTTGACACTTCAGTGCTCTACATCATTCTATGCTTAGCTTTACTTTATAAAGTAGGAGGCTATAATCTACTATAGCTCTTCAAATGTAATAATAGCAAAACAGGGTTATCTTTACATTGAAAGTAAAACCACCTAGGTAAAGAAATGAGACTTTAGAGTTTATTCCCACTAAATCTTGCTCTTAAGCTCTTTTAACGACAAATGAGAGAAAGGCGTCAAGGGGTGGTAAAGTTCAACCAAATGTAAAACCCAACTAAGGTGGTCAGTTAATAACCCTAATAATAATAATAATAATAATAATAATAATAATACTAGCTCTTCACATTTTAAATATGCTTTAGAACTATTCCTCTGAAACCGTTGAAAAAATTTATCTACACCTCGTAAATTATCAAATGGATGGTTAAGTCACGCGCATGATTTTTTCTTTTGTGTTGGATGCAAACTTAATTTTATCTTCACCAATAAGTTTTAGGGTTGATAAGAAGCAGAAGATCTGAAACGTATAATAACAATTTAAACAGCACCACAGATCACTCAAAGTGAATAGAAAGATGTATAAACGTGTTACATCTTATTTCTCAGATACAATCCAAATATCCTCATCTTATGTTTTTGTAGATACCCATTTTGGGGTCATTTTAGTGCAAATTTTTAACATCAATTTGTTGCTATGACAGCAAAGCACATGCACCGAGAAGCTTCCTTGTGCTTGTTGTAATTCCTAGACTTAAACGATGTTTGTGCTGAGAAAATTGGACTTGAAATGTATTACGGAGTGCGCCATTTTCCAACAATATACCATGCAGTCCAAATTTCTATTTTACATTTGCGCTTCCACAAATACTTAACGGACTTGGAACGGACTTTTGTAAATTGAACTCTTACCAATCAAGAGAGGTGCTACTTAATTCCAACAACCTTGTAAAAAATATATTTGCTAAAAGGCAGGTGGGAAGTGTGTTATATGGATTGTGACCTTAGCATTCTATGGTGTGCATTCTACGAATCATCCTTAAGTTATTACTAATTATCCTCGGATTCTTCTTTTCTTTTTTTCTTTTTTTCTTTTTTTTCTTTTTATTTCTTTCTTTTATTCTGGTTGCTGTTATTGTTACTATTATTATGTCATCAATACGTTAAATGCATACATTAATCCTTTTTCTGGAGATCTAGAAGAGCAAATAAAACGAAGAAAAAAAAAGAAAAAGAATAATCAACAAAAAACCAGCATCTCTTACTTACACACTCATCATATTCATATCACTAGAAGATTAGCTGCTTTATAACACTACAGGCAGAACTATTCACATTCATTCTACCTACATGTACATATAATTATGCATTCAATTCGACCAATAACGACAAAGTACACTCGTCATTTAGCCACGGCAGCTAAACGAAGACCTACCCCAGTGAGAAAAGTTTCCAAAAACGAAGCCAAAAAGTATTCTTTTTATGATTTGGTGTTACGTACACCTTCGCACCCACGACATCCTATTGAGGCTCTGTTGATGAATGATAGCGAGCTTAAAGAATTGAAAAAGCACACCAAGGTCAGATTTGAAGGTAATTATTCGCTTGATCCAAACATCAGTCCTGAGGAGCGTATAGCTAAGGTTTTTGGTGGTAGAATTAAAGGTGAAGATCGTCAAGCTTCAAGTAGGATAGAGCGTGGTGAGTCAAAAGTAATTGCTGGAATAACTGTGCCATCGCGTCCTCCTGAACCGGATAATTGTTGCATGAGTGGGTGTATTAATTGTGTCTGGGAATTGTTCCAGGACGACTTGAAAGACTGGAATGAGAAGAGGGATGCTGCGGCTAAGAAACTAGTAGCTAATGGTGGAAGATGGCCTGAGAATTTTTACCCACCTTTGAAATTATTGAAACGTGAAAATTACCCTCCCAGTTTGGCAGATAAGCCTGATTCTGAATTGACTTCCGATAAAGTAGAGGATACTGTACAAGATGAAACTTGGGGTGATGTACCAATAACAATTCGAGTGTTTACCGAAGTGGAAAAGAAGATTAAAGCAAGACATAAGCAGAGACTTGCCCAATTGAAAAAGTCCCAAGAGGGCACCATAGATAGATCAGCTCAAGAAGAGCAAAGCACATCGACTCAACAGGATTCCCATGGAAAACTGTTGCAAAGCAACACTCACCAAAAGCATTTGCAACATGCTCAATAAATTGGAAGAAAGACAGAAGAAAAACAACACTTTATTTATTTTCAATTAGAGTTATATACTTAGACTGTAACCTAGAATCATATAAAACCTAGAGAGTATGTCGTACTTGTCAGCTTGTAAACCCTCATTGAAACTCTTCTCAACCCATCTTGATCCAACTTGATCCAACTTAATACATCTTAATCCAACTCAATCCCTTTTGACTTATAAAATGCCTTAGCTTCTTCAATCTGTATTTTCAACTCGTCATACTTATCCTTCTTGTCTTTAAAAGTGACTATCCCCCAACCCAAGGTGGACAAAGCATAAGCACCAAATGTAACTAATCCCCACCATGGCAAAAATGGTAAAATCTCATCATGGAATTTAGCTGGCGATGGAATGACACCTGTGTATAAAGCAAAATAGATTGCAGATAAGAAGAATAGCGTGAGTCCTGTTTCTGTTGCCTTAGTCATTATTGTATCGTTCGAATGATTGTTGTTTGGTAATGGCGACGTGTTTTCGTTTTCGTTTTCGTTTTCGCTTTCGTTTTCGTTTTCGTTCTCGATTTCAATTTTTTTGTCTATATTTTCTTTTTGCGTTGTTCTTTTTCTTCTTCCTTTGACGTGTTGCAAAAGGAGAGACATACAATTAGATCATATAAACTCTATAAATCTTTAATCATTATTTAAATCGTCCTGTCGAATGAATCCAACTAAATGACGCAACGAATCAGCTGTGTCTTTGTTCATGTTATAGAGACGAGTGAAAACGTCGTCAACGTTAACGTTAAGGTCGTTGTCAACGTCCATGGCGTCTGGATCTTTATTGGCATCGTTTCCAAGCTTATTATGATCTTCACCAAAATCCTTCACCATATCCCCTATCTCTTCGTCTTCTTCATCATCTCCTCCTCCTCCTCCTCTTCCTCCCTCCTCCTCTTCCTCCTCTTCCTCTCCTTGCATGTCAACTTCGCCATCATCGGAATCATAAATTCCCATCTTTGTGTCGCCCTCCTCTACTTTGACACCATCGGCAAAAGTTTCTTCCCTAACAAAATCAGTGTTCGACATTTTATAAATTTTACTCTGGTCAATCGGTTCCTCCCTCACCAATTGTTGCAACTTATACCTCATTATTCGTCTAATTAAGTTCATGGTTGTTTTGTTGATCCACCCGTCCAGCGCATCCAAAGTATCACGAATAAAATCTTTACCCATACTAGTCATGTGGTTCTCAATTATTGATGTAATATCTAAATCAAGAATGTCTCCGATTTGGTATGTCACAGCTGAGGGCAAGTTTACACCATCAAATAACAAATTCTGCGATATTTCAATTGGAAATGGAGCATTTTCCAATGTCTTTGGTATAACCTTCTTCAGTGATCCTGGTGAGGAAGAATCACGTACACCCACAACTCGAAAATATTCATTTTGATATCGCCAAAAACTAGAATCTGTTCGTGGGTCGACTCCAATTTTAATATTGCAAAATCGCCAAGGACCCGATCGATAAATATAGGTCACATACGGTAAAGCAAATTTCAAACTTCTAGTAAGCTCTTCAGGGATGATATCGAACAACTGGCGTCTGATCCATATTGGTTTGATGCTAAACATTTCCTTGCACCATTCAATGCACTTGATAAGTAAATAATCTGGGCTATTAACAGGTAGCCTTTGGTTGAGTAAATTGTTTAAATTTGTTGTCAACTTTGCAGGAGGTTGAGTTGGTGGATCAGTAGATATATCTATAAGAATAGTATGTAGCTTGAATGGGGTCTTTTTGGATACAACTTTGACCTCTCCACTTTTCTCATCCTTGACTGTTGATGTTATTGGGTTCTTTTGATACCTATAATCATACGGGTATTTGATTGGCGAGAATACTGGAGGTGGAGGCAAGTTATGGTCCTTGTTTTCAAAGTATTCATTGTTCATATCCATGTAACCATGGAAATTGTTGTGTTTCTCAACATAGTGTTTTAACGATTCGTAATTTGTTGTGTTGAGTACATTTCTCGTAACATCCTGCACATCGGGGTTATTTTTGGTGCTGACTTGAAAATCGCTCATTGCTCTAAATCTAAACGTTTTATCGACAATAGCCACTGGCTGTATTTTGGTTTTTGGTGTTGTGATATCAGTGTTGTTCTTTTCAATCAACTCACGCACCAGTGCTTCTCGATTCTGTTTCACCACCTTCTTTGGAATTGATACTTTAATCAAAACACGCTCATTTGTGGAGGTGGCTGCTTGTACCGGATGATGGAATGGATCTTTTCTAAATCGTAGTTCAAGAGGGACATCGGAGCTCTTAATAGCATCAGAAATCTTGTTCTTTCCTCCAAGAGCATCAATCACTTTGGTTTCATTTTTAATATTCAAAGGTAGTTCAATTGCGGCAACATGGGGTATATCCATGGAATAAGACTCAGCAAGTGGATTATCCCCCATGATAGATGATACTAACGTGTTTGTACAATAATATGAGGATGTGTGACTGTGTGTTATCCGGTGTTTATGGTTCTTTTCTTTTTTTTTTCTTTGTTTTGAGGTGTTGCAAATAATACCGTCAAGACCCGACTGTGACATAGATGAGTTTTATGGTGAATAGTGGGATCATAAGTCAATTAACAGAGCATGGAGAGGAGATGTTAGTCATGCAAGGCTAAAAGTTCATGATAACTATACAGGTTTGGTAAAGCTGTAGCCTCATGCTCCTCCTTGAAACAAGGTAATCTTCAATTGAAGCATCATTTCAAAATGAGTCTATTTCCAACATGCTGCTGGTGCTAGGCTGAAGTAGATAGTAAGCTACGCCAAGGACATATCCAACACGTCTTGAGGTGCAGCTTTATAGCCGTCAGTACTCATTGTCGTGTTGTTTGCGACACACAATCGCGACATTGGAGAAAACTGTGGTGCGATCGGATACAAACCGGGAAAAAGGAAATGACTAAGTTATATTCACGCGTTCGGTTCGGTTGTAAAATGATCGAGTTTGGGTTGATCATAGGCAGCACGCAGCTGATATTACCCATTGGGTCTCAGGAATAAACGGGTAATGTCAATACGTGTATTAGTTCTTCTCGCCCACACTTTCGACAAGTTCCCGTGGGTAATTATTGCGTAACATTTAAAATCCTTTTGCAGCCTTATACGCAATTTTGATTGGTCAGTTGATGAACAAAAGTCCCTTTTGTTTTGAACGCAAAATATAAAAAACTAATCACACACATACACACACCACACACCCATAGTCAGTGACAAAGAAAAATAAAAAACCTGGAGAATATACATCCATACCGCACTATTTTATGGGAAATTCTATTCTATTCTTTTAAAACTATTGAACAAAAACTTTTTTTGACAATTTTCAATTCGCTCTCCGATTTTTTTCTTCGATTTCCTTTTCTTCTTTTTTGACCTTTCTTTTTTTCAATCAGACTCAATTGATTATAGATTAATTGCTATATATTCTCCTCATCAATTATGTTTTCAAAAGCTGCTACTAGATCATTCTCATCATCTGCTTCCAATGCCTACAAGGTTGCCGTCTTAGGTGCCGGTGGTGGTATTGGTCAACCATTGTCTTTATTGTTGAAATTGAACCACAAAGTTACTGATTTGGCATTGTATGATATCAAAGGTGCTCCAGGTGTCGCTGCTGATGTCTCTCACGTTCCAACCAACTCCACTGTTAAAGGTTACAACCCAGACCAAATTAAGGAAGCTTTGACTGGTTCCGATGTCATTGTTATCCCAGCCGGTGTTCCAAGAAAACCAGGTATGACCAGAGACGATTTGTTCAATACCAATGCCTCAATTGTCAGAGACTTGGCTAAAGCTGCTGCTGACTATGCTCCAAACGCTGCATTGGCCATTATTGCCAACCCAGTTAACTCAACTGTCCCAATTGTTGCTGAAGTTTTCAAGACCAAGGGAGTTTACAACCCAAAGAAATTGTTTGGTGTCACCACCTTAGATATCTTGAGAGCTGCTAGATTTGTTTCTGAAGTTGCTCACACCAACCCAGTCAATGAACATGTTCCAGTTGTTGGTGGTCACTCTGGTATCACCATTGTTCCATTGTTGTCACAAACCACCCACAAGGACTTGCCAACTGACACCAGAGATGCTTTGGTTCACAGAATCCAATTCGGTGGTGACGAAGTTGTCAAGGCCAAGGATGGTGCTGGTTCTGCCACTTTGTCCATGGCTCAAGCTGGTGCTAGATTCGCTGGTTCAGTCTTGAACGGTTTGGACGGTGAAAAGGATGTCATTGAATGCACCTTTGTCGACTCTCCATTGTTCAAGGATGAAGGTGTTGACTTCTTCTCATCCAAGGTCACTTTGGGTGTCGAGGGTGTTAAGCAAGTTCATGCTTTGGGTAACATCTCAAGCTACGAAGAAGACTTGGTCAAGACCGCTAAGGAAACCTTAATCAAGAACATCAAGAAGGGTGTTGACTTTGTTGACCAAAACCCATAAAGAAGCTAGACTGTGGTTTCAGATTATGTTTATAATATATACACGCTTGGCGCATTGAGAGATTAGATGTAGAAGTTTAGAGTAGGAGGCGTTGATTGATGCTTCGATGCTCATTGTCGTTGTGTCATTGTAGGTAGAGCATTGCGAGGTTAAGACTTGTCTACTGCTTTTATCAAAACTGTCTTGTCCTACTTTGCTGTAACTTCAAATGTATATCTAATTAGTATAAAGACTCCCCGGCACAATTATAACTGGTCACCTGTACCAGCAACCAATTGTCTATACAGCTTGATGATCTCCTCATTTATGCCTGATCCACCACATACAATAATAATCACAATATCATCAGATGTCAAATCACCGAACTGGCGCAATAACTCTTTTTTGCGGAAAACAGTCGCGACACTTGCCCCACAAGCGGGCTCAACCAAGTAGTTGAATGTATCGTATAAATCGAGGGTTCCTTGAACGGCATCCAAATCATCAACAAGCCCTAAATATGTCGGATGAGACTTGTAGTTTTCGAAAGACTTTGCTGAAAGGTATGGGGCACCCAACGAAGATGCAATTGTCTTCACCGTTTCCAAATGAATCAATTTGTTTGCCTTGACTGTTTCATTGAATGTCGGTGCTTGGGCTGTTTCCATTGCAAGTACAGGGATTTTATACGGCCTTGCACCTTCAACTATACCGTTGTATAGACCACCTCCACCGACAGAACAAACAATACCTTTTACATTGTCAAAGCTTGGCAACTGGTTTTCCTCTAAGATTTCATTAACAATTTGCGAGTGACCCCTCCATACAACTGGTTCATCAAATGGATGGCAATATATGCCATATTCGCCATCTTTAATGGACTTGATTACAACCTCTCGCAAGTAAGCATCAGCCTCGCCCCAATGAACACCATGAAGAATTGCATTAGCGCCCAACCCATGCAATTTGTCAAGAACCTCCGGTTTTGTTGCTTGAGGGAGAACAACTGTACACTCAACATTATAGTGTCTTGCCGCATAAGCAGCAGCTAATCCTGCATTACCACCAGACGATGAAAATACAATAACTTTGTCTTTGCCAAGGTCTTTAGCTTCTTGAATTTTCGTCGCCACTTGATATCCTATACCGCGTAACTTGAAACTACCTGATGGTTGTTCCAACTCGTTTTTGAAAAAAATACGACATGGAGGCTCGGTCAATTGGTCTGTGACCTCAATGAATGATGTTTTAACTGATGGTAAGTTCATTGTTGGTTCTGGTTTCTGGTGGAGCTGAAAACAGAAACTCGTATCTCGCTACCTCTTTATAGGACCAGTGACTCCCGCTACGGACCAGTGAACCCCGCTACAAATGAAAATAGTACAGATAAGAACTTTATGCGTTAGTAAGCATTAAACACAAAACCTCTTTACGGTTGTTTATTAAGACAACCTCTATTTCTAAGATTTCCATAGTTATACTAGTCAGAATGATGTTAATCACTACCTTTAATATCACACTAAATATTGTCGTCCTAAAAGATCACGAAAAAATTTATCCTCTATCTATCTATCTATTTTTTACCGCTTGTACATGGAAAAATCAATGGACTGATCGTCGACATC